CTAACCCTAACCCTAACCCTAACCCTAACCCTAACCCTAACCCTAACCCTAACCCTAACCCTAACCCTAACCCTAACCCTAACCCTAAAGCAGAAGTATTAGAACTTTATAAAGTAGTTATAGAAGGTTAGAGTTAGTAAAGTAGCTAAAATAATTAACTACGTAAAAGTAGTAGCTATAGCCTCCTATTTATAGGACTAGAAAGCTGTGCTTTAGGCGTAGAAAGAGATATATAGAAAAGGTAAGCGTTTATTTTTTTATATAAGGACAATAATAGTAGCCTTCTAAGCTAGAGGCAATTTCTTTTATAGCGTAAGTAGTATGTAAAATACAGTATATAAAACTTAGGAGACGCTAGCTACGCTATTATAAGTAGAATAGTAAAGTTATATAGATATAGTCTTAATAAAGAAAAAAGTAAAAGGCTTTTAGAATCTATTAGCATTAGTAAGATAAAATAAAATAGTAGATATTATTAGAAGTATAAAGTATTATTAGGTTATATCTACTCTTTATATAGAATATAAACGTCTAAAAAACGTCCTAAGTAAAAAAATAAGAGTAATAAGTATAAGAAAGCGTAAAATAGTAATAGTAGTATAAGAGTAACTTTTCTATACGCTTTTTTAAGCTTATTACAAAGACTATATAAAAAATAACTATACTATACGTTACTAATTATAGAACTAATACCTAGACTATAGTAAATAATAATAGATATTATAATAAAAGTTTAGGATAAGTATCTTTACCTTAATACTAAAAAGTAGTATACTATACACTTTTATAAAGCGTAGACTTATATACTATCTAAAAAATTAGATCTAAATAGTAGTAATATATAATAAGAATATATAAAAAATATATAAGGCTATTAAACTTCTATTCCTAAAATATATAGTAAAAAAAGTACTTTTAGAGTAGCTATTTCTTAAAGTAGTAGATAAAGAAGATATAAAAAATTAGTTATTTATAGTACTACTTAAACTTATAAAAAATAAAAATAGGTCTTTCTAGAATCTTATAAATAAATATAAAATTCCTAACTTAGAGAATAAGTTTTATTAATATAAAGTCTTTTTATAGAATAGATAATCTATATAAGTAACTAAGTACTTCTAGCTATACTAATACGCTACTTTTTCTTTTCCTACCTACATATAACTTAGCTTTTACTAAGCTACTACTAAGTAGAATAATTATAGTTATAGTAGAGTTACTAGCTATATATAAAAAAAGTAGACTAGGTTTTAGATTATATATAGAAGTAAATAGCATTCTTACTATAAACTACTATTAGATTCTACTATTAGATTTTACTATTAGATATTAGAATTAGCTATTAGATTTTACTATTAGATTCTGCTATTAGATTCTACTATTAGATTTTACTATTAGATATTAGAATTAGCTATTAGATATTAGAATTAGCTATTAGATTTTACTATTAAATAGTAGAATTCGCTATTAGATTTTGCTATTAGATATTAGAATTAGCTATTAAATATTAGAATTAGCTGTTAGATTTTGCTATTAAATCTTACTAGTAGATTTTACTATTAGATATTAGAATTAGCTATTAGATTTTGCTGTTAGATTCTACTATTAGATTCTGCTATTAGATTTTACTATTAGATATTAGAATTAGCTATTAGATATTAGAATTAGCTGTTAGATTTTGCTGTTAGATTTCTAACGCATAGGCTAATTTTTTAAAGATTTAACAGCAAAATCCGCGATCTTAATAAGTATAGGTTTTCTTAGTAAAATTTTAATTTCTTCTATTTTTAGCAATATCTCGCTAACTAGAGAAGCTAAGCCTAATCTAGACGCAGATCTGAAATCGTAGCGTAATTCTGCACTAGGAGGTGTGCCTAGAGCGCTGCAACAGTAGCTGTGCAGCGTGCAGTCACGTGAGGAACATCAAAACTCCACCTCTATCTTTCAACGTAGATATCTTAACAACAAGAGCAGTTATAAATAAACTAGATAAAGATTTAAAATCCTTGCGTAATTCTGCACAAAATAGCTTCTTTAGATTTTCTTTAGCTAGCTCTGTTCCTAGATTAACTAAGCTCGATCCTACTACCTCGATCCTACTCCTCGTTTCTTATCGCATCCTTATCGCTACTAACAAAACAGCTCGATCCTACTAGGATCGAGCACATCCTCTAGGGTAGGCCACCACCTCACCGCATCTCATCCTGGTTATTATTTTGACAAATGTAACTTTGGCTCACGTCCAAGCCGCAAAGAGGATGTGCAGCGAAGGATAGCGTCGTAGCTCTAGCCAAAAGCGGACCACTTTCCGTTCACAACCCCGCCTCGGCAGCGGAAACCCCGAATAACTGATAACCGCGTATCTGACTGATAACCCCGTATCAGTGCTTGGTCGGCTAGATATGTTGATATAAGCTCAGTAAAGCGCTTGGCTTCACAAGCTTCTGCATCTTCTGCTTTCACGTTGTTGGTTGAAGTCGGTGCAAACACCTCAATGCCGAACATGACCACCGCGACGAGAAGCCCGGACGAACCGAGCGCGAGTATGACACCCAAGCTTTCGATCAACGCAGAAGAAGTCCGCGAAATCGTCGAACTCGGGCATGCGCTCACTTTTCGCGAGGCCTTGTCTCTCTATCCCAAAGCAATTGCATGGTCGTTCTACTTCAGCCTGGGCGTGATTATGCTAGGTACGACAAGGTCGCCAACGTCTGAACTGTTTCTTACATTCGAGCAGCATTCGATCCTCAGCTTCTCGGCAACTTGTACGCAGTACCTGCTTTCCAAAGAGATTTCGGCTATGCTTTCGGGGACGGGTACATCATCTCCGCCGCATGGCAGACGGGACTAGGAATGGGGAACCCAATCGGCCAAGTTGTCGGCGCGTTGGCCGCAAGTTATCCCATGGAATGGTACGGGCGCAAAGGAACATTCAATGCATGCGTTATCGCTGTCGCGGGCCTGGTATTCATTCAATTCTTCGCGCGCTCACTTCCAGTTCTTCTCGCTGGAGAGCTTCTTGCTGGACTAGTATTGGGCACGTTTGTTGTCATCGCACCTGTCTACGCATCTGAAGTATCACCTTTGGCTATGCGAAGTGTCTCGACCTCGTACGTCAATCTTTGTTTCGTAACCGGCCAATTGCTTGGAAACGGGGTTGCCGCTGCGACCCAGCATATTCAGTCTCACTGGGCGTATTCGATTCCGTTCGCAACGCAATGGTTCTGGGTCTTGGTAATCCTCCCAGGAATGTTCTTTGCTCCGGAAAGTCCATGGTGGCTGGTGCGTCAAAATCGCCTTGAGGACGCCGAGAACTCTCTTCGGCGGCTCGCTAGCGACAAGGTCAACGTCAAGGCTGTGCTCGCACAAATCGTCGAAACAGACAGGCTGGAGACCGACATGGAAGCGGGTAGTTCCTATGCCGACGTTTTCAAGAAGGTCAATTGGCGCCGCACGGAGATTGCGATTGGGGTGTATTCCACCCAGGTCCTATGTGGTGTGTATCTCATCAACTACGGAACTTATTTCTTCACCCTCGCTGGTCTTGAGACCGCGCAAGCGTTCAACATGGGCATTGGGTTCATGGCTATCGGTTGGGTCAGTGTGCTTCTGTCGTGGTACTTGATGCAAAAGTATGGCAGAAGAACGCTCTTCAGCGTTGGCCTCACAATTCTGATGGTGCTCATGTTTCTTGTGGGTATACTTGACCTCGTACCTACAACAGGAGCGATATGGGCGAAGTCTTCATTGTAAGTGTACATTTTCTGACGTTGAATCTTGTGCTGACTCTCCAGGCTCTTGGTGTGGAATTCAGTGTACAACTGGAGCGTCGGACCTGTGGCTTTTGCCATTTTCTGTGAAGTCAGCGCGACGAAGGTACGCTCGAAGACTGTCGCCGTCGCAACCGCCATTCAGGCTGTTTTCGGAATCATTATGACTGTCGCGATTCCGTACTTGATCAACCCAGACGCAGCCAATCTGGGTGGGAAGCTTGGGTTCTTCTTTGGTGCGCTCAGCATCCCATGTCTGGTATGGTGTTATTTCCGTGTTCCTGAAATGAAAGGCAGAACGTACGAAGAGCTGGACCTCATGTTTGAACGGAAGGTACCCACGAAAGCATTCAAGAATCATGTCATAGACTAGAGGTCCCTCATGACAGATATAGGGTGTCGCAATGGCTGCTTCTTTGGCCAGGAGTATGGTCTTAAATGGATTCGTGCACGAGGAAGAGAGTGTGGAAGCACAAAGATCTGATTTGCTACTGAATGAAGAAGAGCATATTGATTTGCATATCGCAATCCCATCAATGGCCATGTTTATGCTCCACATTCAACCTTTCAAGATTCCGCCCCCAATTCTTCGCAGTCGAATTTGCCAACCAATCTCCAAGAACACCATCGCTTAGACGCACGTAAGATCGGCAGTAGCCTCGTCGAAAGTGCAGCGGTCGGTGTGCTCGAATGCAAGCTATGGTTTTGTTTTTAGTCGAAGTTTTTTTAAGCTTCCGTGTGTAGCTGGAACTTACGTTGATGAACCCACCGTCGCCCTCGGTGAAGAACTGGTTGGGAGCGGCAATGTACATACACTCGTAGTCGGTGTTGAGAAGTCCAAGTTTGAACTCGACAGAGTTCTGACCGTCGATGTTGGCGGGGTCAGCGACCGAGAAGCCTTGGTTGTAGCAAGCGGCGGCTTGGAAGCGGGCAGGGTCGGGATTCCTAGCCATCATCTCCTTGGTAGTTTGTTTGGTGAAGGCCTCGCGAGCAGAATCGAAGTTCTGGACGTCACCAATGAATTTGGCAGTGGCGCTGACGGCCTCGGAGACGACAGCGCTGACAGCCGCAGTACCAGCCGCGACGAGAATAGTAGCGAGGACTGGCTCGCGCTTGCTGAGGCTGTTCTCTCTGGCATCGACAGTGCTAACGCTCACGGGGACGGCGGCGCCGTTGACAATAGCAGAGCAGCCGGCAAGAGCAGCGACGACGGTGGTGAAAGAAGGCATGTTGAGTCTTGGAAAGTCACAGACTTGAGGTAAAAGAAGCGAACTGACGAGTGTTGTGAAGACGAAGTTAAGAAGTGAAGGCGGTATGAATTGAATGATTGACGGATATGTAGACGACTGGGCCTCACCTTTTGTACCTTTCTAGTCCGTCAACTTGATCTGAGTGCTGCCACCTTTTACTCGGCCTATATCGCGAACCCAAGCTCTCAGTCGGTCCGAGGACGAAGTGACCCCTAGTGTTCCCTGCACGTCACATTTTCAAAACTTCTCTCCAGGTGCATTTCCCTTGGCAGAGCAGACATCTCAAGGTATTCGGTTGTACAACCTGAGGGAACGAGATAGAGGGGTGAGTCGCCGGAAACGATCTCGTGACTTGTTAGTGCCTGTTTCACGGGTACTGCCGATGTCACTATAGCTTTCAGCCTCAGTCTGGGCGTGAGAGTCACGACCACGCCCGTAACGAGGTAACGTGCCCGCGGCTGTCATTTTACCCGTAGTGGCGTCTTGTCGAAGGGACCAATCGCGAATCGAAGCTTCGATATGCGCCTCTTTTTGGACGTCTTGGCATGATCCATCTGTAGGGCCGACTTGATCTTGATTGATAGGTAGGGCCGACTTGGTGTTACACACGGTTTCAGCTGGGCAGCTGTCAGAATTAGCACAAGGATGTAGCCAATAATGACTACGAATACTCACAGAACGCTGTGAGGTGCATTACTGTGACAAGGTCGCAGTCGTCTTGGCGAGCCTTCTAACACATGCGACTCACGTCAGAGCCAGGACTGTTGGTAGGGGAAGCCGAGAAGGCATGACTATTGCAGCTGTTAAGGACGTGCCCTTTCTCAAAATCGAATGTCGGCAAGCTGCCAAGCCTGTGTGCAATACACCGAGTTCTGCCAGCTGCAGACTTGGCTAATGCTATCGAGCTGCATTGAACACGGACAGAACACCACTATCAAGGTGCAGCCAACGCATCGCCGCCCCGGCGAAATTTACCCCGTTGAAACATTTCGTTACTTTCATGAAGGCTCTTTTCGACCGTCCCGATGTCTTCTCTGTACTCTAGACAACCTGGCAGTCGCCTCGGGTTTCTCACAATGTCCTGATAGACAGACAACCGGTGCCGATGCAGCCGAACAACAAGAGCAATAAGAGCAACAGACAGACTGCACACCACAAAAGTACAATCCTAAACGCAACACTAACTGCACAACAACAAAGGTACAACATGACGCTTACTCGAAAGCTTTGAACAGCTCAGGCAACGTCTTCTGGCACAACGAAGCAGTAGGCGCGCTCTTTGAGCGTGCCTACGACTGGATCCTCTACACCTGTGCCCGTTGTTATCGTCGTCGTCGTCTTAGATGTTGCAGTGGTCGTTGCTATCTTTGATCTCTTCTACTGAAGCGATAGTCGCAGCATCGACGATTGTACGCCTTGTAAGATGGCCTTTGCTGTACTCTGGCTGTGCGGTGTGATCACTATGGTGAGCCTGGCAATTCGCAATGTTACATCGTGAACTGTGAGATTGAGAGACGCGAGTGAAACACAGCGGAGTGGACCTTTGATTGGGAACGCTGGACGGAGACTGCGTAGGAATGTGGGACTGGGCTACGATGTTGCGTTGGAGAGGTGATGCAGGCTGGGCAGCATGCGATGGTGGTAAGGCTGCATCCGTTCAATCAGGCTTGAACTCTGCTGAAGGCTATAGCGATACACCTCGTATGTATACACTGCGTATGAGGGACTCGGATGTTTTTTGTAGGGTCGTTCTCCCGGAATAGAATCGACTTAGTGTTCACGCATTTGACTCCAGGTGCTCTGGGTATGCGCATGAGCTATCTACATTCTACAATTACTACTAAGCGCTCTCTTGACCTAGATGACTAGTGTATGCGCGTGTATGCCTTCACCGAGCGATACTGACAGTATTCAGACTCTTTCGTCTGACGAGTCTTGTAGAGGTTGTCTCTACAAACTACGCGCTTGTGCCTTTCTCTATGTGTAGGAATTGTTCCCACTGCCACGCCGTCGACGTATCACATGGTAGTGGGTACGGTATCGTGGAGTGAGGGCACGTGGTGCTCGGTAAATCGAGGGCCGCGATGGAGCAGGCGTGTGCTGATACGAGATTGCTGTGGGGATCAACCTGATGCTGGCAGTCGTATCGTAATGCCAGGTAGCCATAGCCGGCATGACTATGTGCACATACGCCTTCTCCTCCACATGCCACAGTGCGACCGCCTCAAGCTCCTCACGCTGGTCTTTCTTGCCCGGTCGATCAAGAAATGGCATTGCGACTGTTACTTCGCATCATTCAAAGCTCATGTCTCTCTTACAACAGCATCGGGCGTGGAAACGCCGCAGGTGGCGCGTTGGAAGTTTGGAAGGTACGCTCCGGATATGCCGCCAGCGCAGAAGTCATCGAGGATGCCATGTGGGTTCATTGAGCATGCGTTGAGCTCTCGGACGGGTCTTGTTGGACGAGTGTAAGCGGCGAGGCCGGGGCAGACGAGTCTCTTGCTCGTAGGACCATAACGCGTTCGCCTGTCCATTGTCGCGTATGACGCTTCTAAAATGCCGAACGCTGGTGCGGGAGAGGCGCATGCAGTTGCGGAGTGCGGGAATGGGACGTTGGGGCTGGCGCTGGCGGCGGAAGGGCTGCCCCGGACATTTGTCTGCCGTGCCGAGTCCAAACGCCCGCCGCCAGATCGATTTCGTCAACACCAGAATCGCACCATCATCAACTTCATGACCAGGTGCTTGATGCGCACATGCGATAGTGCGTTGATACAGCAGATTTAGGCATACGCGATGGACTGCCGTTGATTTTTCGCTAACAACAGGTTGTGCACACGCGCCACGTCCGTCCCTACATATCGCATGGCAACAAACAGCCGCTCCCGACTCTCACAACCCTCGCGATGCTCAACCGCCTCCGCCAGAAATGCTCAGCAACCCCGGACTTCGCAGGGTGGGCAACAGTGGCGATGAAGGCCCACAAACTTGTCGTATAGTAACATAAGTAACGCAGTTAGGGCAGCCGAAGCAAAGAAGTGGAGCCACCACGTCGTAGCATTTCCCCTCCTGAGCAATCTCTCTTTGGTGACCACCGGTGGTGTAGCTTCGACGTTACTCTCGTTGTGTGAGCGAGCTTGCGATAACATAGTTTTCTCGTTCTCCGACATCTTGGTGAGTGTCTGCGAGGCTCGACGATAATATAAGGCACGAGTAAAGAGCGTAATGTTAAGGGCGTCGCTGTCGATCGGGGCGTCTCGTGTGTATAGATTTCGCAGTCTAGGACAGAGCAGACGTAAAGAGGAATCCCATTTCTATTAGGTCTGAGTTGGAAGTCCATATTACCCCCCAAACGAAACGCTACTACCCGCCTGTTCCGCTAAGAGCTCCCCTATCTTATGTTACTCCCGCGCATCTGTGTCTAGCCGTTAAACGTGACCTGTAGGAGCACTCTGAGCATACTCGCGTCGCAAGGCTATCGCTCCAGTCACAAACCATCTTCCAGAAGTTGCTATAGTTATCGTTAGCTCTCTTTACTAATAATCGATATAAAGCTAGAGACACCTGCCTGCTCACGTGATAGGTCTTAGCGCTGCTGCCTAGCACATGCATATATGTTAACGAGGGGCAAATCCTTCAGGAACACTACACCCGCAGCGACAACCCCGTCCTCAACAAGATTCAAGACTTATACAATATTGCAAACAAGTCGCGTAACCTTTTACTCACAAGAAAGGAAACTTAAGTAATAACACAGGAAGGAGAGATTATCCAGGCTTTTATCAAAGCTAATGTTAAGCACGCAGGCGTTCTCATAGATAGCGATAGCGTCAGCTCCTCTTCGAGTAGCCTCACAATTAGGTGTAGGGGCTAGAAGATCCCCAGTTCATTCGTCGACGGCGGTGCCGGGGCTCGGCTCGGGACCGCCCCAGCCTGCAGGGGCAGCTATGTCAGCTAACGTGTGTTGCCTCAAGGCCACCAGCTTGTTAATGTAATCATCATTGTAGAGTACAGAGCTTAGTCATTCTCGAACTAATACCCCCCGAGAACCGTAAACCTGCATTTGACACTCTTCCCCTCACTTCACTTCTCCCCTCTTTCTTTCACTATAGCGGGCCTAGAGAAACCATCGCAAGATCCAAGTCCTGCTTGCGAACCCACATCTCCGATGTCGCATTTGGAGTCCTTTGAGTCCTTTAGCCATGCCGGAAAAGGAAAGGAGCACGAAGAATCATTTCCGCCGTCCACACCGTCCACCACAACAGCGCCTGACAGAGATATGCCTAAGGATCTCCGGCCAGCGACACTTTCGCGAAGAGCTTCCGTCGTACCTGAAGCGGTTATCGTCGAAACTGAAGCAGTTAGGGTTAAACGGCGAAAGCGACGAGGTCTCCTCGCCAATCTCTCCTTGATACCAGAGGTTGACGACCCCTACCATTATGCCCGCAAGACAAAATGGCTTCTGACCATCCTCGTGGCATTTATGGGAATGGCTGGTCCTATGGGATCTACTATCATAGTCCCTGGGCTCAAGGACATCGCAGAGGCCTTCGATGCCTCCCATACCATTACGAACATGAATGCAGCCGTCTACATGCTCTCCATGGGAATCTTTCCGCTGTTCTGGTCCAGCTTCTCAGAGACGAGCGGGAGAAGGACAATATATATCGTCTCCTTTGGCCTCTTTGTGCTCTTCGGAGCCTTGGCTGCTGTTTCAACGACTATGGCTATGCTGATCGTCTTCCGAACGTTCTCGGGAGGAGCTGCAGCATCCGTCCAAGCTGTCGGAGCAGGAACGATTGCCGACATATGGGAGGTCAAGGAGCGGGGCCGAGCAATGGGAATATTCTACTTGGGCCCCCTTTGTGGTCCACTCTTCGCACCAATCCTTGGCGGAGTACTAGCAGAAGAACTCGGCTGGCGGAGTACACAATGGTTCCTCGTAATATACGGCAGCATGACACTCCTCGTGCTAGTCTTCGTACTCCCCGAAACTCTGCGTTCGAAGACGCTCGCCGCTGCTTCCCTTCCTGCTTCTACTCCCGAGAAGCGACCAACCGGAAATCTCAAACGCGTCTCAACTACACAGTCTGTTGCCGAGAAGTCCAAATCTGTAGCCTCCCACCTCCGCCGCATCTTCGTCGATCCCTTCTCCATCCTACTCTACCTCCGTTTCCTTCCTGTCGCCCTCACAGTGTACTACGCCTCCATCACTTTCGCCTTCCTCTACTTTCTCAACATCTCCATCCAAAAGACATTCTCATCCGCTCCCTACAATTATTCCACCCTTATCGTCGGCCTTCTTTATATCCCCAGCTCCGTCGGATATATGCTCGCATCTCTCTTAGGTGGAGTCTGGATTGACCGCATCATGCACCGAGAAGCGCGAAAAGCCGGCCGCTACGACGACAAAGGCAAACTAATCTTCCGCCCTGAAGACCGGATGCGTGAAAACGCGTGGATAGCAGCCTTTCTCTGGCCCGCGGCTCTCATCTGGTACGGCTGGACCACCGAGAACGGCGTCATTTGGATAGTGCCTATGGTCGCTAACTTCTTCTTCGGCATCGGATCCATGCTCATTACGTCTGTCAGCACCACCATGTTGACCGAGTTTATGCCGAGTAAAGGCTCGGCGGGGATGGCTATTAATAACTTCTGTAGGAATTTGTGTGTATTTGGGGCTACGATTGCAGCGGATCCGGCGATTGATGCCATTGGGAATGGCTGGTTGTTTACGATATTGGGGTTGTGGGCTTTGTCGACGGGTGGGTTGGTGCTGGTGGCTATGAACAGGCGTTCGGGGAGGTGGAGGGAGGAGATGGTTGAGGCGTTGGGGGAATAGGGCATAGGGCAAATATGGCATTAGGAGTTAGGCGTTTGGGTTGAGTGGCAGCGTCAAGGCATTAGACTCTTCAGCGTTTTCCTATGTATGTACATGCGTCTGGAGCTGTGTTTCTCCTATGTACCACTGGCATATTTTATTCATGTACCACTGGAAACATCTTCTCTCCATGCCATTATAGTCTCCAACAGGTTCGTGGGATAGGGTGATAAGTGAATCGTGCATTTTCGACGCACACGGTGACGAGATGACCGTTCGGTGAAATGTTCTTACTACCCAGATCTTCCCTTTTCGTGGCATTATGATATCTATGTAGCTTGGCAACTATCCTGTAGCATCCATCCTTCCATCTGGAGCACACCTCAATAGAGGCACTTCTGATCATCACTCGCTCGCAACCTCCCCTCCGTTGCAGAGTCAGGTACGAGAACCTCACTGATCACCTTGCCGATTGTCAGCAGGTGGTGATTTCAATATCTCCCCACGATGGGAGACATCCCAACACGAATTCCATACTCCCCGGTAAAAGCGAGCACATTCAAAATCAGTGTTGCCTCCCGTATCTGCACCCAAGGCCACTGGAATATGGAGCTCGGCAACAGCGGCTGCAGAACCGCAGGAAGAAGCTCCAGGGGTGCAACACGGATCCTGTGGGATGGTAGTGTATAGCGTAGAACATGTAGTCATATACCGATAGATCTCCATTGCAATTTACTAGGTACACCGTATTGGTCTAGTGCGTATCTCGTTCTGCTTTCCTACACACTGCGATATTGCGGCGAGTTCTCCTTACTTATATGCGACACAACCATATCACGGACTATGACCTAACGCGGATTCTTATCCTTCAAACCCGTGTCTTCGGGTCCAAGCTAGAGAGATGGGTGACACTCGTGCTGAAGATCGAGCAAAGGAAATCTGTATATCCTCGAGCGATAAACCCCGGGTCTCGCGCATGCAGATTGCAAGCACCATTAGTGTCAAGAGGGCAACCCCACCGAAGAGGAAGTACGCACCATACGCCGACTTGGCCAGGAAGATTGGGGTCGCGAAAGCGACCAGCCAATTCGCGAGCTGATCGGAACGAATCAGTAAGCGATGCGCAAGGGGATTATGGATTTTTTTGTAGCTGGGCAGCATAGGCATTTCACTCACAAAACTACCACCCGTCGCCATCGAATTGGTCGTCGCACGGGTCTTGGTGGGCTGGATTTCCGACGCATATATCTTTCCGACGATGGCCCAGGTCGAGACGTATCCTAGAGCAAACACAAACACGGAAACGATAACGACCCATCGCGCCGCACCATATGAGTGTACAGCATCCGCAGCGTACAGAGAGCCGATCAGAAGCATGGTCGCGGAGAGTATCACTCCACCGCAAATGGCAGACGTGCGCCGACCCCACTTATCTGCGAGAAGTGTGGCAGGAATACTAAAGGCGAGCATGAGGATAGCGCTGATGCCAGATGCGAGGAATGATGCTGTCTGTGACGGTATTCCTGCTTGGGCAAAAATCGTCGGCGCGTACTGGGACATCGTGTTAGCAAGTGCAATGACATCCTGTCTGCATGGCACAACACATACGTAGAGCACCCCATCAATGCCACTGAGCTGAATGAACGAAAGTATGAACACTGCGAGCCATGTTTGCGATCGATGATCTTTCGTGAATATCAAGCGTAAGCCTGCCAATACTCCAATCTGGTCTTCAGCAGCCGCAGACTCGACAGGCCGTAACACATCTTTTTCCGCTTCAGCTGTCCCAAAGTCCAACTTCCTAAGCTCTTCCATCGCCTGGTTTCTTCGTCCATGCAAGATGAGCCAACGCGGGCTCTCTGGTAAGAAAAATGACCCAGTCGCCCAAAGTACTGCGAGCGCCGCTTGAAGGATGTATGGCAAGCGCCACGACATATCGCCCTTGATGTGAATGCTCCCGTAGCACGAGAAATAGCCAACGCACACCCCAATCGCCGCTCCAAACTGCTGCAGAGATACAAATCTACCGCGACTTCGACTCGGTGCGATCTCACAGATGTACACCCCAATATTGGTGAGAGCAAATCCTTGGCCGATGCCCATCAAGGCACGTCCGACGAGAAACAGCCAAAGATGGAACGCAGCGCATTCGAGTATGCAGCCGATGGTGCACAGTACTGCGCCCGCAATCATGATGCGTAAGCGTCCAAACCGATCTGCCAGATGTCCGGCGATCGTTGCTGGGATGGCGCCGCAAAGCATGATCAACGAGACGGTGAAGCCGCGCATGGTTGGCGACAAATGACCAAAAGTTCCAGTGTAGGAGGGCATCTCAGTGATTGCACCCACTGATCCTGTATCAAATCTGTCTGCAAGTTAGCATCTTTCACCGTGCATCATGTTTCAGCATGTGATAGCACGTGAAATGAATTGACTGCGATCACGACATACCCGTTGAGTATACCACCGAGCGCCACAAACGTGGACGCAAGCGCATAGCCTGGTATCTTTCGAGAGCTGGTTTGCATGTTTGGGGATTCTTCAGTCGTGAGTAAGAGTTCAAGTGCAGGAGAGGTGAGTTCAACAAGTCAAGTGGAATATGTGGTTCAACGGTCAAGTCACATCAGCATCCCCCGCACTTGAGGACAGCGTAACTCCCTATGATTGATAGGGAATGACCTTGATCATAGGCTCGCGCCAATGAGTGAGAGGTTCGCATATGTACCAAAAGAGGGGTGACGTAGGTGGCTGCTTATTCCATCCTTACCGACGACGACGTTCGTCTCAGATAGCAATGAGCTTACGGATCGGCATGAGTGGTGCTCTATCATGGATCGGAGGGGAGGAATTCGCAGACTCTGGGGAATGGCGATGATTGTGTTGTTTTGTGGGTATGCGTTCAATGCGTACCCTATGTCTACGCAGTTGGCAGAACCATGTCTTCCATAGTTTGAGGGGTTCCCAACTGCTTGTGTGACGATGTCGGACTGCACAAACAGGTGCCAGACCATACTATCCTCCATTGGTCAATTCTTCTCGATGGCGAAGTACACAAATGTTTCCCTGACTAGTGTGGCAGAACAAATCGCCGCATGCGTTTTGAATTTGAGACGCGAAGCTGCTAGATGAGAAAATGAGCGGTGCTATTTCCGTCCTAAAGACATCGAGATTAGGGCTCTTCCAAACAAAATTTTTCGTTAGTGTCTGCACAGTGCTCATCGCTCAACTGTATAAGTGCGCGCCGCATTGCCATCAATTGTCGCGTGCTATCTCATGCGCAAGGAAGATGTGGCCTGGTTGGTGTCGCGAATTCCTCGGAGATCTGGCGCGCTCAGACCACAGTTAGCGCGTTGCAGTTGGGGGCGGCGCCTGCGAGGTCCCGACGCGCTTGCATCGCCACACCACGACCAAACTTTTCTTCATCCCGAGACGGTGTAATGCCCGACACAACTGATGTTGCTTTCTTCAACATTACTTCGCAACTATGGACCACACGATGGATAGCATCGATGCCATGCGCGGAAATCCAAGCCCAACGGCAGAGTCGCTACGTTGGAACGATCTGGTGGTTGGTCTCTCGATGACGAATCTTTGCAGCTTACGCTACGTTTGCCACGTCACGTGTCGTCGTGTTGCGCAAACCTCTTTGTTTTGGAACTCCATTACGGGTATCGGCCAAAATCCGCGCTACCAAGATTCGTTATGAAGCTTATTTGCATTGGATGTGGGGAAAGTACGGCCGCTAGGCTTCTTCGCAGTAGCTTGACTTGATGGGTACCTCTTCATCACATCGCCATACTAGTACGGGTACTGCACGTGTCGCGTCACGGCTATATGCGTTATCCTGTGCTCAGATGCTGGGAGTGGCATTCATTTTCCCGGATTGCGCAATGAAAGGATTGGGAAGAGTTGTACCGCATTCGCCTCACTTATCGCCAGGCAAATAGACCAACGCCAAGGAATTCGCACCCCTCTATGCTAACTCAATAGAAGCGTGAGCGACGATATATTTCAGTTATAAAATAAAGTGATAAGTCACAGCTGACATCCGAACGTAGTCTACTCCCAATCTAGCGAGCTTACGAAGTTGTGTTACTAGGCGGGTTACTAGGTGCCTGCTTCCTTAGCGTCAACGGTGTTGTCCCTTCAGTGTCGTTCCAGAAGAGCTCATAGATGCCATTCTCCGACTGAATGCCGCTGAAAGAGGTCGCGATGCTGCCATCGTCGCCGTACAGCATAGCCGTAGACCCGTAGAAGGCGAAGCCAGAAGTGTGCGTAGTAGCGTTGCCGGTACCATCGTTTGGCGGAAGGAAGCCAACACGCTTGTCCCCGGACGAGGGCTCGGGCACGAACAGCGTAACGTTGGACCACGAGGGCGCAGCACTGCCGGCGGTGACGTTCGGATTGCCGACGAAGTGGTGATCAGAGTCCGTAGTGACTGACGATGTTAGTGAATCCGAACCATATGTCACTGGGAACCGGACACGGAAGGGCCTGTGAAACCTCAGAACTTACAGATCACAACAGCAGCATCCGAGCTGTTAGAAAGGCTCGGGTTGCCAAGGTAGGCGAGGCCGTCCGCATAGAAGAGCGGCAATCCACCAAAGCGATCACTGTACGCATACAATTGGAACGTCGAGGACGGGGACGCATCACGCTTGCGCGCACCCAGGACGACAAGAGGAAGGGAGGCAACCAGAAGGTTTCGCATGTCGAGACGCATTTTGTAAAGAATGGATCTTGCTCTGTTGAGAAGTGTCAATAAAGGAGTGTGGAGAAAGTTGGGTGACGGTCTGCTATTTCTGCAGCTTGTACTCTCTTATGTAAGTCGACGCCGATCGTGGAAAAGATCTCTTCCCAAGATATGGACAGGCAACGCAAGCACGCCGCGAGGCCTCTACGGCCTATCGTTGGAATCAGCAAGCCAACGTAACGTCGCAACGCTATCAGATGACATCCGATACCTCGACACTAGGCGCCCAACACACGTATGCAATAAGGCTGGCACTATTGGCGGGCGCGTCCGCCGCGTCACTCCCTGTTACCAGGTCTGTAGGCCACAGATGCTGGCCAGATTGGTATTTACCCGGTTCGTAACATCTACTTATGGGCGTCTGTTTGGAACTAGCCAATCACGTGGCCTGTGTTCCTGAGTCGTGATGGGACGTGCGGCATCTTGGCACTACCCGTGCCTTCAGGCGCGGCGGTTTCGCGGCTCTCAGCCACAGCTTGTTACCCTGCCGCCTCCCTTGACCTAGGCTCTGTCAATGGCCTGGGACTGTTGCATGATCCTCGTGGATTGCGCGTGTCATGTTATCAGCATCGGTGAAATTACTCCTATACTTTCAATCGACTTTACAAGAATAGTCACGACTGCGTGTGGGCCGTACAGAGTTTGCTTTTAGGCTGGGTCGACTAGACTAAGTTAGCGGCTCTGCGATATGGAACTCTCCGCTGCCTGCAGCAGTATTACGCCGCGCGGCGTTGAACTTTGGTGGGGATAGCAGAGGGGTAGTCTGAGGCACGACGATGAACATCGACTATGGGTCGCACGGTGACATGAAAGCAGGGTGAGGAGAACAAGTCTCACAGGTATGCTGATCTCGAACGTATATAGGTCAATCACTCTTTCCGTGCTGGAAATCATCAAGCTTTCTTTACACTCGCTTCCATCGCTTTACTCTCCTTTTTTGTGCATCATTCGGCAACACTTGTTGTGGACACTCTTTTTTTGTTGGCACAATCACATTGCGCTTTGGTTCATATCATGCTTCTTCGCGGTATCTTCAGCATCGCCGCTCTAGCCGGCTATGCAACTGCCTTTCCCTTCACTTCGGATCTACGACCCAGAGCAGCCTGTGACGGAAACACCGCTACCACACGTTCAGAATGGTGTGACTATTCCATCGATGTAGACCCATCTGACGACGTCCCCGATACTGGGGTTACTCGTGAATACTGGTTGGAGCTCACCGACGTTACTGTTGCACCGGACGGCGTGTCACGCTCAGCCATGGCTGTCAATGGGTGAGACAACATCGCTATCAACTACATTTGCGACATGCACTGACTCCACTTGCACCTTCAGATCCATTCCTGGCCCAACCCTCATTGCAGACTGGGGCGATACTGTCGTTGTGCATGTTACAAACTCGCTCACGACTTCAAACAACGGCACGAGCATCCATTTCCATGGTATCTGGCAGCTGAACACAAATGACCAGGACGGTGTCAGTAAGTAGTCTCAGATCAAGAACGGACTGTAAGAAAGTGCTGACTTCTTACCCCCGCGACTAGGCTCAATCACGCAATGCCCGACAGCCCCGGGTGAATCGATGACTTACACTTGGCGAGCGACGCAATACGGTTCCTCATGGTATCACTCCCACTTCGCGCTTCAAGCATGGCAAGGTGTCTTCGGCGGCATCATCATCAACGGACCCGCTACCGCCAACTACGATGAAGATCTAGGCGTACTAATGCTCAATGATTGGGATCATCAGGTATGTTCATGCCCACGAGAAGCTCAGTCGTTAAACCCCACTAACTCGATGTAGACTGTTGACGAACTCTACATCACCGCCGAGACTTCTGGACCTCCAACACTAGACAACGGACTCATCAATGGTACGAACACGTACGAGGATGGAGGCTACCGATTCAACCAATCATTCACTTCTGGCACGTCCTACCTATTCCGACTTGTCAATGCCGCCGTGGATACACACTGGAAGTTCATGATCGACAATCACACCATGACCGTGATTGGTTCTGATCTTGTCGCTATCGAACCCTACGAAGCCACAGTCATCAGTATCGGCATGGGCCAACGTTATGATATCGTCGTAACAGCCGACCAAACCGATGCTACTGACTTCTGGATGCGTGCCATTCCTCAATCAGCCTGCTCCGAGAATGACAATGAAGATGATATCCGTGGCATCATTTATTACGGAGACTCACCCGGTACCCCCACTACCTCGGCCTACGACTACGAGGACAGCTGCTCCGACGAGACCGACAATATCGTGCCATATGTCTCCAAGACCGTTGGTTCCACAGCTAGTACCACAGCCGACGAGCCTGTCGCCGTTGGGTTTAACAGCGAGAATCTCTTCAAATGGACCTTGAACAGCACAACCTTTGTCTCTGAGTGGGAAGATCCAACCCTCATGAAGATCATGGCAGGCGAGACGGCCTTTGAGACATCCAACGCAGTAGTCCTGTTGCCCAATGCCGATGAATGGGTCTACGTCGTCATTTCCACGACGCTCGCTGTGCCTCATCCAATCCACTTGCACGGCCATGACTTCTACGTCCTCGCGCAGGGCACGGGTACTTATACCGATGGCACGACAACTCTCAACCTTGACAACCCGCCCCGTCGTGATACTGCTATGCTTCCTGCATCCGGGTACTTGGTATTGGCTTTCGAGACGAACAACCCCGGAGCTTGGCTCATGCATTGCCACATTGGATGGCATACGTCTGAGGGCTTTGCGATGCAGTTCGTCGAGCAGTACGACTCAATTGCGGGCATCACGAGCAACGACACATTGACCAGCAACTGTGAGAGTTGGACGAGTCATACCGAAACGGTCGGCATTGAGCAGGATGACTCCGGTGTATAGTTCGCGGAAGATGTTTCTGCTGCCGCTGCTGTGGCTCACTGTGTTTGGTGTCGAAGTTATAGCTGTCAGCGGTTTTTGTGTAGTGCAGCCTGTCCTTCCAGCGCGCTTACCCTCCACCGTCTGAGCTACGTCCAGTAGTGGTAATCCTTAGCTCCATGTGTATACGCTCTTTTGTACCCCTAATCGCAATCACACCACGTTCTTTAGAGCTGTTCTCTGTTGACTTGTCCTTATAAACATTGTGTTACAGTTACTACTGATTTAAGATTTCCGACTTTCAACTTTATTATCGGCGACGCACATTTGCGCCTAATGTATTGACAAGACTCAGGCTTCTGTGCCCAGAGAGCAAACAGGTTGTAAGATTCGCCTGTATTGCGGAGCTGTCCCACAAGTCTAGCGGGCAATGGCTCAATGTCTGCCTTAAGCTCAACCGGCTGTATCTTCTTAAGTGTGGCTGTGGCGAACGAAGCTGTCGCAAACATACTCTGTAAGCTTAGCTCACGCACATCCTCCTTTGCCTTGGCTCCTACCGGCACAGCGACGATTGCGTCTTGCACTTCCGTTAGACCCGCGTTCTCGAACAATGCCGTCAGGCCCTCCCTCATGTCCACGACCTGTCCGTTGGTGACCATGCCTACAAGCTGCCGCATGGCCTGTTGGAATTCTTGGAGCACTGGACCGGCATCTCAGTCCTGCCACTGCATCTCGACCAGCTGAATCCAGCCATCAGGCTTTAGCAATTTGACTAGGTTCATGACAGCATCTTCCAGTGAGCTGAGACCGACGCCCGGAAGTGCCATACGTGAGTGCACTAGATCAAATGTCCATTGCCATTGTAGCGGCCACGGCTCGGTCATGGACTGATGGTGGTACGAGGTGTCGTTTGGAGTCTCTTTTGGGAAATAGCTATCTTCAATGATGGTTTCTATCCATGTGCCCGAAGCACCTCCGGCCGCCTGGCGCACATCTCGTAGCCAGATACCTTTCTTCGTTAGCTTTGAACAGTCCTTCGGCTCGGAGATAGCTACCACTACCAGTAGCGTGGTCCAAGACTCGGTATCCGCTCTCGGCAAGGTCGATGAATGCGAGAACGAGCTGAGGCATTGCAGAGTAGACCACTTTGTGCTGCTGGTCGAGACGCTGGACCCCGTCCTCGTTAGCGTCAAAGATGACGTTATCATCGTTGAGTCCAGTCTTAGAGATGGACGTAAACGAAGGCATACTGCCAGTATGGAGTGGGGCAAGAAGAAGAGAAATCGGGATTCTTTCGGTTACAAATATGTATGACTGACGGCCGAGTTGACGCTCGAAGATTAATTTCCAAGCTGATTCTAAATGTGGTTTGTCTTAAACATTACGCCCAATCTGACTGCATAATCGGGTTCGCACAGTGCTAAAAGTCTCTGTCGTGAATCACATATGTCTCCGCAAAAGTCAAATGTCTCGGAATCGTGAGCAGAAAAGCTTGCTACTAAGTGACAATCGTGATGTCTTGATCTTCGTTTCTACATCTTGATACAATCCCCTGCATATGTGAACATTAGTTAGCTTCGTACATCAAACTCTAAGCATACTCGCAATGCGCCGGCAGCAAGCAGCCACACACCTTTGAATAACGTGGGTAGATCGCTTGGAGGGAACTTACGAACTGTCCCTGAGTGTAAACCTTGGAAAAGGACCGGAACGACGGTAGAAGATGCAGATAAGACGAAAGATCAATACGACCGAGGTTCTAATACATCGTCCTCCATATCGGTTTACTTGATATCCACAAGCTTGAGAGCAAGACAATACCCATGCCGGCAAACGCCTCAATCCTTAAGAGGTCGTTCGATTCGCATGCATGCGCATCAAGTGATCCATCAACTTGTCCTTCCTCGGGAAATCTTTTCCCATACAGCGCTTGCTTCTACTACCTGATGCGATAATAACGTCAGTTACTCATTTCTTGTGATCCTTTTGGGAGCTAGCGAGCTTGGAGAGAGGATGTCAGAGATCTGTGAAAGGCGACTCACATCCATCGACAGGACACCAGGTACGTTGTCCTTTTCCTCCGGCTCCGCCATGTAAACTAGAGTGGTGTCGCTTGAGGTCCGCAAGGCGACCGAAAGTCATGCCTGAACAGGCGCGCGCGTTACATCGGTGTTGATCACCGCGTACCTCCCCGTTACTGAGGATCACGCCAATGACCACGTGCTCGAAATCGCTGTTTGCAGTAGGACTGTGAATGTTTTCATAGCCCGACATGCTGTGAACTCGAGGCATTGCTTTTCGTGGAGGTACAGCACTGACAGCTAGTGCATTTGGAGTAGCGGGAAGCTGATATCTGTGAAACACAGACGTTAATTAGCCTATTTTTAGAGGATATAGAGCTACATATAAGCGGAATAGCGCGTTCCTATGCTCTAGCGTTAACAGGAAAACAGAACCGGCCGCAGTACGTAAGAGCAGCAGGACAAGTCATACTGGGATTGGTCACTCTACGTGTGATCGTAGCACGGCGCAAGTCATACTGAGGTCCGTCGCGCTGCTTGCACCCGGCTACGACCGTAGCGTTATAATATTGAGCCTTGTCCTGTCTGCCTTGCCCGAATACCAACCCTGCATTGGGATTAACCCGCATCGGCACCGGGTTGGAAAAAGCCAGGATAGAAGCAGGCACATAGCCTTGGGATCGGGCTAGGGTTAGAATCAATCTCTAGTCATGTCCAACGAGCCATGTCTAGCCATCTCAGTTACCTCCGTAGAGCTCGATTACCTCCGTCTTGCTCCGGCACGACAGAGTATCTGGCTCTGAGATTCTTGGCTTATTCAATGGCTGTCACAAAGTGGACCCCGTCGCGGATCATTCCTGCGCCATCGGTTGACATGCCGTGAAAGAGCTGTACAACCACGCATTGCGACAAGAAGCTGAACTTGCTGACTTTTTCTCGTGCTCTTCACCACCCCACGTATACCACAATTACAATGGGTACAGAATATGTTGCCAATCCCCAGCGCGTCGCCGCAGAATTGAAGGAGCCTCAGGGCTTTAATCATAATGCTCGTTCTGCCATTGCGGGTGCGCTGGGCTGCTCAGACACCCATGGAGCCTTCACGCCAGTTGATGTGTGGGTTGGGACAGCTTCACGTCGTCTACCCGCTTCCACTGACCACATGTAGCCTGCTCAAGGGATTTCAGGCATCCCGCCTAAGACCGTGGCATGCTAGCGGCCCTGAGTTATTACGAGCGGTTGTGAACGAATAGGTTCTATTATTCGGCGTATATTCAATCTTACGAAACTAAAGAAGGGCCTGATACAATTAGCACGATTCTATACTTCGGATAGTCTCTAGAGTACAGCCGAGTCGCTATATAAATAGGGGAGTTCTTATGTCCACATGCCTAACCTATCAACAGAAACATCTTTATTTTCAAGAGCTTTCCCTGCTTTCCAGTCATAATGCAATACTCAATCGCCGTTTATCTCCCCCTTTTCGCCGGACTCGCGAACGCTGGCAAAATAGCATTTTTGCCAGGCACCCAATCTGCCGTATGTGGTTTCAATGGAGGTTTCTGCGATCAGCCCACCTGCTATGCTGAGGTTGTCGATGTTCATGGATGTTCGGGCCAGACTGATATGTGGGGCGGCGATTGTATCGGCGGACCAAGCACTCTGTCCGAATCCATCTGTGGGAGCGCTGAAATCATCATCAACAACTGCCACCCTGACAAGCACTGTGTGGACTTTCACAACGCAGCAGGTGATACTGCGCGCTTCATCTGCACGGGCGGTCCTAATGGAGATGGATGTGGCGATTCCGAATCGGGTACATGCGCGGACGTAGGCTTAGGCAAATGCTAGAGTCTTACAAGAAGGTATTGCAATCCTCTAAACTTCATAACTACAGGCTACACACTAACGAATCTTCCAAGTTATTGCCACTTGGTATATATCCTGCTATGTACTATCAATATAGTACAATCCTAGATATATCATACCTTTGAGTACGCCTGAGACGCTTGACTGCGCATTACCGATGTACATCCAGGCGTAGCCTATTGTTTAACCATCTGAATTCATTCTAAATCTCAGGTTCTACCTGTCAACGCATATCTCTACTCGTCAATAACACCTTTATCTCCGGGATACCCAAACTGAACTAAAGAAACAAATAATCATGAGTCGGTTTCTCATACCATTTTCTCGATGTCACTGCTGCGCCCCCATGTCACTGCCCCTCGTGAGTCGGTTGATCAAGGTCATGTTTGTATAGTGACTACACCAGCATCCAAGCCAGTCCAACCATCTGACTTTCCCAAGCTAACTCTATTGCAGAACTCGGAAGTTGAGCACTCAACTGGTATATTGCCCGTCATTTTCATGGTCACGACGAGTTGAAGTCATTTCTTTCCCCACAGTGGCTTTGACATGTCAGTCTGGCGCTCAACGGCATCTATGTCACTAGTACGGTCGATTACGGAATGATTGCTGGGATAGGCTCGAGAGCTTTTTGGTGACATTGCTCGAACTAGCCATCCGCTTTTCAAGTGGGAACATACCTCCTGGCAATACTAGCTAATATGCTCGCGTATGTTCTTGCTAATTATCAGCTAAGAACCGCTTCCGACCCTATTCCAGTGTGACAACATTACGAACCTGCTCTGAACTTCTAGCCACAGAATCCTAAGACTATGACGTGGCTGCAAATTGTTTGCATCCTGTGAGTGGACGTACTGATCTACTAGGCTACACTACTTGGATTGGGCGGCCACTTGGGTCGATGGAACACCTGCCTACGCTTTTCTTTGCTGCACCTTGTCGCTCCCTGCCCTGCCCTACTGTCCTATGGCGTTTTGCCTTGAAAGGCAGTCTTTACTTCTTTTGCGGGCTCTCGCGGGTTCGGACTGTATTTATCCACGTCACGTTTCACCCAGACTAGTGGCGGACAATGTATATGCATACAGTTTGTTACGCTTAACGTGTTTTACAAGCGAGCGCCGCGAACACGGCGATGTTGGCGAGACTTGTGCTGTCCGCAAAACAACGCAACGCATTGCACTTACTGTTCCTGACGCCCTTCGACTAGGAGAACCTGGTCGTTAGTGGCTGTAGGCGCGATCATTTGGTCGCCATGATACACATCATTGTCGGCCGCTGAGTTGGAGGCAACTCCTGCGTAGGGTTCCTCGAAGTGATAGTGCGCCATTATGTTTTGAGGGGAACTGGAACTTGGAAGCAAAAGTCTCCAGAGTAGTCCATACCCAAACTGCAAAAATCAACGCACCATATCCATTGCCCCCAAAGGAGAAAGCTTGAGGATTCATGGAGTCTGGCGGAGGTGCATTCGCGAGATCTAGAAAAGCAAGCATGTCGCTGCTGTCATCGTATCCAAAATTCGTGTTGTTCATATCGGCCACGGGATGCTCTCAACGCTTCGAAAGTCGGGAATATGGTAGATTAGAGATTTGAGAGTGTGCAGTAGAGAAGAAATAGAAAGACAATAAGGCAGTATCGCATTCGAGAAATGGAGATATGGCAGCGTCTTGTATGATTCGGGGGGCGGTGAAAGCGGGGCATGATCGAGCTGTCGCCCCAATGTGCCCTATTGCGCCTCATAGTGCACCGCGCATCGAATCAGGCGCAAGGAAGGGATTGGTCATTTCTCATCACAGTTCAGCCCATTGAGTCCTCCATACCCCAATCCCCAGACATGCGCGGCGTAGTACCTACCGTAATTCGCCATCCACACACTATGATAGCCTCTCATCGCATCCCTCAAGCGATCCAGGAGTGCATCGGCCTTATCCTGTTCCTCTCTCGAAGCACGCGAGAAGAACTTTGCTCGCAGAACATGGAACCAGAAAGTCGTCTCAACGGTAGCCATCAGACCAAGGCCGGCATAAACAGTATAGCGCACTGCTGGTTTCGCGGTCTGGAGTTGCTTGATGAGGCTGAAGGACGGGAGCGACGGGTTCTCGGCTTGTTGACGTGGTAATGGTGGGGAAGACGTGGGGTTCTTGCTGGAGTTCGCTGCCGTCTGGAAGCGCCGCGTGTTCATGACTACAGCATGCGCTGCATCGTGCAGACGATGAAACATCCGTTTCAACGGAGTGATGCGCATCTTCCCGGGTCTGAGAGCCATCCGGTGAGGGGTCATACGTAGGTAGTGAGGCTGAAGAGCGCACGTGATGTCGGAACGATGAAGTGGCAGAGTCGCTGAAAGAAGATTGTGACTTGGTATGAGATTTGGACCCAAACCTACCTTGCGCTCACCTACAGACATTCTATATACTCATCGTCTTCGCAGTTTGGTGACTGATGCTGTCGAAGTCATGGGAAAGGCCGACGCCAAGCCTGGAATGTTTGTTTTGGGCTTAAGATTGCGAGATATTGGCGTTCGCATCAGCAGTGCAATCTTACTCCGCAGTAGATTTTGCGCAGGGGTCAGCAAAACGGTGCGTCCGAGCGCCGTTGACGTCGCCGGCCAGCTGCGCGATAGCAGTTCATGACGGCTCTCAGATATGGTGAAGGACGGGCGGGACCATATGTCACTGCATGATTGTGCGCGCATCATCGAATCGAGGTAGTAGATGTGTAGAAACAGGGAAGAGCGGAGAGGAAAGAGCGGTGGCAGGGGGCTTGGCGGGGCTGCTTTGCTGGCAGGGACACCTGGTTGAGTGTCTTGTGGGCCGGCGGGCAATAGTCAGGAACAACAAATCGCTCGACGCGCCCGGGTCGTCGACTACCACACCTCCATTTCCCCTACGCCATTTGCTTTTTCTGCTCCCACCGCTCTCCCTATGTCTCTGCAGCTCTTACCCGCCGAATAATTCAAAAGAGCATGAGCGACGCTCTCCGCGTCACTCGCACGCATTTTTTACTCACAACAGCATAGCACCTGCCGCTTATCAAGGCACTGTTTACGCGAACAGAGGGGTCGTACACATGGACACGGCCGGCCTTGGTGGCATGCCAGGGCCTCGGTGTTGCTGTGGGAGCCAGGACTGCGCCTTCCTGGCTCACAACGGAAGACTCTTGGAGGGGCTTGAGAGGGATGTGTCAAAGGCTGCACAGCTGGGCCAGGTATGAAGTTTCCACTCACTGCGCTGCCAGTGATCGCCTGCCCTGCCGCGGCTCTCACCTCGCGCATGCCGCTAACCTTTGCCCTGCAGGCTCTACTCGTCCGCCATGAAGCCTACGTCGCCGACTCGGAGCGCGAACGCAAGGAAATGCTCCACACCATCGACACGCTCGAGAAGGACAAGATAGAGCTCGAGGCCAAGAATGCGCAAACCATCAAGACCAACAGGGACCTCTTGGATCAGCTCGAGCAGCTCAACAGCGCCGTTGCCGAGTCCGATGCCCACATACGCGCGCTGGAAGACACGCTACGATCCACCGAAGACGAGATCGACCGTCTGAGTTCCCTCGCAGCGCGCACCCAGCTGCTCGAGCGCCAGCTGATCGACCTCGAGAGAGAACAGTCGCAGTTGCAGAGCAGTCTGGATGCCAAACTTGTCGACGAGCGGACAGCTATACAACGATGGAAAGTAGCAGAGCGGACTATAGGAGACCTCCAGGACCAGATCGACCGCATCGAGAAGGAATCCCGTGCCGAACGCCAGCGCCACATGGAAGTTGTAGCACGCATGGAGCGCAGGATGGCTGTCGAAGAGAACCTCCACTCTGCCGCCGGCAGGCTCAAGGCTAAAGCAGGGACTGACAAGGGCGGGCCCAACGTCGTCTCCCACTTTGTCAAGGACATTCTACTCGACAACGCGAATTTGCAACACGGAATACTGGAACTGCGCGAGCTACTGGGCAACTCAAACGAAGAGGTAGAGCGCTTGCGAGACCAACTCAAAGTCCATCAGCCGGTATCGAATTCATCTGAAGACGTCACGAGCCCTTCACTGCAGAAAGAACTGGAGATGGAACAAGAAGCGTCACTACAACAGGAACTACACATACATCACCACTACCACGGCCCCAAGGTTTCTCGCAACGTTGCCAAACCGCCCGCGCAGCGACGGCCGAAGAAGAAACGCTTCTCGCTCACCCCGACACACTTTGATCCGCCTCCGACGCTCGACCGCTCATCTACGGCGACAATACTGGAACACACTGCCGTCACTGTACCAAACTCGCACAGATGGTCTCAGGCCTCGACTCTCACACCGGGCTCCTTCGCGGGCTCTCCCGTATCAGACTCCCACCGCGGCTCAATGTACGACCGCGTCTTCAGCGAGGCCTACGACTCATCTCGCCCCACCAGTCCCCCTGATTCAATCGACTTCCACTCGCCCATGTTCGGTCCCGTCAAGTCCAACGACTACAGCTCTGATCCCGACGCTATGCCTCCGATGATGCGACGATCATCTGGCACACTCGAGGTAGCCAAGAGTGGGAGCAAACATCTCCGCCGCAAATCCCGCGGCCTCATGCCACCCAGTCTTTCCACAATGCGCAGCTCCAGCACACCGATTGCCCTGACAACTAAAAGTAGTCCTGCAACGGCTGTGATCTCGGCTGTCAGCCCTGCAAACTCCTTCTCGGATACTAGCTTCACGCTATCGCCATACCTCCAGCAGACGGAGCCCCAGGCCGCCATCCCAGAGGAGCGAGAGAGCGAAGAGTCCTCGCTATTAACAGCAGAGCCTTCACTCATGACATCCACGGGCGACTTTGAGCCCGACGACCTCGTCTCCCCCATGACAGCCATGCGCCCTGCAATGCGTCGTCACGCTTCCCACGAATCCCTCATCTCCGTCTCTGGCATGGACATCCACACTCTGCAGTCTCGACCCTCACAACTCCTCTACTCCAACGCCGCACGCTTCGCCACCCCAGGCAACGCCGGCTCCGTCGGGCCGGAACTCACGCCCTGGACTGCCACCGCGCACGGCACTCTGAGCAATAAGACGAGTCAGAGCAGCATGGCGCAGCGGGATAGGTTGTACGCGAACATTGCGAGCCAGAAGCGCGGGCCGAGGAAGAGCGATGGGCCCCAGGTTGCCAGTGGAAGCGGACAAGGCCTTACAAAGAAAGTCGGGGGTTGGGTGTTTGGCAAGTGGGGTGCTAGTCCTGCTCCCGTCGTCTCTCCCCCTGCTACTGCCACCAGTACTACAGACAACCGTGCGCCTTCGATCCTTAGTCAGGAAACGCAATCCACGCAAGACTCGCAGGCTACGCAGGACTCACAGGCTAGTGAGGGTACAACCAAAGATGGGGATAGGAAGAAGAAACCAAAGTTGAGGCCGAGTGGCGTCAACCAGAATGGTCCTATTTGGGGCTTCTTTGATGAGGTGCCGGATGCGCCAACCAAGGTTGTTGTGCAGGATTATGATGCTGATGCGTTGGGGGAGGCGTTGGCTGAGGCTTCGTAAACGCTTGCTATGAAAGTTGATGGCGGTATATGGGTGCATATACGAAGCATTTCTTACTATCTTTCTCCTTTGGTCTGGGATTACGATAGATTGCATTACCGGCGTTTTTTGGGGTTATCATTACATTTCTCACGAAGAATTTGAATGTCGATACGCTTATGATGCGATACGATGGGACGAAGAGGTTAAGTAGTTCTTCGGGTCGATGGGTTTATTTGGATAGATGAGTCACGAGCTGAAGATTGATACCCAATTTATTACCATGGCGACGTGGGTTTGCTCATTTATCAACACCTTCTACACACATCAGTTCTTCTCTGTTGTGCTTACATCGTTTACAGAATCGTTGACACGTGCACTCGTTCCAACCTTTACCATGTTTTATGCTCCCGTTGGAGACAACGCTCTTCGAGACACACCTCAATGTCAAGACACTTTCTTCGCCCCACACTGCAGCCAGGCAAGTCATTACCAAGATTTCTGAACGACTATCGACAAGGTCCACATGTAACGCTCTCTGCATACCTGTGATGTAGACATTGGATGCTGCACCCGTGACGGATCGTGTGACGACGTAGGAAACGGCAGCTCTCATGTCAGTGACGAGCGCCTTCATCTTCACATATCTCACCATTAGTACCTCGCGCGTAAGGCGGCATGTCGCTAGCTGATTACTCATCAAGCAATGGCAACAAGCATAGCGGGCGAACTAGGGTAAGGAACAAGAGATGAGGGGTGTCAGAGTCCGTCTGGGTTACAAGCTTCAAGTCGTGTCCTATCGGTCCGCTTTGAGCCTGCGTCTTTTCCTCTGCCACTTTGAGCGATCAACTTCAATGGTTCGGACTTCGAAGGTATTCGACCGTACAAGGCCAGTGAGATTGAATAACGTTCGATTGCAGCCACCGATTGACACTTCAACACTCACAGCGCCGTATATGTAGGCTGGGATATTCTTAACCAACTCGCTGATCGTTTGGGTTGGAACGGACCACCAAGCACGCATTTTAGGAATAAAGCTCAGGCACACTATGTACGTGGGGTAGTCTGGTAGTCCCCTCCTCCACATTTCGTCCGAGCCTCCATTCGTTCACGAGCCCAAACAAATGAGACCGGACAAGAGAGGACTCATCACTCCGCGGACATATTGCCACATACTTCAAACTACCAGCAATTAACTAGAGTTTCCGTGCTAATCGATAGCAGCCATAGCTTCGGTTGTACGTTAGTCCCCATGTCTTCTGCTATGTAGACATGAACACTTATATGTGCCTATCAATACTACTCGCACCCATCTTGCGAATTGACCTTCACTTAACCATTGGGCACAGATTGTAGACGTCCGGGCCGACGTCCCCGCATCATAAACGGATTCATCGCTTTCTTGCCATGGCATTTCCAAACACATACCGGGCGTTTCGACGACTCCCCAGTAACACCCCAGGAAGGCTCGAAGTTACGACAGAACACACACCAGAATCCCTAGCATCAACAGAGGTCCTCTTGAAGATCCATGCTGTCTCAATCAACTGGCGAGACGTCGCGATGCTGCATGGTAAATTTCCAGTCAAGCCCATGGAACGAGGCATCGCTGCTTCTGACTGTGCCGCCGAAGTGGTCGCATCTGGACCAAAAGTCGCCGGCTTTCGCAAGGGAGACCGCGTCACCATTACCTGCAACCCTGCCACGATCAATGGCGATGAAGACGAAGAGACTACCGGTCTTGGGGGCGAGCATGATGGCGTTCTACGCGAGTACGCCGTCTTTGACCAGAAATATCTGGTCCACCTCCCTCACACCATGGACTGGAAAGAGGTATGCGAGCGCGTTGTTCATCTCTCCTTTAATTCCGATCCTCGTGCCCTCCTTGCTAACTGAGGGTCCTCACTGACAGGCATCAACACTTCCTATCGCTGGCGTTACCGCCTGGGCGGCTTTGAACTCGGATGCTTCTGGACCAAAGGGTCGCTTTGCTTTGTTGCAAGGTAAGGATACCATACCCAGCTGCTGAACCTTTTGACAAATTGAAAAATAGGAACTGGCGGTGTTAGCACATTCGCACTCCTCCTCTGTGCCGCAGCAGGTATCAAACCAATCATTACTTCCGGATCAAATGACAAGCTCAAAGCCGTCCAGAAATTTGGGGGTGAGACTGGTGTTCTCGGAATCAACTACAAGACATGTCAAGATATTCCTGCAGAGGTCATGCGCTTGACGGATGGGTTGGGCGTCGATTTTGTTGTCAATACCTCTGGATTCGAGTCTATTCCGCAGGATATTGCCGCATTGAGGAAGCGAAATGGTGTCATCTCTTTGGTAGGCCTTCTTGCTGGTATCGAGGCAAGTTGGTCACCCCGAGAACTTCTCAACTTGATGTATAAACGTGGTCATATACGGTATGTGCAGACATGCACCCTTCACATAGAACCATTGCTGACATTTTGTTCGTTTGAAAGGGGTAGCAATGCTGGCTCCAAGGCCGATTTGGAACATCTCATTCGCTTTGTTGACGAAAATAAGATTGACCTGACGCCTTTGATTGACCGGGTCTTTCCCTTCGATCAGTCTCAAGAGGCCTTTGATTATGCTTACTCTGGTCAGCATATTGGGAAAGTTATCATTCAAGTATCGTCGGATTGAGCAGTATGTACGTACCCAGACCATTGTACCACGCCGTACGAGCAGCAATCAACACAATCAATGCAAGTGCCGGCCTCTCGAAACATATGCTCTAAATTATTGGCCGCAACTTGCTGCGTTCATTCTCGAAACGTCCGACGACTCTGTTTGGGAAACCCTACATCGCACGTTTAATCATCCGGGTCTTTTCAGATATTGGTCGCGGCATAGTTGCATGATATGCGCGATGAGCAATAGTATTACGCTTTCGAAGTTACTCTGGGCATTATACGACAAAGACCGGATTGATTGTTCATTTTACTCACTTCGGCTTGCAAGTAGAAGATATCTAAATCCCGAAACCGTATTCGAAGACCTTTTGATCACTGGGAGTAGATATTGGCTTTCCCGGATGATCAAGCTTGCCATGGATCCAGCTAAATCACTGCTACCCGTTCCTGACGTCCTAGTGTTCCAGCCGCCTTCCAGTATCTAGTGCTTCCAGTACAGTCTCCAGCAGGACTTTGCTTTAAAGAGGTTCGTGCTTTGGATTTCCAACCTTTCCGCCTTTTACAATGCTCTGAGTAGGAAAGGCATTATACAAGATACCTGCGAGACACGCTACGTTTACGACGCTAAGTTAGCCTATCTTAACGTTAGCAGTACAAAGACAGTGTCGCTGGAAATCAACGCACTTGCAAAATCCCACTGGGATGACATGCTTGAAAGTCTACCGCGCTCAAGAAACAACGTTGCCATTTGGAAAATGCTTAGCTATTCGAGTAAACGGACTAAGAGCTCTACCGAGTAGTCTGCACCGCACACACAATGTTGGAGCCAATCGTTACAGGATATGTTTGTGAAAGCCGATGTAATGATCAACTTAAAGTCGCTCTTGTCGATGTACACATAACAGCTGGCGATCCTGAATGACTGGGACCTTCTAAGACGGTTTAAACGATCAGAATGAGAGAAGCTAATTTCGCATGTAACGTGCGTCTAGCTTCTTAGACGTCAATATTTACTCACTTGAGAAACACTACTACAAGATCGTATGTTGGGATGTTTTGGCGTCTCTTTTCTTCATACCGAAGTGAAGTCATTTGTTAGCTTCAGAAGACTGACCAGTGCGAGAGACCTGCGCACTGGCGAAAGACGGTTGAGTTTGGACTTAGGGGTGAGCTTTAGCTACTCGGGCGCTTGGGTAAGGGTGACTTGGGTGATGGCTCTGGTCTTCGTGGTGCTTGTGCTGTATGATAAAGTTTCAGCGATAGGGACAAGGAGATGTAAAAAGATCATTCTCGGTGTAGCTCACAAATTCCGTGGCGACGGAGACCAGTTTAATCCGAATATGTCAGCTCGAAGAGGCCGAAATCAAAGGACCATCATTTAGAGTGAAACTCCGATCGTGCCGCTTGAATGGCAATCAGTATTGTATCAAGACATTCACAAAGTGGCTCTATCATGTCAGGTCCTTGGCTGTCAGCAAGTGGTTTCTTCGACAAGGTGAATCTTCTACGCTATCTAGTGCATTCGCGAGCGTATCGAGTGCCCTGTTCCTGAGTTCATTGACTACTCAGATACCCTAGATAACGATCTGGGTGCCTTATAGATCTTGATGAAGGCATGAAATGGTCACCGCGCTAATGAGGTCTAGTATGACGCTGACCATTCTCTAAGTGGCCTAGCGCCTAGCAACGTAGTTTCTATCTCGCAATGCTTGATCGTAAATCCCGCAGCTGTATCTCGCAGCATCTATCAAGAAGAGATGTTGCCTTAATATCAAAGCTTTGTTCCTCGTTCGGAGCGATGCTACCCCGTTCTCTGTCAGTTGTCACCCCTCCTGTTGATCGTGGCGATCTCGCGTGCGCTAGTCATATTGCACGGGTCTCATTAGCGCCCGGTCGCGTTTAGATCGTCATCGGTCTTCCAGCAGACCCGCATTTCTGCTTAGGGCTGATGCTGGCCTACTGCCGAAAGCGGCTCCGCGGACAGCTTGGCACAAACAGCTTTCATTATCGTTCACTTAGACTCGCATCTTATTGGATCCCTTGTAGGTGGTAGGAAAGACTGGACATGTACACTGTTGCTCGCTTTTTAGGAAAGTGTTAGTTCAGGGAGGATCCGCTATGTCAAGCGGAATCTAAACATTTAAACCCGCGCCGCCTCGCTGATCAATAAACTATACCTTACGGTGGGGATGTTCGCTTAGAAACACGGGAAGTCTGGGCAACCAGAACAGCTTCGTTGCAGTCGCTATCGGGAATAGAAGGAAGCAAAACATGGAGAACGACGAGGCGAGATGACCAACTCGAGGGCGCAATTGTGGCACATAAATTTCGCGTATCTGCTACAAGAGTTTGAGTGGTAGTGGCAATTAATAGAAGTGCGATTGATCAACAGCATTGTAACATTTTAGAGTTTCAAGCACCATTCTAGCGCCTCCTTTGCTGGGTGAGGGCGGCTCACGCTCACGCTCAATCGTGGACCTTCAAAAGGATAGATCAGACAGATCTTCAATACTCCCTTTGCCCAGAATGTACTACCTGCGAGGTACGCGTCTCGAATTCGAGGCGCATTGTGGATCTTGCACCTATCTAACAACATCACCTTAACCGAAAACGTGATAGAGTTATTCAGTCCGCACGATCGACGCATAGACCTGTTCACTTGAACACTTCCGGCAGATTTCCCTTAGTGCGAGAAGGGCATCATCCGCTCTTGAAACCCGACATAATGGGCATCGATTTCGTGTCAGGCAAAGTTGAGTAATATCGAAAAGATTGTGAGGCGGGCTTGCCATCTCCTGCATTGTGCATCCTGCATAGCCAAATGTACCTCCTTCACAGGCGATCGATCACACCTTGATGCCCTGGAGATCAGCCCCGATATATATATCCGTGGAGCAGGTGTGATCCACATTTACTCGAACATTTCGTTTCAAAACTCCCTTTTTACCTCATTTTGCAGTCACTCTTCTCACAATCAGCAAAGTAGCAATGATGATCGGACACCGTGCCACACAGCTGATCCAGGTATGCGTTGACTCAATTATCCTCATGAACACGTCTGACTAGCACACAGATCGAGATAGCATTCCAGTGCATGGCCTGGGTCGTTGTCGCCTTACGCATGTATGTGCGCACCTTTGTTGTCAAAGCCTTTGGCTGGGACGATGGATGGATGCTTTTTGCCCAATTGATGCACACTATGAATTCAATATGCGCGATTGGGGGTGCACTTACCGGCACCGGTCGACTTATGAAGGATCTTACACCCACAAGCATGGAGATGGCACTTAGGGTAAATAAACCTGTTCAATCTGTGCATTCAGTCGCTTGGGGCAATGACTAATGCTACCCAGTTTTGGTGGATTTGCTACTTCGCATATTCTCTGTCCATGATCGGTGCCAAGGTCTCTGTTGGCCTGTCACTGCTTCGCTACATGTCTGTCACTCAGAAGGCTTATCGCTTTATTACCCATGCCATCGTGTACACCAGCGTTGTCATGGGGTTGGTCTATGGCCTGTTGGCTACTTTCCAATGTAAGCCAGTGGAGTACTTCTGGACACGAGCCCTGGGTGAAACGGGTACCTGTATCAACATGAACACCATCGTCGCATTGACATATTTGATGTCTGCCATCTTCGCCATCTGTGACTTCAGCATGGCCTTGCTGCCAGTCCTCCTAATCAAGGATCTGAACATGAGCCGCAACTCGAAGTTCGCTCTCATCTTCATTATGAGCATTGCATGCATGTGAGTAGTTCTGCCCTTCATCTCGAGAGTATACAACTAATGGCGCAAAAGTGCAAGCGCAGCGGTCATTGTCCGTCTCGCCTACGTGCCTACTTTCAGGGACCCCGAATTCCTTTATGCTACCGTCCCCATCGCTATCTGGTCGGAGGTCGAGATGGGCCTTGCTATTATTGCTGGTTCATTACCAACTCTTCGGCCTCTGTACCGCATTGCTGCCCAAAAGTTCAGCTGGAAGACAAACTTCTTCAGCAACCGTTCAAGATCATACAAGTCCATGGATCCCCACAGATTGGATGGAACTCCAGTGGGGAGTGCCGCAATCGAAAGGAATGAATTAAGTGTCAGATCCTACTCAGAGTCTGAGCGGAAGATCTTGGATGTCGATGTCAAAGAGTTCGTAGTAGAGGACCATTAGACATTGGCTAGATGCAAGTTCACGGGTATTACCCAGCTTACAAGTAGACAAATCCACGATGAAGGCGACGGCAGAGTCTAATTAGGAGATGCGTGTCTAAGTGTTTTGACGAAGCGATGATAAACGTGCATCTATCTTCTCGTCCAAGTCAGCCAAATCTGATCGGCCGCTACTTCGGCTCTCCTGCTCGTCGCTGAAGCTGTGGACCTTGAGTACATTCTCATTATTATGACCCGACGAACTAAACGCCTTTCTAGACTATACCATCGGCTACGTTATGCGGATACCCCACCTCTCAGGGACACATCAGAAGTTAGGCCGAAACACATGTCATCGCTAGCATGTCTTACTTGCAACATTACGCACACCATCCGAAAAACACTCCGTAGTCGTACAAAAAACGAACCATGCTGACTTGTCGTAACCGCGACCTATCCGAGGTGTTTCACAGCTGGGATATTTGTTCAAACTTGCCGCAGCAGATATGACTGGTGAACCTGCTGGTGTCAGTATGTTGTTGACATGCCAGCAAGTCGCAGTTGATGAAGAGTCTGTGGGGTTCGAGTTTACTAGACGCTCGGAACTGTGCGGAGGGAAGTGTGGGGTGCGTTGTGCGCACTGCGCGGCACGTCGATCCCTTCCGAGGTCTCTCGGTCTCGACTAATCACGCTTGATCGCCGCCGTTGCGCCTCTGATACGCACGTAGCGACTACCATCTACGCGAAACCAATGCGCCGAACTAACGCATTATTTGATGGCTCTACATAAGTATGTTGATGATGGAGCTTCAATTTATCACGAGCTGAGTGTTGTGGTATAGTCATCTGTCCCAGCTGGTTCTTCCACGATGCCGATCGAATCGCCTCATCCTAGTATTACGATCCCAGCTGTCGATATTTGGTCACTCTTCCTCGAACGACCTGATCGCCCCTACCCTGATAACCATGGTTCGTGTTCCCACACGCTCTTCGAGCGACACCTGACACGCTCGCAGTACTATTCGTAGATGTCGTCACAAATCAAAAGCTCACATACTCTCAACTCCGATGGAGTGCTGAACGTTTCGGGAGCGGCCTACAGGAACAATGGGGCTGGCGCAAAGGCGACGTTCTGGTCACAATGACGCCAAATCATATCGATATCGTGCCCGCTATCTTCGGAACACAACTTGTAGGAGGCGTTGTGTGTCCTCTTAACTTCATGTACACGGTCGATGAGCTGGTATCCCAATTGACGTCTTCAAAAGCCAAGGGACTGTTGACAAACACGACATGCCTTGATGTAGCATGTAAAGCGGCATCAAAAGTCGGACTTCCTCTTGATCGTATCCTTTTGGTTGGAAATTGCAAACCAACGACAACAGCTGTTCGGCACTTCTCGACTTTGAAGAGCTCGTCAAGTGTGAAGCCAGTCACGATCGATCCCAAAGAAGATCTGGCGTATCTGGTGTACTCGTCCGGAACCACGGGCGTTCCAAAGGGTGTTATGTTGACTCACGAAAACATCATCGCAAACACTGTCCAAAAGCTTGCAGCAGATGGCCGTGGTCCGGATTGGAGGACAGATAAGAGTATTGGCTTTCTACCCATGTACCACATCTACGGTAAGTGTAATTCACTCACTATTCAACGCTTGCTGACATGAAGATGCAGGCATCGCCGCCCTGATATTGGCACCTGTCTTCTATGGTTCCACCGCGTATGTCATGCAAGGTTTCGACCTTCAAAAGTTCTGCGAGGCGGTACAGAAAGAGAAAATCACCATAGCATGGATTGTTCCACCTGTCGCATTGGCATTGGCAAAGGCGCCGATAGTGGACCAGTACAACCTCAAGTCGCTACGTGACCTGCACTCTTCCGCCGCTCCAGCGCCATTGGAGATTATCACCGCAGTGAACAAGCGCATCGACGCTCCTGTCCGGCAGGCTTACGGTCTCTCCGAAGCCGCACCAGCTGTATGCTCACAACGCATTGAAGACTGGGACAAACCAATGGGTACATCCGGACGTTTGTTACCCAACATGTCAGCGAAGCTGGTGAAGGATGGAAAAGAAGTGGACGCTGGCACCGGAGATGGCGAACTGTGTCTCAAGGGCCCAAATATCTTCAAGGGATACTACAACAATCCCGAAGCTACCGCTGGAGCCTTCGATGCGGATGGGTGGTATCACACTGGCGACGTTGGGAAGTTTGATAGGCATGGAAATCTGTTCATCACCGATCGCCTCAAGGAACTCATCAAGTACAATGGCTTCCAGGTCGCGCCCGCAGAGCTCGAAGCACTCTTGCTTGGTCATCCAGCTGTCGCCGATGTAGCTGTTATTGGCGTTTATGATGCATCGCGAATAACAGAGTTACCAAGAGCGTACATTGTTGCAGCGCCAGGATACAACGGTAATGAGAAGCTGGAGGGTGAGATGCACGAATGGTTCAATAAGCGCGTAGCGCCGCATAAGAAGCTCAGAGGTGGTATACGGTTCGTAGAAGCAGTGCCAAAGAGCAATGCAGGCAAGATACTGAGGAGAGTACTTGTCGAACAAGCTAAGGAGGAGGACACGGAGAAGGCTGTCAAAGCTCGCTTGTAGTATTTAAGGTGTCATCATCAGCCTCTATAGAAGTTCAAAAAAGAGTTCAGAACAATGATTTCCATCCCTGATCAATGTGCATGTGTCCTGTCATACCATCACTTTCTTGGTCTACCTTATCTACAGGGTGAGTTCTGACATCTTATACAATGCGATAGCCGTGACTCCTCATCTCGGACTACTTGTAATATTCTGAATAGAGAGTATTGTGTCGAGAACACATCTTCGCATTCGTATTGTGCAAATGCGTAAAAGCGCTCGATTGATCTCATTATTAATCTACAACTTTGTAAATAACGTTTCCTTCATGGCCCTAACGTCCAACTCCTGCGTCCAAGTACTCCTCGGCTGCGTATGCAAAAACCAATACGTATGCGCCAAATCTCTCGGCTGAACGAGATGCGCTTCCACATCTGCCGCCTTGTCCTTCTGTCCTGTCCTTTCCCATTGCCGCTTCATCACACCTCCGATCAACTTGCCATCAACCGGACCATCGACGATAATATTACAAGCATGAATTCCCTTGGCCTGGTACTCGCGTGTAATGATCTGGCACAACGAACGCAGTCCGAATTTCCCCGGCGAGAAAGAGGCTAAACCTGGCATACCCCGTAGCGCACCCGTCGCGCTGGTGAAAAGAATAGTTCCTTTGCCAGCGGTAAGCATATCCGGAATGACTAGTTTACTCGCCCAGAACGCGCCGAAGAGGTTGATTCTAGTGAAGTTCTCAAACTCTTCGCTCGTGGTATCGATGAGAGACTTCCCGTTAACACGGCGTGCGCCGGCGTTGTACACGAGCACGTTGACAGGACCAAGCTCTTCGCGAATGCGTTTCAACGATGAGATTACCGTATCTTCAATGCGCAGGTCTGTGATGTAGTAATGCGCTGTACCGGTGCCGACGTCGCTGTCGATGTTCTTGGCCATGGTTTGCAGGGCTTCTTCTGTCCGCGCGAGGAGTGCGACGACGAAGCCTTCTGCTGCGAAGCGGTGAGCTACTGCTTCGCCGATTCCTGGGCCTGCGCCGACGACGGCGATGACGGGCTTGTTGGCAGCGTTCTTGGACATGGTCGTCGAGGGTTGTGTTGTGGTTGTTCCTGCAAATTGGGGATGTCAAAAGACTAGGTAAGATCAAGTTACGGCAGTATAGTGTTATGAGTGCGCCTAGGCGTTGTCAAGTCTTCATGTGTCTCACATCTTGTCTGGAGATGGATAGCAAGATATTAACCACCGCAACTTTGTTGTTCATGGGTTGTGTGAACCTAGCGTTCATGATTAGCTTCGAAGCGGGGGTGATGCGCGCCTCGGAACCTCGGGACGGTTCAGTAATCGGGCTACCGTACGTATCAGCGTCACTACCAGTGTTAGCGCAATAAATGCCGCACCATTCATGTGAGCATTATCGTGCTCTTCCTTTGACATTGCTTGTTCTTATTGATGCATTGTCATCGGCATATGCGTGGCATGATGCGACCCATATGCGTCGAAAGTATTGGAAGCATGTGTTGCGATGGACGGACGTAATGATAGATCCTTCAAGTATATTATTGCAATCACCTGTGGTCACCAGCGCACATGTGACTTCTGCAACACGAACTACCTAATGACGAAGGAAATCGATGGACAGTCAAGCAACCACCGGCTTTCACGAGACCTGCCTCTTTAGAAAGATACCGAATCAACATAACTATCGGAAAGCGTATGGCTCCCACCCGCACACCTGTATCCACTAGCCTGCTTGATCCACATGTAACCCATTGGGCATCGACCCAACACCTTCAGCTTTTTCTGCCTCTCCATCTCCTTTTGTCGCTCTCGCTCGATAGCTGCCAATTCCTCGTCGCGACGCCGCCTCTCCAGTTCAGCTGCAATGCGCGCTTGCTCTCGGACACGCCGCTCTTCTTCATCGGCGGCGGCTTTCTCCGCACGGATGAACTCCTTGATACGCTCTTCGTACTCTCGCTTCTCTTCTTGCATATGACGAAACTCGCGCTCTTTAGTGACCATGGCATGTTTGTCGCGTTCTAGTTGTTCCCATACTTCGTCGGACACGCCCGGGTCGCGCTTGGCTTTGAAGATTGAGTCGAAGGGGTCTTCGGGCTCTACTGCAAGCTTAGGTTTCTTCTCCATTGACTTTAGCTCTTCTTCTTGCTTGTCCGTGCTGATCACAGTTGGTGGTGGGGCAGTATCCGTGTCGATATCTAAACTTCGCGCCATCGGCGGTGCCGAATTCTGCATCTGTGGCTGCGGCATTGGTCGTAGAGGTATCGACTTGTCGAAGCGGTTTGTACCAACAGCGGCATTTCGTCGGGAACGTTCATCCAGCATTTTTTCCATAGTGCTCATGACGATCGTTTGCGTGAGTATGAGATTAGTAATCGGACGTACAGCCGTAGAGATGAGTGCCTGAAACATGCTCTTCGCGAGCGATTTCACGTCGCGAGCGTTACCCCACGATTCCAGTACTGACATTTCGCGGAAGAGCTGCAGCAGTTTTCGCAATAGTTCTGATGTTGGCGGATCGAGGACCGACAGATCAAGTGGCGCTTTCTTCTTCCTCTTCTGTAGATCTTTGACAAGAAGCTTGAAGCATGTTTCCGGGTCGAGATGCTTGAATAAAACCGTCTCGGGGAAGCGACTGGTCAGGCCAGGATTCATGCTCATCAACCGATCGATGTCCTTGTCGTAGCCGGCTAGAATGACCACGAGTCTTTGCGCGAACTTTGGTTTGGTGAGGCAGTCAACCAGCTCATCCATCGCCTCAGTCGCGAATCCACCTTCTGCAAGGCGATAGGCCTCATCGATGAAAAGAACTTTACCCATAGCCTTTTCCATGAGCTTTTGCACCTTTGGCCCAGTGTGGCCCACATACTGTCCGATTAGATCGGTAGCGGAACATTCTTCCACGCTGGCCTGGCTGAGAAAGCCCATGTCGTAGAAGATCTTGCCCATCTTTGCAGCCGTGGTAGTTTTGCCAGTCCCCGGCGGTCCCTTGAAAAGAAAGCTGAAGGGTAGCTGTTCTCGAGCATCCATCCCGAGAGCTTTCAGGGTTGCAGCAGTGTTTTGGTAACCCTGGAACTGTTTGATAAGTTCTTCACATCCTACCACGTCTTGGAAGAGAGCAGAAATCTCAGTGGCTGCACGTTCACCACGGTCAAAATCTGGGTCAAAGTCAATAGCTTCAAACGTGCCAAATTGCTTTACTTTCCCAGAAGAGTTGTGTTTCTGGTGTAAAGCCTTTGCGCGATCCAGGATAATGTCGACTTCGCCTGCGTTGCCGAAGTTTGGGCGGTTGCGCGCACGTTGTATGACTTCCATGGCAACCTGCAAAAAAGTATGTTAGCACGAGTCGACATGTTGCCTGATCATGGACTCTACCTTCTTAGCTTGATCCGTAGCATCAAAATCGATACCCTTGAGCTTGAAGTCAAAGATTTGACGAATCTCAGTGTCGTTGAAGTCTTCAAAGACGAACGCAGACTCTAGTGGAAACCGTCTCGCAAGGCCAGGATTGACGTCCCGAAACATCTCTTCCATTTGGTCCTTGTATCCCAACAAAAGTACGCATCGGTCTTCGCCTGCAGTGCTCTGGACTTCCGCGACGATGGTGTCAATAACTGCAGCTTTGTAGGGATCACCAGCAGCACCACTAGCCAACATGTAAGCCTCATCAACAATGAGAACTTTGCCGATAGTGGACGCCAAGATGGCTTTCGTGTTAGCTTCGGAGCCTCCTAGAACACTACCAACAAAGTCCGCTGGGCTTTTCACGACGACTTCTCCGTTAGAAAGAAGCCCAATGTCGGCCAGAATGCGCCCATAAAGCTTTGCTACAGTGGTCTTGCCTGTTCCCGGGGAACCTATGAAGCAGCGATTAAGCGAGTACTGGATAATAGGCTTCTCTTGCATTTCGAGCTGATAGTTCGTCTGTATCCCGTCAAGGAGAACTTGTACAGACTCCTTCACTGATGACAGGCCGGTAAGCTTCTGCAGCTTCGTCCAGGTAGCGTTGTTCTTGAGCACTGACGAAGGTTCTGGTCCAATCAAATCCTCCTTCGTCAGAAAATGGTCATTCGGTATCTTGCCAGCTCGTCTCTCTTTCCTTAGTCGCCTTGCCTGATGCTCGGTGATCTGTGCGATCTTGTTCTAGACTTCACGGGCGTTACCAAAGCCATCACGTCCCCGACCCTGGCCGATGCGTCTAGCAGTGATACGCACGTAGAGTCCATTCATACCGCCTTCAATCTTCATGCGCCCCGAATACTTTTTGTCGATGTACTGGCAGAAGATTTGTTGCAATTCGCGGTCTTCGTAGTCTTGGAACTCCATTCGTATTGGTATACGGCTTGGGATGCCTGGATTGTGAGCGAAGAAAGCTTCCATCTGCTTGTGGTAGCCCGCCAATACAAAAACAACTTTGCCGGTCAAGTTCTCAATCTCTGCAAGCAGGTAGTCCAATACTGCTTTACCACCAGGGCTGTTCCCAGATACTAATTGATATGCTTCGTCTATAAAGAACACGCCGCCACCTTCTTCGAGGATTTTATCGATAGAGGCTTTGCAAGCGGACACGCCGTCGTTTGCGAGAGCTGATCCGGAGCTCTCAATGAAATGATCTCCCGGCAGAGCTCCTACTTCGGACAGGAACCTCGAATAGTACCTAGCCACCGTTGTTTTTCCTGTGCCGGGGTTTCCCAGAAGGGCGGCACCAAACCGCTCTGCATTAAGCGATACCCCTTGGCGCACCACCATATCCACTTTGGCCTTAATCGTGAGGAATTGCTGCTTGACGGACTCCAGTCCTATCATGGGTACGAGGGAATCTAGAGCTTCATTTTCAGCACCCTCATATCTCTTTTGCCACTCCCAATCATCCCTGGCTTCGCTCTTGTCCCAACTGGGCTGCTCCTGGTCTTTATCTGGCGATGTAGGTATGGCGTTAGGTGCAGTCTCGTCGCGGTGAGGAGAAGCCGCGTTGTGCGATGCAGAATCCCTCCGTAGCCCTGAATCGCCGGTCGACGGCGACGCTGTTGTTTCGGATGCTGGAGTCGTTGAAAGTGGTTGCTTTCTAGTACTTTTGATCTTCTCCTGCAGATTGAGAAGATCTTGCTTTTTCTGTTCGAGCGCTTGCTGGCGATCTCTGTCCTCTGCCTGCGCTTTCAGCACGCGCTTGTGGTGCTGGATCTCTTCGTCGATCTCAACTAGTCGTGCCTTATACGCACGTTGCTTTGCCTCTCGCTCTTCGTTTAGCTCATGTTCTCGTTGACGCTTCTTTTCTTGCGCTCTCACTTCGGCTTCACACTTCTGGCAATGTGCCGCGGCTTTCACATGACACCTTCTTGAAGTCTTATGATTGCTGGGACAAGTCGAAGAGATGATGACTTTGCAGTCCATACGCGAGTGATCCTGTAACTGATGGCATCGGTAGGGGCAAGCATGAAGGCCACAGTTGAGTGTCTTGCCACATGGTTCAGAACAACCGCCATCTGGGCATACTGTATCAAAGTGCTCTTTCTCGGTTAAAAGCGCAGTCTTTTCTGGATGTTGCTCACATTTGATAGGGAAACCGTCGTAAACGTGGCCATCTCGCTTCAGCTGATCCATGAGCGGTACCCAAACTTCCTTGCCTTTGCGACTACTCATGAACGTGTTTGCATTGCCTATCATGATCAAAGCATTCCGTGCTCGTGAAAGTAACACATTGATACGCTGAGGAGAAGCCATGAAACCGATGTCCCCGGCCTTGTTACTTCGTGTGAGACATGCGATTACAATATCGCTCTCTTCCCCTTGATAGTTGTCGATAGTTGATATGCGAAGCTTGCGCTTGGATATGTTTGCGCTAGCTGGTGTGACCAGACCAGCTTGAATCAACTCATGAGAATCCAAGTCGTTCAGAATGGGATCGTTCTCCTTTGATAAAGTGTTCACTAGCAGGTATAGCTGGCCCAGGTAAGGTGTAAGTACCACGATGTCTTCCGTCCCATAGCCCTGCTGACCAAGATATCGCACACACTTCAGCATCATCTCAGCTTCATACAAGTTCTCCTTACTGGAATTCGCGCCACCATCACGGCGGTCAGCAATCTTGATTGCGTTGAGCTCAGGACGTGAATGTGATACGAAGATGACGTTGCTCTGGAAGCCGCGTAGGTCCGGTCGACCCTGAGTCTTCTCAGCATCTTTTAACTCCGGATAAGTAAGTGATCTGACGAGAGATGAGATCTCGGGGCGCATACGATGCTGCTTGCGAAGGGTGGTATGAGGGACTCCACTAAGCACAAGACGTTCGAACAGGGAAACATCAAGATCGTACCCATCTCCTCCCTCTACAGTCAAGGCATAGTTGTTGACTTTAGGCCGTAGCTGCTTGTGATCACCAATCAGGACGAGTTGCTTCGTGGTCGGAGTTAAAGCTGTAAGTATATGGCTTTCCAAAATCTCTCCAGCTTCTTCCACCAGAACGATGCCAGGTGACGCCTTACGGATATCGTCGCTGTACATGGCAGCTGCCGTTGTAGTGCACCCTATGATTTGTTTCTGACCAAGCACGTGGGAGTTTTTCTCGCGAAATAATCGATCGATCTGGGCACGACACTTGTTGTACTTATCGGCAAGCGTACTGATTTCAGCGACTCGTTCTTCAAGGATGGTCTTGTTCCACTGCGCCTGGAGATCACAGCGGAGCTGTGGCGGGACATTCCAAACGTGAGGATAGGTCTGCATCGCGTGACTGGAGAAGACCCCCGCGTCTTCACCTTTAAGCCATCTCTTGACTAGATAATACTCATCGATGCGCCTATTGTTTTTCCCCATCATCGTCATGCCATCTTCATTTTCAGGCACGACGAATGCATCGAAGTATTCTGAATCATCAGAGAACTCCAAGAAATCGAGAAGCATTCGTTCACTGAGCCGCGTAGAAGCAAAAGATGCCATCCTTGTGACTAGCGCGTCATGATAAGACTCAGCTTCCACCTTTTGGTCTTGAATTGAAGTCCATGTTTGCGCAGTCATTCTGTAGTTGTTCGGCTGTTCTTTGATGCTGAGTGCACGAGTATTGGCATTCGATTTCGATCCTAGTCGTACAATCGAGCTAGCAGGGATGCCAGCCTTTTGGATGTCTTCTAAGAATTGGTCCAGAGCATGATTCGTGTATGTGAGTATGAGCATTCTCTCCTTCGTCTGATCGTGTAATATCTTTGCGATGAGTGCGCCGATGAAACTTTTACCAGTTCCTGGTGGGCCTTGAATAAGGCTGACCTTTTTCAGTAGACCAGTCAATAGAGAATCTGCCTGGGCTTGATCCAGTTTGATGGAGTGACTACTTCCAATGATGTCTTGAAGGTCTTCTTCCCAATGGTCACAGATGGCGTTGATGGTCTTGGTCGGTTGGATGCCAGAGACTGTTTCAGCGGAATCTGGAGTGAGGCTGAGGAGCTGATCCTCCAGTGGCAGCTCAGTCAAGGACTGGAGACGTTTGAGAATAGGTTCATACGCGAAAACCGCGGTATCCACTTGCACAAAGCTGAGGTCCGCTGCGAGCTTACATGCCATTAGCACTTTGCCAAACGAACTAGCGTCGGCTATACGCAGCACGACGATAGCAGGTTGCTGAGCAAGAAGGTCTTCGTCACGGTCTACAGTTGCGAATGCGACAATATTGCCATTGCTAATGAGGCAGCCGAGTGACTGGTGTTTCAGGACGTTTCTGTTGTCGGCGAGGTACTTCTTGCGAGCAGCGCCCTTGACATTGCGTAGCTGTGGAATGTCGTCTGGGCAGGAGAGTTTTAGCGAGCAAGGCTTGCGTTTCGTTTCCGATCCGCAGTCGATACCAGCATACTTCAGGTGCTCGAGGATTATCTTCCGTCGTCCTTTCTTCTGACCACTAGCGATCTGAAAATCGTTGCGCAGTTCGCCCAAGAGATCTTCACGAAGCAGGCGAAACTGGTTGTCAATATGAGTCAGCCCACGACTCTCCAATGGGGCAGACGCGATAGAATCTGCGCGTCTGTAGAACGGATGTTCGGAGCATGCGAATTCGTCTGGCGTTGGTAGGAGCTTGATCTTATGGATCTGAGTAAAGTCGTTGTCGTGTCGCCCGCCCGGGCCATCGGCGGATTCGTCAGACGTGCTGTCTAGGACGTGTTTGATCTTCTGACCGATATTGCGGACATCTAGGGAGTTCGAGTTGATGAATGATCCATTGTTAGTGGCACGCTCTGCAATGTCGCGCACGTCTGGGATGTCCTCCGAGCGGCTGTATAGCAGCTCCAGTAGGAGCCACGCGAAGGCACGCGTGGCATCGCTGGAAAGCACATGAGCAATGTGTGCCTCAACGAGTGTGTTCCAAAATGTAGGTGGTTGTACAATCTGTTCAAGGACGCGTTGCAGAAACTGGCCACTGTAGAGTTGCTTGACCGATGGCTCGGCGAGTCGGAGGATGACGGATGTCGCCAAGCCGTTGAGAAACGTGCTCTCACGTGTCAACCTGAATGCGATAGAGACCGCCGCTAACCCTGCCGGAGACGCAATCAGGCGCTCCACACACTTCGAGGCGTCCTCTTGAGAACAGAATGCCTCCAGAAACCGATTACCATCGCCCACCGTCTTGATGTCGCGATTGCCGTGAATGACGGCGTTGAAGAGCTTCGTCAACCCCGCTGCTCGCTTGGCTGTCGCCTCTTGGTCCGCCATATGTAAAGCTCGTATCGTGTAAAGTGTCACTTTTCAAGAAAGGCTGAGATCTGCCGATATTTGAGGATTCTACGAGGGAGATGTTTGGCCTTTTTGAGCTTTCAAACTAGATAAAAAGGATGTGACACTAAGCCGCAGCTCATGCGTGACGATTCTCTGATAACGGGCTGTGCGAATGATTGGAAACCAGTCGCAGTTGATGTGCAGAAAAACAACAAACCTTGTTTGCCTGCATAGTCTGGTGAGTTCTGGACGAATCGAGGCCTACCAGGCATGCATTGTGCGACCTGCAGGTTGAGCAAACTACGCCACATGAACTCAGCCTTGTTTCAGGCATCATCGCCTACTTGAAGTCGGCGTATCGCCTTCTATTCAGTGCAATACTGCGCTCGAAATCCTTGATTCCTGTTTTCATCTAATACAGTGCCACAACATCATCCATGGCTTCATATCCAGGCAGCGACAGCAGAGGTGGCTTTGCTCCACGGAGAGGACGAGGCCGCGGTGGAAGAGTCCCGTTCTTTGCGAAGCCCAAGGAACAGGTGAAACCTGATCTTAAGAGACATCCGCTTGGAGGCCTTGTCAAGGAGTTTCGCAATTCGGATCTGAGCTTGAAACCCGCAGCTCTAGCAGAGATATCCGATTGCCAGCAAGTAGCATCCTACAATTGGCTCAACGGCAAAGTACCCACCATTGTCATTCCAGGTGGGCTCTTTCTCGCAATTGCGAGGCCGAGTTAACAGTCATAGGAAAACCTCCTCAGTGGACACCACTTCCTACACCACGGCGTCTGCCAGAGGACTATGGGCAATACTTTCGTGACCCCAACGCCGCTATGTATCCCGAATATCCAATGGCACCCGTCGTGCGTGCGATCATGGAGACCAACCCTGAATTCAACTCTGCGAGCACCGATCTCCTCGCTTGTGGAAGCACCCTTGGCAACCTCCTCCGCTTCGCTCGGGGTGTCGACAAAGCTTTCCGTTTCAACATCGAGGTCTTCGGCGAGACCGTCTTCTTCGTACGAAAAGAGAATGATCCTAAAGAAGTCATCAAAGACGTTAGAGGTTATGGTCATACCTTTCCAGAGGCATACACCACATGGGAGCAGAGCGTTAAAGGCTCCGAAACCCACCAACGCATCATACGATATGAGTTCGGCGGCTTGAAGTGCCTCGTGCGGTTCGAGAGTGACGGCTACATTGAAACGGCCGGAGCAGTCAATGATGCTACGCATTCAGAGAGCGCCGACGACCCCGATGATCTTCTGGCAGCACTCCAAGACACATCAATTAGCAGGCCATCAGACTTCATGATAAGCACACATGATGCTTTGATTGTCAAACAGGGTGGAACAGCGGTGCTGCAAGACGTCATTTTCGATCTGAAGACGCGTTCAGGGAAGTACAAGAAAGACATAGACATGAGCGACATCCACCCAGCGCTCTGGATCAAACAGATATCTAATTTCATCGTCGCCTATCACAACGGTGCTGGACTTTTCGAAGACATCCGAGTGCAAAATGTCAAGAACGATGTGCAGGCTTGGGCCAAGGATAACGAAGAAGGCATCCGCCGCTTTGCCACACTTCTAGATACGATCGTTAAAATCGCTAGGAGTAATGCAGGCAAGTTGCTCGAGGTATATTGCCCTGGAGCGGACCGCTTGGAGGTCCGGTTTCAGTATGGCACCGGTGTGCACGCCTTGCCTGCGGACCTGGCAGACCGCTGGGAGAAGACTTGTATGGATGCCGTCTCTACGCAAGACGATGAATCCGACCAGTTCAAATTTAGCGATGGGGGTATCGGTCTAGGAGATAGGTACGAATTCGACACTGGCTCTGACGATTCCGGATCGGAGCCAGACTACACTGCTTGTTCCGCTCACGATTGTGGCTATTGTGGCAGGTGCACGTATTGAGGATTGTAGGCTAAATCATAGGCACGGTTTATGGAAAGCAAACAGCTAGCGCGCAATTTATTGTAGTTCTTATGAAACGTTTTTATTCCGTTCATTGGGAACCCTGTTGACGATTAGTGCTAGCCCTTTGGTTCAATTTCTGATCATAGCGTCTACTTCTAAGTCTTTTCTGGAGGCTGCTCATATTCGATGGAAAGCTGTCATCGACGTGGCCGTCTTGCTCCGACTAGCCTACAAGCGGTATTTGGAACCCATACTTCCTTACCCTTGCGAGGATTCGTCACAAGACCGTAACTATATAGTTTCCATAGTGGTCTTCTTCCTGGAAGAGTTGAGGGTCAAGTGGCTGTCGATAGGCCTCGAACCGCTGCTAAACTGTGTGGACATCCATCTTGTCGTCGCCTTGTATCCAGGCGGTCACGACACCCACTCGTCGATATACCCCGCGATCTGCTCCAGGCGACTGATGTAATAAAAGACCCATCACGGTACCCAGTCGAGGATTTTCCACGTCCTCGGTCGATTTCACATAACACAAGATCGGCGTAATCAAAACACTTCCTAGCAGCGCTTTCGTTTGCTTATCATGAGCAGCTTCGTATTCCTCATCGGTGCAGGAGGTACTGCTCATCTCGGTGCGTCTTTGAATGTGCTCCTCAAAACTTGAATCAAACCACTGATCTAGGCGAAAATTGATGGCAAAGCTGCTCGCATCTGATCCATGCAGAAAATATTCCAAATAGTTAGTGCTACCCTCAACTTCCAGGCTGCGATAGTTGCTTGGGCATAGCAATAGCGTGCCGCAAAGTCGCAGTCGTGAGGTTTCTAAGCCATGGAGAATCTCGACATCGCAGACGTGATCTACTTTCATAGTTTTCGGTTGCGCATCCCAACCCACATGCTGGGCCAGAGCCGGCCACGACTAAGTCGGTAAGTCCTTCCACGTTGGTATGACTCGAGATTCTCGTGGGGAGAACATTCCTCCTGTTTGGGTGAACAGAATCCCGCGATGGATATCCTTAGTCCAAATTCCATATACGCTTTCGTCTTGAAGATAAGCTGAGAATTCTTTGGTGATCCCGGCTAAGACAGGGAGACAGTCGGTAGCAAACGTGAGGCGGCGACATGAATATTCCTCGACAACGTCAAACCAGCTGTTATACAGAGACTTCTAGTATCAGTCAGCACCTGGAAACACTGGTGATATTCTGTTGCCGTGATAGAAACTGACATTACCATAAGGCATGCTCTCAAGCTTGAACTGCAATAGGCTATTGTTTCTCTCATGAAGTAGCCGTTCCAAGGGAGTGTTCAGCCGTCCACGAGGCCATGTCTCATTCGCAGCCGTACTCTTGCATTCCCATTAGACTTGATCATCGCTAAAGTGCACGGTTCGAGTGGGCTATGGATCAGATCGTGGAACGGGTTCGTCGGTCGCGATAGCACTTACTAGTAACTGTTCTTGCAACGTCCAAGCTCGAAGAATTATTGGGCCTGTGTACATCTCGTGCCACGGATCTGCATGTGTCAGACGATAGGTCTTGCTAGGCACAGTTTCGAGAGTGGAGCTATCAGTCATCGAGATTCGATCGCTAAGAGTTGCAAATACCGGATCAGAGTTGATACGACGCTCGTTCAGCAAAAATCTATTCTCACCGCTGGCGAAGCCAGCAGCGGAAAGATTGCAGCGGGCATTTCTGTACACTTCGTGCATCAAAAATGATTCCCGTTTCCACTCCTCAGGGTCATCCTGCACTATGCAGAGTGAATCAATCCAAATATAGTGGAAGCCTAAGTTTACCGTGGTGAATACAGCGTCCTGGAATATCCTGGACAAACTTTGTATGGGAAGCGATGATTCGAATGAGCTTACATTCGCGCGAGTAGTAGTCAGAAACTTGGTGCGACCCCAACAGTGGGAGAGAGTAATGGATGTTGTTCGTGATGGAAGTATTTTGCCATAACATATGTCTGCTCTTTGTCCGGAACTTGTGCGCAGTGGTTGAATGTGAACAAGCCTTGTCGGGAGCTCTTTACGATCTACTGATAACAGACATCTGGAGTGCTTCGAACGACATTCGTTGATCCATTTTTTGACCAGGGATATTGTTTCTTTTGATATGATGGATGAATTCAACTTCATAGGCATGGTGTTCAGATATTGATCTAGGTCTGTTAATCTGTTGCTGTGGAAAAGGAAGAACCAATACCTTCGATAGTTGTCTCCAACGGGTAGGAACAACCTGGTCCTGGGAGAACAGACTCTGAAGCATAAATGCTGATGAAGAGCACCAACGGCTCCCAGTCATGTTGGACGTACCCCTCTACGGATCTGCCCCAATGTTACGTTGTGTGGTGGACAGGCTGGAAATCACATCGTCCTTGTGGTCTGAACCATCGATATTGTCTCCAAGTCCAAGTGCATATATAGCAACCTTGTCCGACTGCTTGGAAGAATGATTCACTGTTGTTGTGATGTTCTTGTTCCGCAAAGCGATCTTTCGGTCCTTTGGGCAGAAACTCCCGACATTTGATGCACAGTCTGCTTCGAGACATCGTCGCTTCAAATCCAGTTCTTATTCGCGTTGAGATATTGCAGGACTTCTTTCCTTCAGCAAAGTTTTGCGCGCTTTCGACGGCGATCTTGTCAGATTGCTGGTCAAGGTTCGAGGCTCATGACGCCAGGACGACATTCACTTACCCGAGAGCTTTCGGAGAGAAGTTTGCGAGGGTAACCACTGGCCTCGTTCCTCTATTTCCTGAACGGCCTTTGGGATTGTAAGATTCCTTGATCGACGTGTTTGAGGTAGAGTAAGGAACACCGTACTAGAGCGGGGTAAGATACTGTACATGACGTCAATGCAAAGTTGCTCACATTGCATGTGCAGATCAACAAAGCCATTCGTGCAGTAACTAACACAAATAACATGAGACCCAATACTATATATCTCTCATCAGCTGAAATCTACTTTTGCGCGACTTCATGCTCATTCTTGATCAATCTCTGGCCTCGATCGTCATATTGCCGAATTTGCCTTCCTCCGCACAGAAGCAAGCATACAAACAATGTTGAAGTTACAGCGCATAGAAAGCACACAATCTATATCGCCTCAAGCCTTTCAGCGGTTTCACGACTAAAGTTTTCGTATTGCTTGTCTTTGCGCTTGGCATTGTCAAGCTTTCGCAGTTCCTCCTCAATGTTTCTACCAACGGGATATACATATGGAATGCCGAAAGAGCCCGTCCATCGTATAGTCCAACTAAAAGCTCCGGTACATTCCTAGTGCAGCAGATTGCTAAGGACGTGGAGCCCGAGAAGTTGCAAGTCATAGGCTTCCATCCCGGCGAAGTCTTGACTGAGTCAGCCAAAAGGTCTGGCTATACTAAGGATTCTATCGGATGGTACGACGGTAAAATACATCGTGGAGCCAAACCCGTTACCCTGGTTTTTCGACATTTCGTTACAGAGGACTTAAGCGGGCAGTTCGCAGTCTGGACTGCTACACGAGAAGCCAATTTTTGCACGGTCGTTTTGTCTTCGCTGCTTGGGATGTTGATGACATGATGTCTGAAGAGTTTCAGGAGCGTCTTGCCGATCCGTACTACCTTAAGGTCGGCATCAAGGGATTGTAGGCTGCAGAGACTTGCGAGGATACTTGTAAGGCTGTAACTAGCGATACCGCCCCCAACCATCCAAAAACAGCAGAGCGAATACGAAAAGAGTGACTGCATATGCAGTCTTCATACAACTGTTATTTGAACCAGCATCACTCTCAATAAACCTCGCCTCCATTTCTGCAGCATCATCGTCATCAAGAAACGGGTAATGACCATCATCGTCATCGGAAAACTGGTAATGATGAGATACCTCATCTCCCATATAGTCATAGTACACAACGCGTCTTTCAAGCATCTTTCTCTTCTTCGCATCTGTGATTCCCAACCCCTTGAACAATGTATCATCATCGACCCTATCATGTTCGAGGTTGTACTGCCTCACATGCGCAAGCGCAATTAGAACAACATCATCTTCACTCATGTCATAATCTGGGAAAAACCGCTCTAGAAGCACCCGCTCATCTGGCTTCACTAGTCCCAACAAAGCAAACACTCGGTCTCGCGGGTCTTTGCATTCCGAAGTGCTGTGATGGACGAGCAACTGGGAGAGCGGGAGATGCATTTCCGGATGGCGATCCGGGTGGCGTCCGGTGATCAGAGGGAAAGCTCTCCAAGGCCTGCTGTCAAAGTCTCTCGGCATAGACTCTTGATGGATTTGCAAGGCTACACCTGCACATAATCCAAGTGTGTCTTTGAAATCAAGCCAATTTATGCGCGTGTTTCCGCAGTACACGTTCACATCTCGGCCGAGGAGAAACTCCTGGATGACCCAGAAGCGAGTCCAATACGAGTGGTTTGCTAAATGGGACATCTGATCGTCGAAATCGAAGCCCGCCTCCCCAAAAGTTCGTATTGGTTCGTGCCAAGATCGATATTGCTCCACAGGTGGTGGGAGACCAAGCCAAACAGACACGGCACTCGCGTCACGATATATTGTATCCATGCGCCGAACTTGCGCGGTACGTTCTTCGTTATTCTTTTGGTCGATACAAATTGCGTCCACCCAGAGATGTGTCCAGCCTGACGTTTTGTCTTGGGATAGATAGTGCAGACATGACCAAAGATTGAGTCGGACGGGGAAAGGTTGGCCATTAATAAATATGTGCTCCGATGTAGTTTCATTGTCCCAAGTATATGAGACCGCAGTGTAGCGAGGTGCTGACTTTTGAGCAAAGGGGCTCATGCTGAAGGAAAGACGGTTTGACTCGATAGAGACAGGAATCAGAAGTCGGAGGTCGCTATTGCCTATAGCTTGATATTTGACCTCCATGGCTCTGTAGTGCGGATCATGGATGAACCTGGAAGGTTGGGTACTGCCATTTGCATCAGCTCAGCTTGCTCTTGATTAAATGGCTGCCTAATGGAAGCGACTGGGCTGCAGGACGCGCATCGCTTCCTGGTTAGAAATTATGGGTCAAGTGTCTCCCTATTGGTCCAACGGAGGAAGTACGACAAGCCAACACAGGACGCGGTATTCTAGCACTTGATGTCAAATGCAAACGACACCTTCCTGTAGGTGGCGTTAATGTGTCAGCATCTGATAGAGACAGCCAAACGGAACGTCCTGAAGAAGTCATCGTGTTTTACAAGCGAGCCGCCCATCCCACCAGCTTCGCACACCTTTCAAGCTCAAAGTAATCATGCCTGAACCCCAACAACCTCTTTTGTATTCCTCTAAAGCCCATGCGTAGCTTACTGTCTCCTCCCTTAATAGAAACAAGATCAAGGCTATAAGAGTAGTTAGTCGGGCTTTTAAGGACTCTCGTACGATGCTACGCGACCGACGCGATGGAGCACCTGTACAAACACTGTAAGCTACATTTTTACAATCAGAGGCTTCGTTAGCGAAAGAAGGCTAGGATAGCTGACGGATCGCACCAGCTGCGTAGCTATACGACACGGCCACGTAACAAGAATCTCTAGCTAAGACACGACGCCTATAGAAGCTATCAGAGAGATAGACAAAAGAGAAGAATCTCTTGAGTATATAGATCTTATTTATTGATATGATGGATGTGCTGGTGATAATACGCAGACACAACGCTATTGAGTTACACTGTATTGTATCGCAGTAGAAGTGTGTTCCCAAACACTTACTTGGCTTTACTGTATGCAGCTGTATATATACTCATTTGGGAATATAGATCTTATTGATAAGTGCCTATCATTTATTGTTTGAATTTTGTTTACTTAAGTTACTAAGTAACAATCAAGATATCGCCGTGCAAAGGTAAAAGTGAGGTTCTGATATTTCTTCCTATTGCAGTCATGATGTCTTCGTCTTCAGGCAATACAAGCCTTGCAGTCTTTGTTGTCCTGTAGAAACAAGAGCAAACCTCATCCGGCGGCGCGCTCTCACAGACTGCCGCATGCGGCCACAGGTCTACAAAGACAAAGCCGCTACGATGCACATACAAGAGTTAGTAGCCGAAGAAACTGCTCAATCAATCTCTCCCGCATCTAGAAACCCTTCTCAACTCATATTTCATATCGCCAATTCCACCCGACGCCAGCATTGCCGCCGATTCAACAACCAGAATGAACGTCCTCAAAAACGTCGTTGGCCTTTTCAGTTCGCCTGCGAAGATAGCACTAGCCAAACCCTCTTCAGCAAAGAAACGCGACTATGAAGAAGTGTTTACTATCAAGTCCACAAGGAAAAGGAGTCGATCTTCATATGATCCAACCGAGTACCAGCGCGCTGTTTACGGTACTGGTGAGATGACGACTGTTTCTGACGAAGACGACAGGGAAGAAGAACATAAAAGAGAGAATGAAGAAGAAGAAGAAGAAGAAGAAGAAGAAGAAGAAGAAGAAGAAGAAGAAGAAGAAGAAGAAGAAGAAGAAGAAGAAGAAGAAGAAGAAGAAGAAGAAGAGAGAAATCAGGCGCAAGAACAACTACTCCAGGAACAACTACGCCACGTCCGCCCCACCGCCACTTCCAGATCTGTCCACAGACATACCCACGCCGTTCCATCTGTACCCCATCCCAAACCGGGCAGCGTGGGAAGCATTGCGCTCGATGCTGCACGTACACCGAATGACACACTAGACAAGACTGAAAGGCTATTGGCCACGAAGCCTGACAGTGAGGTCAAAAGGAAGAAGCTCGCAACTATAGCGCAAACAAGAGCGAAGAACAACGCGATTTTGGCACAGGCTCAGGCGGAAGGATATATGCAGGTACAAAGAGAAAAGACCACAAGAGTAACGACTGCTAGACCGAGGATGCAAATGGATCATGCACCTGTTACCAGAACCCCAAGTGCAACCACAGGTCTCACATGCGTGGAAGATGGAGATGAGAGCTCGAGCGAACAAGTGTCAACAATGCAGCAGGAGCTGAACAAAGACGTGAAAAACGACTGGACGATTACTAAACAGCACTACCACAGCTCACCCGCAACGCCTCAACGCCACTTCTCCCCCGTCCACCAAGAACCCACCAGTAGTAGCACCAACAATACCTCCAAGCTGGCCAGTAACCGCATATCCCACCCAACCGCCTGGCCCACTCTATCCCCATCTCAAAAATGGTCTACAGATCCTAACCTTCACGCTCGCCAACTCCAACGCAACCCCCAGCTCATTCTTGCCCAGCTCCCCAACGAACCAGCCTACGCTTTCCGCGACACAGAGCTGCGCGACACCATCTGGGCGCTCATGCACAGGATCGAAGATTTCGCCAAGACCTTTTTCCCACAGGAGCAGCAGCGGCGTGGCGCGCACGCTTCATCCCCTCTTGAAGACGGCGACGGCGCCAATAACAATGAGGATGATAGGGTGGAGATGGTGTTAGATGAACGTTTCTATTCGGGGCTGAGTCCGGAGACGGCGAGGGTGATTGCTTGTATAGCGTCCGGTGGACCTGGTGGGGTATCCGGGTGGCATGATTTGTTTTTGAACAGGGAGAAGATGCAGGCGCTTGTGTGCGGACTTATTGGTAACGTGGTTTCGGAGCAAGTTCTGCAGCATGGATTTTTCGGGGGCACAGAGGAAGGCGTGCAGCGAGTGAGGGAGGTTGAGAAGGATATGCGGGATTCTGATGGTGAGTAGATGAATTCCGAGCAAAGGAGCGATAGGAAGGAGGGAGGGGGAAAGGCAGACTAGGGATTCGCTAACAGTGTACCGCAACAGGATTTGATCGTAAGATCAAGTACGCAGCTGTGATCCGATCGTACTTACCGACGCCGATTACCTTGCCAGCCAATTTTAACGCCCACGTCAATATCATCGTTGGCGCGCTGTATACGCATCTCTCGCCCCTCCTGGCCCTCGTTACTCCAGATGATACACCAACGCTATCAATACTCTTCCCGCACCTCCAGACTCTCGTCGTCAGCGCCGGTCTTCTGAGTCTACATATGTCTCTCTCCCCTCACACAATCTACCACCACGTCCCGCTTCTCAAAGAAGATATGTACGTTTCCTCTTCGATGGAGTGTTTTAACGAACGCGCCATGCGGTTGAGTAATATGCGTACATCGCTGTCTTGTTTGTCTTCCCTCTCCTCTTCCCCTTCCTCCTTCAGACCGACGCAAGAGGACTTACAACGAGAAACAGTCAGAAGAAACACATTAAGTGAAACCGAGAAACGTCGAACAGGCGGCGATGTCCCTCTAGTACAAATTGCGTGTATGGAGGGCATCACTGCGTATAGGCGAGGAGGCTGGGAGAAGAATAAAACTGGCAGTAACGAGAACCCGGTTTTCGAAAAGAGCGAGTATCGAAACATGGGTATACGCGCGCGTATCCTAACCCACGGCTGGGCATATTGTCGCTGGGGTCGTGCGCGTAGCAGTAGTGACAGTACGCAGAACCCAGCTTTCCGAGACAATGAAGATACTGGTCGGAAGATCCACGGTGATGTGTGGAGGGACGGCGGCTTTGTGAACTTTTCCGATGTTGAAGGGGTGGTGGATTGGCCAGGGTATGGGGAAGGAGAAGAAGAGGTTGCTGAGAATTAACAAAAGGGGCGGAGAACGTTTTCAGGACGTATGCTGATGAAGAACATGAAGCAAGTTGTTTAAAAGCGGTGGTGTGGATCGATGAGAGTAGCAAGGGAGTTAATAGTATGTGGTAAACTGATAAGGGAGGAAAGACAAAAGTGATCTCTGGAAGAATGACGTATCTGGAGGAACTTTGGTTTCCTGATCTTTCAGCTGGAGGTAGATTTCGATGTAAAGACAACTATTCGGTTGATCGCCCCTGTTCTAACGATAATGTGGTGTCTTATGGTTGGCATTGGGCTGGAGAAATGCTGTATCGGAGTCATCGCGACTCGTAACCGCGTCCTATAGTGTGCATCATCTTCTTCTCCAGATAAATATCTTACCAACGTTTACATCGAAGAATGAACAGCAGCTACGATAAGAAAAGATGGCGCTACAAGACAGCCAAGATCAAACATTGACTAGAGAATGGGGAGTTTGTGGAAAACGGGTATATAGTAAAACCGCCGTGATGTTTTCAGATGACGTTCCTAAGACTGTGTCTTTGTAGAATTTCTCCAGCGCTGCTGTACATACACACGCAGCATGCTCTGTAGTCGTAGTGTTGTCTTTTCCGATTGTATAGATACACATTAGCTAACGTGTAGGTTGGGCTTTGTCGATGTCGCAGGGTGAGGCAGTCGAACGCCGCGAGTATACATCCGTGCCTCATCGAATCGGACATACTCCGTATCTATTAAGGGGAAGTGGAAAGATGAAGAGATGGGAAGTAGAGTACTGTCATAGACGAGCATTACTCAGTCCAAGCGATAACGTCGATCACTTGATGTCATGACGCAGCTAGATACATACCGAATCTATACTAGGTCCATACAGTATGCTGTTCATAAACCTCCATCCCATCGGATAACGTTGCCAGACCTACTGTGTCTGGCCTAATCGATCGTCGTGTTCATGTCAGAACAAACCGTTAGGGAAGGTCGATCCATCGGGGCTGAGATGCGTAGAGTGATATGCGGTTCCGGAAGCGGCAACGAGACTATGGGCTGATTCTCCATCATATCTTTCGTCACAACGCACCAGGGTATTTGGCGGGATGACATATGCCACGCCGCGAGTGCGCAGGTGGGTGACGTGCGGTTTCGCACATCACACTCTGGATGTATTATCCCGAAATGCGGGTTGAGGCTAGGGAGTTAGTACAGTGTAGATCTGACTAGACAAGGTGCTTTATCGTTCTCGATCGCATCGCGCCTCTGAAATGGTCGTTCGGTAAGCTGGGCTGGAGAGTTCGCACATGTTTGGCGTTCCACGGATAGGCAAGGAGAGGACGATTCAACATCACCTGGTTGACGTCACAGGGCTGACTTGCGCTCGTGTCGTCCATGGATATAGGGCCGAAAGACACCTGCTATTCCACCGAGGAACGCATCATCATTTCAGCGTCTGGTCCATCAATCCTTCGTCGAGCACTCATAGGCGGAAAGTCTGGAATCGGTATCCCGCCATCTATCCATGTTGCACATCAACGAAGATGAAGTTATGATCTCAGGGCAGTTGCCGATGGTCCTGCGTCGACATTTAGTGGCCCGATAACGTGACTTGGAAAAGGACCGAGCCCGCGCTAGAGATCCTAGCGTTGAAGCTTGAAATGCACATGCATGAAGCTCGAAGTGGAGAGTGGGTAAATGCGAGTAGGGCGATTTCGACGATGCAGAGTGGATTCAAGGAGCATTTTGAGGCGCCACAAGCGATGGTGTTTCGGACAATTTTGGAAAACTGTGACTGCTTGCTGGGATAAATGATTTGCCATGAGTCCTTGACGTCGCCTTGCCGATGGACGTGATTAATCATTGCGAGACCTGGCTGTTTAAGCGAGGAACATCAGGCTACTGACGTTAGTAGTGGTGGTACGTGGTCGTGATTCGTGATTCGTCCCTGGAGGTAGACGTGCCTGACGCCAAAAGGAATGACGCGCAGATGTGAACATGAGAAAGGGCCGTTTCGACCACGTAGTGCTGTGGCTGGCGGCGTTGGTTCACGACCCGGTAGCGGCATCGTTTGGACATGCGATGAGTTGGCCTCATGATCGCCTCTTTGTTGAAGCCAGCTGAGAAGTCGGTACAGAAAGCTTGTTGTCCGTGTCGGTCTGCCCAGTGCTCCAGTATCAGAATTGCTTTTAACCCCGCTGCCGCAATCGGCATGACAGTAAATCTCGTCTTGGAGTGTATGTAGTTGCGAATTGTCCCTATGCTTCCCATGGTACCGTGGACCGGCGGAAGAGGACAGGCTGTATTCCGGACTCTACATTGATAAGATCGGAAGATGCAATGTGCATGTTCTTGAAGCAGCCTAGGTGTCGATGCACTGTCGTGCGCTACTGGATAATAGATACTGTTATACCGGGTACGTCACCTCTGGCGGCAGTTGGCGGTGAAGCATGCTAGCCGGGATTGGAGTTGGAGTCCTGATGCGATATTGGGGGTTGGTGAATCTGACGATGCCTTGTCTCGCCACACTTGCTGCAAGAGATGGACCAAGAAACGCTGCGCTGAGCGTCGGAAGCGACGACGATTCAGCTCGAGGTACCGTGCGTGGTGAGAGATTGGATTGGTGGTTGGCATGGAGAGCTGAGACGAGCTGGACCCCAAGCTATCTGGCGATGGGTGAGCAGGTGAGTGACGTCGCACACGCAGCCATACTCTGGCTCGCAAGTCGGAAGTTGCACCGGTTGGGCCTTCCGCATGTGTTACTTGGCGGCGTTGGTAAACAAGCGAAGCGACAGCGGGAGAGCCGCCCCAACAAGTCCCGCCATGCCCGAGGAGCGCAGTCAGCCCGCGGACATGACGAGTGGTAGCGTGTACTGGTTCAAAACACTCTCGGAGTTGTCGTAATCCATCAACGACATGTTTGAGGTGCTTTCGTAAGTGTTTGACGGGGGCGGTGATGAGGTGTCTAACGTGACACACGCAAGTGGGATGGAATGGGACTGCGTGTAGGGCGGGATCCCCAATTCAGCACGACGTGGGAGAATGAGCTGCTGCAGGGTCCAATGAAACGAGCGCTCAAGACGTGAAGCGAACTGGGCGTGACGTTTGCAAGGATGGCTGGACTTGTGTAGGGCAGACTTACTTAGAGGACGGTATGAGAAGACTCCGGCGCTCGGATGCATCGTCACGGGGACAGGCTGCATGTTTCGAATATGCAACTGAGATCACCAGGAGGTGTACATTGTGCAAATGAAGCTTGTGAGGCGGCCGTGGGGGCTGGCTATCTTGTAGTTTTGTCCTGGTTGGTGGACGAGCACGACATTTCGGGTCGTCGGTACTGGAGCTGGAGAGTGGCAGTCAAGCATGCAACGACGACTGACGCACGTTGGCAAGCGACAGATTGTTACCCCAGAAATGTGAACCATGTAGACCATGGGGTAAAAAAGTAAGTTCAAGACCTGCCGAATATCTCTGCGATGGCTTTGGACTCTGGCGCTAGAGACCGCAACCGATGTGTAGGCTACAGAACATCGATACGCGACGCATGTCGTCGTCCCAACATCTTCAGAGTACGTACCGCATGTAGCGCAGGCTAATAGCAGCGGCGGCTGGTTAGTTGATTGCTTGTGTAAGAGAGCCCAAGACAGTCAAACAGCCGAGAGCAGTCCGGCCAAGGGCGACGCATTCTGCCGACCTGGCCGAGAGACTGGCTGACGGTTCGAAACGACCATGTTCAGCGCTGGGGATGTTCGAAGACGGGCTGGTGGTGGCTAGCACAGCGGGTAGGGATGAAGCATGTTGGGTGTGGTGCAGACCAAGACCCTTTTGAGTTCACAGCGGAGCAGAGCCATGTTAGTGAGTTGCAGATTGCAGAAGAGGGTGCATGGGCGTCAGCGGCGGTTCGCGTATATAGTTGGGATAGAGAGTTGAATGTATACGTTTATTTGGTATTGGTGGTGAGATTCCGGCAAGTGTAGAGTGTCGGTGAATACTCGGATGTCGCATGGTTGGCTACCCAGCTTCCATAGTACAGCGGTTGTCTGCGCCACGTGCAAGGACAAGGCCACGGTACTTTCCATCAGCGGCGGGCTTCTAGAAGGTGAGATATGTTGGTGATGCTACGGGCCAGGGTGGCTTGCAGAGGCGACGGCGTGACAGTAGACGCTTGGAGATGTCTCCATGCTCCGGCTCTAGTAGGGGCGCGTACCAGAAACCATGTGGCCGTGCGCAGTGCTCACCAGAAGTTGCCTCGGCCGGCAGTGCCGTTGCTCGCGAGGCGTGGGCATTTTGATGCTTATTCAGGATGGCATCGAGATGTTGTTGTGCCTGGCGATGGATTGGAGCAAGCAGGCGATTCGCGATAATTTCCGCGGTTATATCATGACGCTGCCGCCCTCGTCACTCGCATCGCACAATCACGGATCGCCCTTCGTCAGACTTGCATCTTGCCAGGAGCGACGCATACAGGCACAGTAGCGCCTGCCCGCAATTGGCCGTATCCACCCACCCATCGGCAGGGATCTCGAGGTCGGCCGCTCGTCGCTCGTCACCGCTCTGGCTCCCACCGACACGCATATAGTTTCCCACGCCCCGGCACGACTTGTTGCATAATTCCAGACAACTATCCCCGACCTATTTCAGCGACGTATTCTTGCTGAGTAGAAGAAGAAGTAACAAGCCACTGCTACTGCCAGCCACTATACACCATACGCCACACCCAAGCCCACGCACAGTCATCTGAAACTGCGCCTAACGAGTCGCCGTTCCACTAGCATTATTTCCCCACTGCCACATCTCTACACACCTTCGCCCACCGCGAAGCTGGATTCCTACGAGCAGCCGCCACCTCTCTCCCACTCGCCGCGTGAATCCACGGCAGCGAGCACCCCCATCAGCACTCCTGTCGAACAGCCATCGTCGCCGCATTTTGGCCGTGGTAAGAAGGACCCGAGTGCCGGCCTCTCCAACCTCTGGCACCGCAAGCCCCAAGAGCTTGTGGCCAGCCACCAGCCCAGCGAGGACGTCCTTTTCGAAGACGCGGGCGACTGCAGCTTCCCCCTCTTCCCCGAGGAGCCGCAACTGCACAGTGGCTTCGCCGACATGGCTACCGCCTCGCCCATCGACATCCAGACGCCCCCGCGCTATGGCTCCAACTCGCCCCAAAACCAGACGTCCAACCTGACGTCGGCCCTGCGACAGCAGGCCGAGGCCCAGCCCGACAACATGTCCACCACGCCCGGCCTGCTGAACCCAAACAACTTCGACTTCACCAATGGCCAGCGCCCGAGCATGAGCGAGCGCCACCCCTCCATCAGCATGCTCGGCTCCTCCTTCTACGGCAACAGCGGCGCCCGCCCCATCACCATGAAGGACCGCGGCCGCCGCGAGAGCACAAACATGGGCAGCTTCGCAGGCGGCATGAGCTGGGGCGGCCACTCGGTCGGGTCCTGGATCCGCGACGAGTAAGTATCCACTTTAAAATACCCGACACCAAATCCAAAACTGACTCTTGCACCAGCATCATGATGGGCACCTCACCCGCGCCTTTCGTCCAGGGCTCGCCTTCCTTCCACTCGTCTTCATACCTCCCCAAGATGGAAGCCGCCTTCATGAAGGACTTCACCTGCTGCGGCCTCACCCTCGCCTCGCTGCACGATCTCCTCCAGCATTTTGAGGAGACGCACGCCAACGCACCCGCTGCCCGCCCGCAACAACAGCAGCAGCCTCAGAACGGCTTCACAAACACGTCAGGCGCCCCTACCAGCTCGATTGCGCCAAGCCAGACACAGGGCGATGCCTACAACACGCAGAATGGCTTCCAGTCGCGGTCAGGCTCCATCGGCGCGCCACGTCAGCGCATCGGCTCCGTCAGTCGCTCCAACCTGTCGACTGTGCAGGACATGGACACACTGGATGACATGGAGATGGACGACATCGACTTCAACAACCTCGGTCCCATCGAGGAGCAGCAGAACATGCAGCAATTCCCAGTCCAGAACCAGTTCAACCAGAACCAAAATCAACAGCCACAGCTCAACGTCAACGTCAACCTCGCCAACAACATGCAAAACCACCAAGGCATGCGCACATCCACTCCTACCACGCCATCCGCCACACAGCAATTCAACCTCCAAAATAACCCCACCGTTTCGTCGGTCAACACGCCCACAATGGGCACCATGCCTATGCAAAATCACAACCTGACTTCGCCTGAATCGTCACATCCGGGCACTCCCGCCGAGCTCGACATGGACTTTGGTGGTTTCAACCCAATGATGGGCATGGACATGAACATGAACATGGGCATGAACTTTGGCAACGGCAACGGCAACTTTGGCATGGGCGCATTTGACAACAACGGCACCATCGATCAGCCCGGCAAGCGTCTCTTCAGCAAGCAAGGTGGCGGTCTGAACCAGGCTCAGCTACAAGCAGCGCTCAAGAACTACCAGCTTAGCGGAAACGACCAGAGCGAGATGGCCAGGAGGTTACGAGAGCAACAGCTCATCAACGGCGCGAGCATACCCCAGTTCCCCTTCCCAGAAGAGGTCAAGCCATTCCGATGCCCAGTCATTGGCTGTGAGAAGGCATACAAGAACCAAAACGGTCTCAAGTACCACAAGCAGCATGGTCACCAGAACCAGCAACTCAAGGAGAACGACGACGGTACCTTCTCGATTGTCGATCCCCTGACATCCATCCCGTACCCCGGCACCGTCGGCATGGAGAAGGAGAAACCTTACCGTTGCGAAGTATGTGGCAAGCGATACAAGAACCTCAACGGTCTCAAATACCACCGCTCACACGCCCCTCACTGCAATCCCGAGCTAGCGATGCAGAAGCTTGGCCTTACTTCCAATCTCCAAAATCTACAGAACGCAAACGTCGCAGGTGCTGGAATGGGTGGCATTGACCCCTCCATGTTTTAAACCACTTACCTTCTTCGAGAACGTTTCTCGACGCGTCTCGCCACACTTGTACCCTTCTTCAATACCCAAATCTTCCAAACTCGCGACGACGACGATTGCAGCTTTTGCCCCATCAATGTTTGATTTTCCATGGACGACAGACAAAAAAAGTCATGACTGGTTCTACCGTCTCTTGTTTCCTGCATCTACCTGGCGTTACACTTTGGATTTGAAGATTCAATACAGTATCTTCTACCACCAAATAGGCTAGGCTCGATTTCTTGGATAAAGAGCTCCACTACGTTTTTCGCTTCCTTCGTACACCTCTCTTGAAGACGTACATCTCCCGTTTTGATACGGCGGCAGCGTCACAGCAGCAACAACGACGCTTGGTATGACGAAATCGATGTGCATAAAGAGGTGTTTTTTTGGTTGGCCATCTCTCTTCTATTGTGTTTTTAACGCGGAATATCCCCCTCTTGAATTGTCGAATAGACTTGGGTCTCTTTCTTTTCCAATGGCGTTCTCGTCCTCTCATAGTAGAGCAAACAACAAAAGTCTTCAAAATGCGTTTATACAACGACGGCGTCTTTCTTTTTCTGTTACCTGGTCGTCTACTCGCGTAAATAGTTGATTAGACCATGGCGGCTGTCCTGACGAGTCTTTTCATTTCAGATTGAGAGACGATGGGGGCTTCATAATACCACACTCTACACACGTTACTACTTTACCATCTGCCTCTTGTTTGCACTAATCATGATCACATCCAATTGTCGTCGTGATCATATTGTAGGAAAAGACATCTGATACATGTATTGCTTACTTGCTGGCTCAAGTCAAAGTAGGACGAAGACAAGTCATAGTGTTGCGTGTGGCGTAGACCCTTGCCACTAACTGAACCTTTAGCTCCCATGTTTCTCTCTCTCCTCCTCTCCGCCCGTGCGCATGCACCGAAATCACATGCATGTATGCCCAGCGCTACTCCCAGCGTCCAACACTCTAATGCGAACCAAAATGTCTTGCATGTGTCTCTCTCGCATCGACTAATCTCCACTCGCACCTTCCTTGCTTGAACTTGCACACCGCTACTGATGTGCCGGGCTACTTGTTCGCTAGGATCCTCTCGGCGGCATAGAAGAACCTAAGAACACCTTTCAATTGTCTAGTTGCCGCCCCGGTTTGCTTAGTATATACGTTGAAAGTGGAGAAGGAACCTCAAAAGGGAATTATCTGGGGGTAATAGAAACTCATCCAGACCCGCTTTTACACGGGCAAAGTAGTCACTGGGGCTAGGTATCGCGGGATTGCAATTTTATAAGTGTGTTTTGTTATGATGATGATTGTCTTATACGCGGGATTGGTGCAGGACGGAGCGGAGATTAAAATATACAATAGAACCCGCAGGAGCGATGCAGTTGTGATTGCATATGGTAAGGTGTCGTGTGCTCTGTTCACGCTGTACCGCATTGCAGGTGGACATGGGTATATTGGACTGTCTAGTTGTGTAGTATAACGTCCGGGTGACTCGAGAATCTATAGGGTTTGCAAGCATCCCCCCCCACACATCCAAAGGACGACTTCAACTGATTCATTCGTCGATGTACGTTTCCACATCGCCGGTATTGCGGCTCTGCGACGATCGCTATATGATAATCGCACCTTGTCCAGACCCTTTTTTCCCTTTTTCCACTTGCTTTGCCTTTGTCCTCTACCGAACTCAACCCGCTCCGTTGAATCATGACACAAGATTATTTTTATGCACTCTATTGCCACCCCCAGTAGTTGACAGCAAACCGTCCATCTATTGGCCTCCTAGCTCCTCAATCCATTCTATCCAATCACGCCGCGCCGTCCTAACCCTCCCGGCTAACTACGGCGGCGGCGGCGGGCGGGCGAATTGAGAGAGCAAGAAACCTAGGTCATGCGGCTCTGCAGCTGAAGCCAAGCCCATACGTGCGAAGAGAGAGAAAAAAAAAGGGTCAATGCTCGATCGGGCTTTGCGACCAGGGCTTGCCCACATAGAGCAGTCCGCTTGCATGACGCGCATTCGGCTGATGTCCTCTGAGCGCGCGGCTTGTGGCGGGAACAAAGCGTTCTCTTGGCATTTGGCCGCCGGCTCGACGGTGGCGTCTCGAGTCATCTCATTCACCACGTGCACACTTGACAATAGACAGCTACCTGGACGTCGCATCGACCGCTGCTATGTGCGTGTGTATGTGTGTGTGTGTGTGTGGCAAAACATCAGGCTAGTGGCTCGTGACAGAACTTGGCTTTGATACCTCGTGGGTGTGGCTTGCTGGCATGCAAGGGAATCCCTTTGTTACAGGATTTGCGGCGTAAAGAGGGACCCTGCGCTGAAGCACGGTTCCCGCGCGCAAATGCTGGGTAGCTCGGTACCAGTAGTGTGAACGGGCGTGCTGTACTGAATAGGGCGACGGTTCCGAGTGTGGTTTCTTAGTTGATGGTCACGATGTTTTTCATGCTTGGGCGTCACTGCCATTCCTGTACCTGAAGGGGTGCATGTCCGAAGAAATAAGCGTCATTATGATACATGTAGTGGGAGACGGGAGGTACGTGTGATCGGAGTATCTTCCTTGGTTCTCTTGCGCTTGCAGAAATGATGGACCGCGGCGCGTAGGAGCAAGGAGCGAGGGTTCTGGTTGGAGAAGGGGCAAAGAGGGATGCCTATTCGATGATTTAAAGTGTATATTTCGGAAATGGTGACATGGGAATGTAGCAGTGAAGTCGATTTGCGTTGTCATGCTGCGGAGTGAACTCTGGATTCGTCGGTCTCGCAATGACAGCTCAGTGCATGTTGGGAGGCTACGACAATGCGCGTTTTGACATGACTCTCTTCAATGCTGATGGAGGATATAATCAAGTCAACCACCTGATATGTCCACAGATGAATGTCGCGTTGTCGTGTTGTCGTAGAACGCGGGCAGGCGCTACTTGGCGCTCAAACTGTCGCGCGTCCCTCCGCACCCGCTGGTGCGGAATCTTGACAATACCACATCCACAGCTCTCTTCGCAGCTCCTCTTCCTGCAGGTATCATTCACATTCTCAACAGCAGACGCACTTGTTGCTTGGAGATGATGATCGGTAGGATCGATGCATCGTCCCGCTTAGATAATACTATCTAAGCTGGGCAGGTCTCCTCGTTGGCTGGAAAGAGGAGGGTGCGGCGCGGCAATGTAACGAGAAGCCGCGGCTGGAGGGGTGATGTGCTCTTACGTGTGAACCCTGGACAGTATCAATCTAATCATTACTGCGCCAACACAGCCGTCATCGTTTGTCGTTCCCTCGATCACAGTGGTAGTATTTCGTCTCTTGTGATCTCATTCTTCTTACATATATCTCCTGCCCCATGACAATGTCGACGTCCGTGTCTGAAGAACCGGCTCATCACCCTGTCAAGCGTGCGCTCGCACCATGGAAACTTACGGCTGAGGTGTACATGCTCTTCATGACGCTGAAGGAGTTGCCCGAAAATGTGCATGATGAGTTGGAAGGCGAGGCTGGAGGGTGGAATGGCGAGGAGAAGGGAACGTTCAAGGAGGGCTTGGGGAGTGTGATGGTCGTTAGGTAAGTTGATGCCGGAAGCGGGCGGGTTATGTAGGAGCAGGAGAAGAAAAGGAAGTGAGATGGCTTGCATGCGTTGCGCATATGCTGATGTCCTTGGTATAGGTATAGGGAGACGCCTGTAGGTACGTGAAATGTCTCTTTCCCATCCAGAAGAGCAGTGACGTCAGTGATATCGGTAAAGAGCACAAGAGAAGGAGTGCGAAGAAAGCGAGTTACCAGGACGAGGAGACTGTTCGATTGATTTTACGGCACGCTTTAGAAGTGAAAAGAGAATGGCGTGAAGAGTGTCTTGCCTAGACACTGCACGAGACCGGAACTCTCAGAGCCATCCCTCTAACCTGAATCCAGGTCCCTATGACGAACTTCTCCTCGTCCCCGGAAACTTCATCGTCCCGCAGCCCACTAGTACTACCTCATCGCACTTGCATATCAAGATCCCTAAGAAAGCCCAACGCATATCCCGCATCTACGTCTCCCAACGCACAACAACCTATAATGGCCGCCTAAACTGGAATATACCCAAACACCTCGCTCGCTTCTCCTTCTCTTCGCCACCCACGCCACCTGGTGCCTCGCCCCCCTCCAGCCTCACCGTGCAAGTCTTCCCCCCAGGCACTGAAGATGGGGATGGCGGCGCCCCATTCTTTGCTTGTACGCTCAAGCCGTGGACGTGGGTTCCACCCATTCCGCTAAACACAAAGTATCTTCCGCTTAGCATGGCGGCCGCGCAGCCGCCATTGCCTGCTGCACCAGGGTATGAGAGGGCGCTTAGCGAGGTTCTAGGGGGAGCAGAGGTGGACGAGTATGATTTAGATCCGAAGAAAGAAGGTGCCGTGCTGGTGGGCACGGAGAAGTGGCGGGCGTTTGATATCGCGGCGATTACGCCGAGAGCGAGGGGGTGTTGGGTTGAGGTTCATGAGAAGAAAAACGAGGAGGTGGTTGAAGAGGGTGGAAAAGAGTGGTGGCCGAGGAATTTAGGGTCGTGGAGTGTTGGGGCTTGGATGGAGGATGTGGATTGGAGATTGGGGGAGGTCGTGGAGTGGACGGTGTAAGTATAGTGATGCGACGTCTGATGGCGCCTTCAGTCATGTATTGTCGGTATGTGAAGCGTTTTGCAATTGCACGTCGACGCTGTCGTATCGGTTGTATGTGCAATCAGCTTCTCGTGGAAGCGTGTCGAAGTGAAAGGCGCGCCTGCTGCGTATCTGTTTACAATGCAGTTGCCTTGATGTGACGCGCCGATTGCACGAGCTTCAACTCACATGGGAACAACCTTCACCATCATTTTTCCCTGACCTTGATCACATCACATATGACTGCCGCTCCAACGTATACCTTTAACCACATTATTGCTCTATACGTGTTTTGCAATCCCTAGTCGCACAGAGATCTCCACCTCCGTACGCATATCTGTCAGTGCTCGGTTCGGACACATGTGGATGTTGGTGAGTGTACCCTGAACCAGACCTCCGTCCCACGATCATGCTGATGTACAGGTAGCTCATTCTTTCAACCACCACAATTCTCATCATGATGCTTCTTCCGGTCTCATACGACCTTGGCTGGACAGCTAAGCTCCTCCGTCGCGACTTACGAGTCTTCCGAATGAAGCTCACCACGAGACTGAAGCTCAAGTCCAAGCCTGGCGAGGCCGCCAAAGACACCTCGGAGCCGAAAAGTCTTCACTACAAGAATCCATCGCCGATCAATGTCAGTGAAGCCACTGCATACTCCAGACCGCAAGGAGACGTTTTAGACGACGAACCAGAGACCAACAGCGAAAAGTGCAACAATACCCTCTACGAACTCTTGGAAGGCAGACTCAGAGCTACGTATGCGTCTCGCAACCGCGATGTATCACACCAAGACCGCTGGAGGTTCCGCGGTAGTTGGCTACTGTTATACAAGGCCATCCAAGCATGCGCCTCGAATGACAGCTGCGATATCCTTCGCGCGTGCGCACAAGATACAAACGAGAAAAGGTTGCTGCTGGAGATGCTGCAACTGAACACGAACCACAATAGACTGCCTTTCCACGAGGTCAGCAAAATGCCTGCTGCACCCTACACCAAGCAAGACAGCGACCATAGCCGTTATGATTCCATGCTTAGCAACGCTACCACACTCACACCCACGCCCTCGCCCGCGCAGATCTGGTTGTCCATCCTCGAAGCCACAAATGACGCCGAAAAGATCGCGCCTATGGCTCAAGAGCTTCTACAGCATATATGGTTAGGGAATAAAGTTGTCGACATCATTGAGCAGATCGGAGACCCCCACAAGAAGTTCCCCGACGCCGACGACGCTGAGCTCTGTGTCAAATTCCGACAGTTGCTATGTTCGGAGTTCATACTGTCCACGCCCTGCCGTTGATCTCACCGCCAATATCACACAATGTCTTGGTTTTCGGCATCTAGGGCGAATCATACACCGCGTCGGAAAAGGTGTGTGTGGAAAACCCTTCGTCGGCAGCGGGCGATACCGCATTGCGAGTGGTAGCCGAAGCGGCACAGTGGGTCTATTGGTCATGGCTCTTTACCCCTCTATGGGCCTTCAATGTACTTATACCGCTCGGGGAGCTCGACTATGCAACACCAAACCGCTCGGGGAACCACAAACTGCGACTGAATTTCCGCGCGCGTCATCGATTGGGAGGTATAACAGGGCCGCGAGAACGCTTTTGGGGACTGTGTAGGAGTTTTGCGACACTTTCCAAATCTGAACGACTGCTTTCCGCGCAGCACGCGCATTGTTACACATATTCATCCTCTTCCCCAATACGAACACAACAGGTCGTATGAGCAGCGAACCAAAAGGCAGCACGCCAGGATCAATTAACCCACACTGCAATCTGACTAGAGTCAACACTTACCCTCACGCCGAATTTACTATTCCACCATCGGACACACTTTCGCCATGCCAAAGTGCCCAAACTCACAACGCCGATGCCCCGGCATCGGCCAGCTTCAAGGCGAATCGCCCAAGCAACACTGCAACTGGAGATGAGAAAGCTCACCGACCTCATGATGAGGAATCTCGATCAACCTCTATCGCCAATGACCAAGTAACCTATCCTGAAGGCGGCCTAGGTGCCTGGTCTGTCGTTCTGGGATCGTTCCTTGGTCTCGTCGCCTCGCTGGGCATGATGAACACGGTCGGCATCTACCATGCCTACATTGCCGAGCACTATCTTGCGGATTACTCCGAGTCGACCGTCTCATGGATCTTCAGCATGTACGTCTTCCTGTCGTTCTTCTGCGGACTACAAATTGGACCCATCTTCGATGCCCATGGTCCGCGACTCCTGGTGCTGGCAGGTAGCATCCTGATCTGCCTGTCCAACTTCCTGCTCGGCTTGTGCACATTGTACTGGCATTTCTTTCTCGTCTTTGGCGTGCTCGGTGGTCTCGGTACATCCTTGATCTTCACGCCCGCTTTTGCAGCAGTCAGCCACTTCTTCCTGCAGAAGCGCGGCAACGCAACGGGTATTGCTGCTGCTGGAGGATCGCTGGGCGGAGTGATATTCCCGTTGGCTTTGGAGAAACTGCTACCGAATGTGGGCTTCCCGTGGGCGACTCGCATCATTGGCTTCATTACGCTTTTCTGCTGCGTCGGCGCCTGCTTCCTCATCCGCTCTCGCCTACCACCCAAAGCTGGACAGTCAGTATGGCCAGACTTCCGGATCTTCAGTCAAAAGAGCTACTTTCTCCTGACCGTCGGCATATTCATGATGGAATGGGCACTCTTCATCCCGATTACGTACCTCACTACCTTCGCGATCAGCACCGGCGCCTTTGGCCCGTCGTTCTCATACCAACTCATCGCCATCTTTAACGCAGGAAGTTGTCTCGGTCGCTGGGTGCCGGGTCTCCTAGCCGACAAGCTCGGGCGCTTTAACAGTATGATAGCTGCACTAGCAGTCTGCTCAGCTACATCACTGGTGTTCTGGCTCCCCGCATCGCTCCTCACCCCCACCACTGAGGCCGAGGCGACAGCTATAAAAGCTCTCTCTATTGTTTACGCAGTCATCTTCGGTTTCGCATCTGGCTCGAATATTTCCCTCACGCCGGTTTGTGTAGGCCAGCTCTGCGATACGAATGTGTACGGGAGATACTACGCTACGTGCTATACTGTTGTCAGCTTCAGTACGCTCACGGGTATCCCTATCGCGGGGGCTATCATTCAGGCTACAGGTGGGCACTACTGGGGTGTGGTCATCTGGACTGCAGCTTGCTATATAGTGGCATCGCTCTGCTTCGTGTGGAGTCGCGCACTCCAAGTTGGCTGGAAGTTGGGTGTAAAGTTTTGAGACGTGGTGGTCGGCTGTGTAGATTTGCGGGGATGCCGCATGTCCATGGACTTGAAACTGCGCCCTTGGAGAGGCGATCCAATCGCCGTAAAAGGAGAATGGTGCAGATAGGAGGAAGAAGGTACAGATTGCTAGAAGATGGCTTGATTTGCTTTTGCTTGCTGCGCTCTGGGACGCCACATTCTGCGTCCTCTTACACTCTTTTACTTGGTTTTCAGATGATCTTCTCAGCTGTAGCAAACGAAGAATCAAACATTCATTTTGCGACATGATCGGGCGTACTCAGCTCCTACTTTGATAAAGCTTCTTTTTCCGAGTTGCACTCAAGCTATGTGTTGAAGGCATGAAGTATGACGTTGGGTCTTGCGACTACGCCGTGGTAACGCAACACAGTTAGGTGTAACAGCCTCGGAAAGCCTCGCATCTCCATCCTCGTGATATGGAGCGGGCGGACGATCTCCCGTTGTTCACAGCGACAATAGTCTCCCGGTAACTCACGTGCATAAGCGCAATTGCAATCCGACATCTCATCCAATCTCCACTCAATATACGCCTCCGCTCTCGAGAATGTCTTTGCGGAAACAATGTACCCGTAGCATTGCCACCGTCCGCTTGGCCAGCGACGACGGTGCGCAATAGCGAGGCGACGGAGGGCAATTACCCCTGAGCCAATCCAAGCCACAAACACGTGGGTCGGCTAGCGAAACGCCGCAAGCAGGATCGGCCTCGACTCCTCCCGGACTTTGAGCGCGAAAGGCTCGCATCCTCCGTTGCTTTCATTGACTTTGCTTGTTGGCACGTCTCGGGTCGTGTTAATCGCTGTCAGGCTGCATTGGCTTGCAGCCTTCCAGAGCTGTACCTGCATCGCGCCCTCGCTTCTCTATACATAGTAGCGCTCTTCGCAATTGGCGGACTCTCGCGACAAAGCCAAGCGAAAAGACAACTTTACATACAGCGCCTCCAGGAATTTCCTCGAGGCGATTGACACGAAGCGCGCTGCAAGGGATGCGCTTGGTGGTGATCGTCCTCGACGCACCGTCCCGCGAAGACGCGAGTCGTACGTGATCTGTTCGATCCGATTTAGGCAATCAGCGACCCGCTCAAGGACTGCAGTGGAGGCGCTATTAGGTTTGGAGCACGACAAAGCACCCGTTATTGGTAGTCTGACCATGGCTTCTAGCGGTAAGCAAGGCGAAATGGCACGACAACCGCGACGAGATTGTCTTGATTCGTGGGTAGGCCAGACCCTTTCAGCTCGTCTAATTTGGAAAAAGAAGGGGAATGGTGGGGAGCGTACTTGTCAAGCTCCTGTCGCTCATGATAGCTTTCTTTTGCCCTGCAGGTACTCGAATGCTTTTCTCTACCCTGCATATTCGTTTTTGTCGCTACTGCTCGGTAACTTGGTAGTTCTTTATCAAGTGTGGATGTCTGGCCGCGGATGATGAAATCCAAATCTTGCAGTTGTCTTTCCACGAGGTACTCAAGCGACATGGAGCCTCCAATTCCCCGCAATATCGACCTGGATCTGGATAGGGATACGACGAGACCGATGGCGTTGAAACGCAAGGGTTCGACATTGCAGACGTCTGTTGAGATCTTGAGATGCAAGTTTGGGAAGCCTGCAGGTTTACCAGAGGGCGACGCGACGTTTGAGCCATCGAAGGACTGGACTCCCATATACTATGCCGTCTTCCACCAAAGGGAAGCCGCACTGTCACATTTTCTACGAGCTGGCGGATCGCCAGATGATGTTACTAGCTTGGGAATACCACCGCTGTGCATCGCTATCGCCAATGGACATGCTAGTATCGCGAGGATACTCCTGAATGCTGGTGCAAACGTCGATGCTGTGATGACAGACAGTGGTGAGACAGCATTGCACTTGGCTGTCAAGAACGGTCGTAGTGATCTTATCGAACTTCTTATCCCGTATGGACCCAGTCTCGAGACCAAGACAAATCAATCCGGCGAGACACCTCTTCACTACGCCGCATCTAAATCCGGATCGCTAGCAACCGTCACGACGCTGCTCAAGCATGGCGCTAGTTATGAAGCACTCAACGTCCACAGCCAAACGCCAGCAGAGGCTGCCCTAAAGGCCAACAACATCCAAGGCGCCGTGGCGATTATCAACGCCGCACATGGCAAGCGCAACAAACTTGAGAAAGAGAGGGAAATGCTGCTCAAGCATGTGCAGAAGACGCAAGGTCGTTTCTCGATGGGCAATGACCTCATCGCCGACATCTTCACCGCAGCCTGCGGTGCAGAATCCAACGTTCTTGTGGAAGCAATCAAGAGGAATGACGCTAGCTTGGTGGAGATGTTCCTAGAGAAGGGCTCAGATCCAGATCGAGAGGCAGCAAACGGTCTCCGACCCATCTTCGTGGCACTAGAATGCGCCGGAGCACCAGTGATTACTGCGCTTCTCAAACGTACCCCAGATCTTACCGCTCGTGATGGCAGGGGTCTTACTGTACTCCAAGCCACTTTCGAAAGCCCATTGGCGCAGGAAAAGGAATCAATGTCTATCATCCTGGGTGCGCTGCTAGAGCAAGGCGCCGATGCTACTGTAACGTACCCAGATGGCAAGACACTACTTCATCATGCCGTGTCTACACGTTTCAGCAACACCAAGATCGCCAAACTGCTCATCGATGCTGGTGCGGAGATCGATGCGCGAGACCAAGACGGCGATACACCTTTGCATCTTGCTACTCACAGTAGATCCTGCACAGAGTTGCTACTGAGGCACAAAGCGAACCCCAATTTAACCGACGCTGATGACCTCACGCCTTTGCTGAATGCTACTGCGAACAGCAAGAAGGACAAAGAGCCAGACCTGGAGTCTTTAGTCAAAGCATCCGACATACGCAGGACCAACGCCAACGGACAGACAGCTCTACATCTCGCAGCTATGAATGGCCTAGAGAAAACCGTGCAGTTGTTACTCCGAGCTCGCGCAAATACCGCCATTGGAGACAAGGACAAGAACACGCCGCTTCTTCTTGCCGTGAAGAAACAACAATGGTCCGTTGTACCACTTCTCACGATACCACCGAGCATCAATTCCTGGGATGAGGATGGTATGAGCCCTTTGCACCTCATTGCTCAAAGCATACCTAAAGCGCCAGCAACCTGGACAGACATTGCTGCCATTGTTGGCCCATTCTGTGATCGTGGTGTCAGCAGGACTACGCGCGAGAGATCCGGTGCCACGCCGCTCATTCTTGCGATCAAGGCGCTTCCAGAGGACGGCTTGCCCGTGGTTGAAGCTCTCCTGGTACAGAAGCAGGACCGAAAAGCGAGTCGAAATTGCGTCAACCACGAGGATCACAAGAAGCAGGACGCGCTATCCTACGCCGTGACGATGGGCAAGCCTGTCTTCGTCAATGCGTTACTTAAGCATGGCGCTACTTTCGACTTCCAGGATTGGGTACCTGGAGCCAGCCAGTTGCAGCCTACTGTTGAGGCTGACAAGCAGATCCTGAAGCTCTTTGCAGAGTACGAGTGGACCAAGCGCGCAGGAGTACTGCGGAGACGGCCAAGCAACCCTGTAGCGGAGGTCTCGGCTTTCTCTACCACATTACCTGTCAAGGATCTCGAACACATGATTGCAATGGGCTTAGACGTTAATAACTTACCGAGATCGGCTTTGGGCGTGTCGTTACTGTGGGCTCTCCTCCGGCACATCACACTTACACCATCGATGCCAGAGGACTACGTGCTAGAAACTCTATGTGTTGTTCTCAACGCGGGTGCTAATCCGAATGCGTGCATACCACGGAGCTCACCATCGGCACAGTCAGCATCGACTTCGAAGCAGGGTACAGTTTTGACCCAGCATCCCCTCCCGTTCCTGCTTGAACAATACCCTGAAATCGCTTTGGACGTGATAAGCCTGTTGCTCGCGAAGGGCGCACAATTGACAGTTGCGTCCGCATTTTCCAACGGTCGGTTGCCGTTGCACTCGGCAGTCAAGGCGAATCGCTTCGACGTGGTACAAGAGTTCTTGCTCCATGGAGCTGAGGTGAACAGCGTCGACCTGGATGGAAGAACACCACTTCACATGGCTGCCGAACGCGGGGATTGGGAAATCCTCAACTCATTACTTCGTCACGGCGCTAAGATCGACATGCTTGACGTGGAGCAGAACAGCCCTCTGCATGCGGCAGCGGCTGGCGGAAGTGACAAGATCATTGCCTCTCTGCTGCATGAAGGCGCCAAAGCGAACGTGAAGAACGCGAAAGATTTGACACCGGTCTCCTGCGTAGCCGAAGATCTTCCCGAGGGAGAGAAGAGCTTGATAGTAGACATGCTCAAAGCCGCGGAAGAGAAGGAGCAGGCAGCTCAAGAAGACCAACTAAAACAAGCCGCTGCAATCGCAGCATACGAAGCGAAGATGCAGCAATTGAAGGAAGAAGAAGCAAAAGCAAAGTTACGCCGAGAGCTAGAAGCAGAAGCCCGCATCCTAAAAGCCAACGAAGAAGCTTCCGCAAAACCGCTACGCGAACAACCTACACTACCAGCCCCAATGCCCACATCACCGCCACTCCCTACCGTCCGAAAACCGTCTTTCCTATCTCGAAAAGCCTCGTCTCTCTTCAACAAATCCAGATCTGCACCTCCTCCTCTCGAAAATCTACCAAAGCCAAGACACGCCTCTCTCTTCCGTCTCCGCATCAACACGCCACCCCCCTCGAAAAAACAACAAAGCAACAACCTCGAACCGCCCGTCCGACCCATTGCCATTCCCTCCCCTCATATCCTCGCTAGCCCCGACTTCTTCAGCACAGAGTTCAACAATATGATGGATCCACGACCCGTCGTCGCACTACCCGCTACGATCCAGCGCCGCACGACTGCAGCACGCGTGGATAGCGGGCTGAGTGAGAGGCGAAGTAGCATAATGGGCATGTTGGATCTCGAAAAGGTCAATGAGAAGTTGAGTAGCCCAGAGCTGAGGGCGAGGGAGATTGCGGGGCAGAGGGAGAGTAGTGGGGAGGAGCTGGCGGATTGGTTGGCCTTGACGAGGATGATGGATGGGTTGTGATGATTTCGATGTTGGTGACGCACGTGCGTGAAGATGCCATTTTCTTGTGTATACCAGCTTCATTTTTTTGTCCGTTCTCCGGTTTCGGTCTTGAGCACACTCTTTGGATATCTTTTTTGGTTGTAATTGTCTTGTTTCCTTTGTGGCATAGCATATGTTGGAGCGTCCTTCGGTTTTCGTTTTGACGCTGTACGATATTAAGATGTATACGCTGATACCCGGCCTTCTATTCCCTAATACACATATTCACGACAATTAATGTTCTGGTCGTATGTTGTAGTGACAATATCTTATATTGCAGATTCATCCACGGAGATGAAACAAGACTCTCATGCACATGAAGAATGGACGACTGCACTACTTTGCGAAGTAGTTCGGGCTCGAGAGATTGACGGTGTCAGTTGCAAGAACCTTTCCAGTTGAGTTGACACCCGAAGCTTGCGGGCTGTCATCTTTCACAGTCGTTCTGCGCATGTCGCGTGTGAACTTGCCCTCGTAGCTACCTCCCGTAGCACGATGCAGCGTCGATACGTTATCCTATGCGATCATGTCCCCTTTGTCGTACCACTCCAGCCTGAGCACGTTCTTAGGTCACGTTGCATAATTGATTAATCTCTTCTTCAGAGCCGCGTTTTCTTCCTCCAGTAGTGGTATACTATCTAAGTTCTCGATATAGTACAGGTAATTCGCATCCTTGTAAAACTCTGCTCGCTCTCTCCGCAAAGTTAGAAAGTGTTCTACAGCATTCTGCGTGTTATTAATCAATCTCTCTAGCTATGCTAACTAACACAGCAACCTTCGTACATCAACAAGTGCGACTATGGTAGACACCTAGCTGATCCTTCGCCCCACTTCGTCTTACTAGTTCATGTGATCGCTAAGTGATCAATTCCGCCTGTAGTGGTCCACTAAAGCCACGTAGCCCCTATCGGGCCGGAGCTAACCCGTGAGAGGTTGCTTAAGTCCAGGGTGTCTACCATCATCGCACTTTCAATGTCCGATTTCGACCCACTTGGTTGTTTGTCTCGTAAGGACGGTGGATGTAGATTTGATGGTGGGGTGTTTATGGTCATTGCGTGCACGAACGGACACGGTACATTCCTTCGCTCCCGCCCGCTTTCTAATCAGAACATCATTCAGCTGTACGATACTGTCTTAGCAGATCAGGCTGACGTGATCGGTGAGTCATACGGCCAAATTGTGCATCTCCAGTAAGACTGAGGTTCTATCTTAATAGCCTACCTCGAGCGTTGGTCATAATCGCCGTTCTTTACTAGTTTTGTCGTGTTGAGAGCCGCGCTTAGCAATCTCTTTGTATCCTCAATTGTATAAGATCATGTCTCCAGAGCTTAAAGTTCCTCACTTTGAGCCAGACGTCCTAATCAGCCTTACCCCATCAGCTCTCTCCATACCTCGCACATTCTGTTGCCAACTCATCTTACCTTCTAGATCATGGCCTTCAATCGGATTGCTGTCTATGGTCACCGTGGATTTGTTGGCTCTCGAGTTGTTCCTGCTCTGATTGCTTCAGGAGCTCCGATTACCGTTCTACACCGCTCAAGTTCGGACACTTCCAATCTTCCCGATCATGTGAGAAAGATTGAAGTCGACGTTCTTGATGAAGACGCTTTGGTTAATGCCTTGCAAGACATAGACATCGTGATGTAAGTTACAGCTACTGCGCATTCTGTATATTTTCGAATCCATGTTAATAGCCTTCCCAGTTCTCTTGTTGGGGACGAGGGTACCGACAGACAGTATGGCTTCGTGAAAGCCATCCCTAGGACTAATGTCCAGCTTTTCTCACCTTCGGACTTCTGTCTACGATACTCTGAACAAGGGATGCGCATACCCTGTATGGTGGCAAAGGCGAAAGTAGAACAGGCTTCCAAGGATGCCGGCATCCCGACCACCGTTATCCACGCTGGAAATTTCGCTGAATTCACACTGAATACAATGTTAGCCATTATTCGACCACTCGAAATGTTCATGCTTGACTAACATTGACGACTTCTAGGGCAGTGGGTATCGATCTGCATGGCAACAAAATAGTTCACACAGGCAACTCTGCTCATGAAAAGGTTACCATGTGGTGCGTTGCCTCCTGCTATAAGACCCTCGCATCTGGATCATGCGCTTGGTCTGATTAAACTGACTTTTTATAGCACCAGGAACTATGTAGCAGCTGCGTACGTCGACATATTTACAAGCAGACCGATATCCACTATACAAAATCGGACTATCACGTTGTCCGAGCTTGCACCAACAGGCATGGATATCGCTGCGGTCATGAAACAGAAGAACGGCGCTGATCCTTTGATTGAGACACGAAGCTTGGAGGATGTCGATCGAACAATTGAGGACCATATCAGTAAGCAGAGCAATCTTGCTGTCCCGTCTTATTGCCGCAAAATGTGGGGGTCGGGAGAGATGATCAAGATGCTCCCTGATGAACTTTGGGAAATTAAGGACTACAAAAAAGCAACTTTGGAAGACCTGGTTCTAGACGAGAAGGTCGGAAGCTACAGGGTTCTACCTGATTTCATTGTAGATTACTTGAGGAAGCTCTGAAGCAGATTGTTCGATGTGTTTCGATATATGTGTGCGAACACGGACGATATATTGTTGTTGCTTGCACGAATGGAAAGTCGAGAAAAGTGCTACCAGTTGATACACAAAGACCCGTGGTAGGAAGCAATTTGCGCGCTGAGAGTAAGATCCAGTAAAACATAGCGTAGTTGCTGAGAGGTAGATTGAGTTCACTACAATTATCCATAGATCTTAGAGCTACGAGCCAGAGATATAGAAGATAGATTGATGCCTAAATTATGCTATTATGGCGTCTATCCTGATTTCTGAAGTTTGCCTACAGCTATTTGAATGCACTCTATCGCCTCATCCATTAAAGGTAGCTCAATATCCTCGCCTCGTGCAGCAGTCTCCAAAAGTGCGTATCCTTTCTGATACTTGTCTTCTGCAGGATAGAATAAGAAACTGGTCGCCATTCGTAAGCGAAGACTACCACCAGAATTGCTGTCTTCCTCTTCCGCTTCTCCAAATGCAGCCCCAGGCAGTGCTGCTAGGCCGCATTCGTCGATTAGCCAGCGCGCCAGGTCCCGGCTTGTTCGCACATGATGCGCTCGCAGCTGCTCCCTGAATGGTCTGAATGAAGGGTATAGATAAAATGACCCACGGGGCTCAGCCACTTCAAGTCCACAATCGCGAAGGGCAGTGAAAAGACGCAATGTGCACATACGGTGTAGCACTGTCACAAGGTCCCGATATCGGTCCATTTCAGAGCCCAGAATCGCGTCCGCAGTAAACGCACTGGAGAAAGCGGCAGCGGCAGCAAGCTGAGCTGGTGCTGAGGCTGCTGACCAACACTCCGAGGCGTAAGCCAGGATGGCTTTCTGGATCGTCGTACCGACAGATGAGGAAGGGAAAGTGGCAAAGCCGATGCGCCATCCACCAGCAGAATACGTCTGAACCTCGTTAGTCTTCGAAGGAGAACCTGGGGTAGTACACAATACCTTTGACATTCCTCCAGTCATGATGACTTCTCCACCATCCTTTTGAGCTGTCTTGAAGGCGCTGATATTCCTTTCTTCTGTGCGGAAGCAGATATCCGAGTAGATTTCGTCGCTTATGAGTAGAATCTCCCGCTCTCGACAGAAACGAACGATCCGAGCAACTTCCTCTTCGCTGAAAACTTGCCCTGTCGGATTTGAGGGACTGTTTATAAGCATAATGCGAGGCTGTCCTCCCTGCTGAATAGCGGTGTTGTATGCTGCTTCAAGTGCTTCAGCTGTCAGGGTATGTCTGTCGAACTCGTCTGTTTCGATCCAAAACAGCTTTTTTCCGGCATGAGCAACCTGGGCCTCGTAACTGACCCATGAAGGCCGAGGAAGGAGAACGTCTCCTCTGACGATATCGAACAGCGCGAATAGAAGGGGCTTAGACCCTGGCGCGACGACGACTTGATCGGATTGGATCTTTATCCCCAACCGGCCGGACTGATACTCGGCAATAGTCTTGATAGAACCTCGTAAGTCGGGATCAATTGCCTATGAAGTGCGGTGAACTTACTGTGCGGAGAGATTCCAGCCCCGCAACAGGCAGATAGTCTGAGCGACTGCTTGTTTCGCGATGAATCTGGAGGACCCTTTGCTGAATCGGAAACATGGCCTCGCCGAAGCCCAGATGTACAATACGCTTACCTGAGGCTCTAGCTCGAGCGACAGCCTCGTTGATCTCCAAAGTCGGGGATAAATGAAGTGCCGCCGCGGATGGGGTAAGAATGGATGAAGTACCATGCGTGTCCATGATCAATGAGGATTCACTATAACTCTGCGCAATCTTTTGCTCGACATGAATTGTGAATCCATGATATATATGTAATGTTCAGACAACCGGACTAGGGCCGCGAGCAGGTGCAAGCTCGTTCGGCGATTTGTGACCGAACCAGTTGCTAGCTAACGCCGATAGCGCATTCGCCGGAGGACAGACTCCGGACGTGCTAAGTGACCTGTAGTTGCTCCCGAAGCTCTTATCGTCCAATAAAAACACGAATTCAATCCGTGTCATGTTAAAGGCACACTGCCTACAAATGACGAGTTCCAGGACTTGTTTTTTTTTTCCACCTCACACAGTTTTCGTGAGATCAAGACAGAACCGCCAATGTCAGCCAATGCGTCCAAGCCCGGTTGGATCGATGTCGTCACACGCAAAAGACGGGATCAGAGGACGGCCATTGAATCGTTCATGACTGCGAATCTCAATTCCACACCATGCGACGACGAAATTCGCCATCTCGAATACTCGGCGCTCGTTGAACGTTTATCAAGTGGTTCCTTGTCTGCCGAGGCAGTCACAATCGCCTACATACGAGGGTCAGTCACATCCTGCGCAACACGTATTCATGCAAAGATTGGGACACTTACCATAGCACAAATAGGGCAATCAGTGCACACGAAAAGGTTCGAATCTTCGTATTTCTTGAGTCTTGCGACCACCTTCTTATAAAAGCAAATTCAGACGAACTGCCTGACCGAAGTGTTTTTCAGCGATGCACTCAAGCGAGCAAAGGATCTCGATGCCTGTTTTCACAAGGAAGGTTGTCCTGTGGGCCGTCTTCATGGCATTCCAATCTCACTGAAGGATCAATTTAATGTTCAGGGATATGATACGACTCTCGGATATGTCGGCAGAGCTTACTCTCCAGCAGGACAAGACGCAAGTCTTGTGCAAATTCTTGTTCAACAGGGGGCGGTACTTATTGCAAAGACTAATGTCCCTCAAAGCATAATGGTGCGCATCATCTGATTTGAAAACTGGGAAAATGTTATGAATCATAAAACGCTAAAGACCATTTAGATGGCGGAGACGAATAACCCACTCTGGGGGCTCACTGTAAACCCACGGGACGACCTTTTCACTCCCGGTGGATCTTCGGGTGGAGAGTCTGCATTACTTGCCAGCCAAGGTTCTCTCATTGGTTGGGGGACAGACATCGGAGGCTCAATTCGAGGACCGTCTCATATGATGGGCCTTTATGGGTTAAAACCAAGTGTACGTAAACGTATCTTCTGTCGGATCTACACCAAACCCACTTTCGGTATCAGAGCAGAAAAAGAGAGCTTTGACTAAGAAAGCTATACAGCATGGTCGCCTACCCTACTACAATGTCGCGGTATCGACTGAAGGTCAAGAGCATGTACCCTCGGTAGTCGGACCCCTCACGCGCTCCTTGGGTGCTCTCATTGATGTGACTAGCATTGTGATCGATTCAGAGCCTTGGAAGCTAGATCCAAAGTGCATCAACATGCCATGGAATGCTAAAGCATTCAACGACGTCCTTTCTCGTCCACTTACCATCGGCGTGATTTGGGATGATGGCGTCGTCAAGGTCCACCCACCTATTGCACGCGCTCTGAGAGAGTTTGTAGAGAAAGCAAAGAATTCCGGACACGAGGTCATTGATTGGGACCCAGTGGGGCACGACACATGCATCAATATACAAGTAGGTCTTCCCAATTAGTCTAGCCATATGGCACGGTCAGATTTTGCGCTCATTGCAACTAGGATCAATATTATACTGCAGATGGGGGCGAAGATATTCGAAGGGAGGTAAACCACGGCGGTGAGCCCCTATTGCCGTATGTGCAAGCCCTTGTCGATCGAGCTCCCGCCATCTCTGTGTATGAATATTGGCAGTTACATCGACAAAAGCTCGAATGTCAAAGAGCCTATCTGGAGAAGTGGAACAATACTCGCGCACCCGGTTCTGGAAGAAAAGTGGACGTGCTTCTGGGGCCTGTCATGCCTCATTCTGCGGTACCTCATAACTGTTGTCGGTATGCAATCTCTCCCCTGACAGCTATCAACACAATAGACCGAACTGAGTTAATGTATCATAGGTGGGTCGGGTACACTAAAGTATGGAATTTCCTGGACTATCCGGCAGTCTCTTTCCCTGTAACCCAGGTCTCGAAGGATATCGATGTTCTCGATTCGACATACGTACCCCGGAATGCTTTTGATGAGTGGAATTGGAAGTTGTATGACCCTGGTCGGATGGATAAGCATCCCATCGGGTTGCAACTAATTGCCCAGAGGCATGGAGAGGAGAAAGTATTAGCCGCAACTCAAGTTTTATTGGAGGCATATCATAGATAAGATCATCACTGCAGTGGAGTTTTCAGGCTTCCTTTGTTAGAACTTGTATCTGTAGAGATTGTGGGGTTAGGACAGAATTGCGATCGTGTGCATCGACTGACAGCGTGCATCTTGCGCACCGACACAGTATTGACCGTTCTGCCTCCAAGCGAGCATCATTTGATAGGCTCTAAGTGCTTTTGCGATCTCACGGTAAACAGAATATGTGCTATCCGCACACAAATCTATGTGTTCGATCGCTCCCTGGATGATGCCTCTGGTTGTGAGATTTTGACACGTTCTGTGTACAGGTGTTCATGTTGTGAGTAGCTCAGAACTCGACTCGTCGTAGAACGCGCACGCACGCGGCAGCTGCGTAGGTATGACAGGAGGACTCATCTTACCCGTCACCGAATGTGTCACTGGGCAAGATTAAGAAATCACTATCGCCCGACAGCGGGATGATAACACGCTTTCTGCTGTTGTATCCCTGTGCGATGGACAAGTTGCGCCTAGATCAGGTGTACGTAAGCGTCTCCATAGCCGGTCAGTTTCGGGGATGGAGCGCCGGCTTGTCTCCAGCAGAGAACAGTCAAAACCTGCAGCTGGAACCGGCCTCGGCTTTTTTTCTCCAGAGTCAATCGACACCACCATGTTTGCCTGTGCGCGATGTCACGCGAAGAAAATCAAGGTCAGCTCTGTTACTCAAAGATCACAATCTTTCTCGCCACTGAACTTGGTCCCAGTGCAACGGCCCGCCTAATTGCCGAAATTGCGTCAAGGCTCAATCACCCTGTCAGCCACACATACGCTTCAAAGCAGCTGAGTGAGTCGGTCCTGGTCAAGAAGACATTGTGGGCATTGCGGAGATTCACTTATATTTCTCAGTGCCTACAAACAGAATTCACGACGACTCGCATGGATCGAGGCCGAATTGACTACCCTGTTCAACGTAGACTGCGCTTCGATACCCACTGGCACCTCACTAGCGCCCATTCTTGAAAAGGTCGTCAGAGCCTCGGCAGCTGGTTCCCAAGTTGTCGATGACAATGATAGAGCCCCGGAAAGTTCATACTCTAGACCGACAAATATAGCCACCCCCGTCTTGGTGAGCACAGACGCTACTGACATTGGTTTGCTCGCTCTCAATGCTACGGGTGAGCTCCGGTATCTTGGTCCATCTTCCGGCTCCTTCTTCTTCAATATTGCCACCTCTTTAGCGAGGATAAGTGGTCCGAGCAGCTCGCTCGATCCAAACGAGGATGGTCGCGATCCACCGCTGGTGCTTCCTGATAGGCAAGAAGAGTCACAAGATCTACTCAGGGCAACACTCCCTCCAGACACTATCAAACTCCTTATCAGTTCGTACAAACTATGGATACAACCTCTTTACCCATTGTTGAATGACGATGACCTCAATCAAATAGAATCAGGATACAGCAAACAAGACGCAAGCGTCCTGCCTCATTCTCCCGAAGTAAAGCACGAGCTCATCAGCTTCTACTTGGTCATGAATTTGGGAGCTATCAACGCCTCCAATACCGTAAAGCAATTGCGCATATCCTTACCACCAAATCATCGGGTGCCGTCAGCCACTTCGCTCTACGAGCGGGCGATGGCTTTATTAGAAGGCAGCAGAAGTACATTCCGGCCCAGTCTCTCACTGATAAGGATCGTTCTTTTGATTTGCATCACCGCTTCCTACCGAGCGACTGGTTACACTCAATGGCAATTGACCGGACTAGCTATGCGGGTGAGTACGCGAGCTCTACAACTGCAACGAGCTACGCGCTGACACTTATATAAGATGGCGATCGAGATTGGTTTGCACAGCTCACATCACAAGGAGCGTATAACTGCCGATCAGCTTGATCGGAAGTCCCGCGTATTCTGGACTGCGTACCTAATTGAAATCAGCCTAGCCTATAGTCTCGGAAGACCTCCAAGTATAGGCGACACCCACATTTCAGTAGGGCTTCCAATGTGTACTGAAGATCTTCAATTTGCTTTGCATCACCTGACGCATCGAAGAATCCAGAGCAAGATCATTAGCTCGGTATATGCAACGAATGCAACATGCTTAAAATCATCGGAGGATACAGTCAAGCTCATCAGCGAATTGCAGGTCGAGCTCGATGAGTGGAAAAAGCAACTTGAAGATTTATGTGAAAGCAGGACAAGTCTGGCGTCCCCCATCAGGTAAGCTGCGAGCAGCGAGTATTGACTAGAATAATCCTTGACTCATAGGATGTAGCTACTGGACAAGATTACATGGTGGCACCTCGTCGGTCTTGCACCGACCTAGCCCCCTTTGCCCCAAACCTTCCGTCGCGTCGGCCATCCATTGCATTAGTTCCGCAGGCGCATATATTGAGAGCCTCTTGCACTCTCTTAGATCCAGCCAGACTCCCCTTACTTGGATGAGTGTTCAAGGCGCGCTGCTAGCTGGAGTAACGATGGTCTTCGTAACCCGCGTGTACTCAGCGCAGATCATCGAAAAAGCCGGAACAAAATTTGTGCTGGTCGACTTCCCCATGTGGACCCGCAAATGTTCTATGTGCATGGCTATAATTGAAGAGCGATGGAAGGATGACCAGGTGGCCAATTTGGATGCGCACTTTGAAACACTCGCGAATGAAACAGTGGAACGAATTGCTTTGGCCTTCACTGGCGCTAATACCAAATCGACTGACGAACTAGCGGATGGACCTGATGCCGAGGGGTCGGACCTGTCACAACTACAAGTTACAGAAACTCCAACAATTCTTCGCCCAGATAGTGATACAACCATGCCCCAGTTGCCAACGAATGCTGTGGAAGACGTCTTTCCTTGGACAAGGGATACTGGAACTATTTTGGCCCCGTCACCAAACTTCAGCTCCATGTCGTTCCTTGACGAGCTTTCAGATTTGGAAAACGGGCAAGCATTTTGGGATATGTTTTTAGGTCAATCTGGTTTCGACGTACTAGATACCTTTGGGAACAATCAAAGCTGATAACGTTCAAACTGGATCCTGTGTTTCAGATCAACCTAAACTACCTGCAGTGCTGGCAATGTAAACCGTGAATGGCCTAAAGTTAGAAACTATTCTGATGATCAAGACAGCGTTTTCCAGGTGCGCATCCATGAGAAACAAAAAGGCTTTTACATCAAACTAATCTTTGAGGGGCCCAGTATCACCAACCAGTGATCGACTCCAAAGGAAACGACATGAAATGCGTTTAGGTCACCGTCGCTTCGCTGCTAGCAAACGGGCAGCGCGTAACGACTAGAGGAATCGGAATCGTCCTCTCGAGTAGGTCGTCCTTTTAGGTAGGGCTCTCACAGTATGGTAACCGTTTTCAGTGCTTGGCGCATTGCTTGAGCAAACTCCATAGGCGCTGATGTTGGGCCCGCAGATACAGCGTTGAAACAGCCAGCGATGCGCGAATCGAGACGAGTCAGATAGAGACAGCGATGAAGTTGCTCTCCAATCCAGTGCTTCTGCTTGTTTAGCAAGCTGTGTGCAGTGTTGGAGTATAGCTGCTCAGAGAGTAGATCCGTGAGACTAGACAAGATAGTCAAGGCGTGTAGAGGGCCGTGAAGAGCAGTGTGCCAGCAATGATCCTCCTTAGAAGCGTAGTCATCACTGTTCTTATAAACGATGAGTGCGTAATCGTCAGGCCTTAGGTCATGATAGTTAGGAAAGACCGATAGAGGGATGTCGATATCGGAGTACACCAATGGTCGATTGGAGCTCCCAAGATAGAAAGGTATACTTCGACATATGGATTCAACCAGGTTTTGAGTTTCTCTGTGCCTTCCGCCTTCATCACTTAACAGCTCTTTTGTGGACGCAGCGAAGCCTCCCTCAGAAACGACCCGAAGCGCATGGGTGATTTCCGTTCTGATAGACTCCACGATAAGACGATACATCCGCCATACATTGCATATGTTTGCAACCTGGACACTTGGATAGATATCACAAGAGCCATGGTAGGTGGGAATGGATGAAGAAATGAAGATCTCGTCCGAAATCCTTCTTGGGAACCAGATATTCGGTACCTCATCCAGCCATGCCCGAAGCTGGGCGTCGACATCTTGTATGATGACAGGCAGGACTTCTGATGCAGCCAATACCGTGTTTCCTTGCGATGCAAGATGGTAAAAGGTATTTTGAAGCCTTGAAACCGATAACCCGATGACATCGAGCTGAAAGCTCGGGCTATTAGGCAGGGCAGGAATGACTTCAGTCTGGAGCCACTCGAGTTCAGTAGCAGTCATTGATATGTTATTCCTGACGCAAAAGGAGACCCTTGAGTGAAAGAGGTTTCCTAGCAGATGCGGATGATACTTCGAACTTTTTGTGTCGCGACCGTTCTGTGTGAGCAACGCTAATGCTCCTTTACGATGCGTGCTTCGGGGCTCGTGACGACCAAACACAGCTGTCAGGCTATCCAGATGTTGTAGTACCAGTGTCGCAAGAATTACAGCATCCTTTCGCCTCTCTTTCGAGGTGGAGATAGCTTGCTGTAACTTCGCCAAAGCTTCCCGATGCAGCTCGATGGGAAGAGAAGCGGTAATGTCAGAAGGTCTCAGCAATGCCCATAGCTTGATTGCAGCGGCATCAACCGCAGCGCTGAGAGCTGACTTGTGAGACTCCGAAGCCAGAACTGGACGAACAAACTCCAGAAAACCGCGCGTCGACTGCAGACTGCGACCAACATCGGTGATATATCTAAGGTAGAACGTGACAGCGATGTCCAGCTGTTTCGGAAGCAGACTTTCGGGTATCGCGAGAAGATATAGTTGGTCACGAGTAGACTGCTGAACATACGAGCCTTTCCTCATTCTTTTCAACCCTTGATTCTCATAGTCGTGAGTTCTGGCGGTTACCGTCTGATCTGGTGGTATGTTGAGGTACTGCGCAGTGAGGTCCCTGAACCTCACTCGGACTTGCGGTTTCCCGTAGCCCGCACATTGCCGTCCAACGCGAATGCATTCGTTGCACATGGGTTTGGCCTCGTCGCATTTGACTCGCCGCTTTTTGCAAGTATTGCAGCCTTGCGAGACGCCCCGATTGACCATGACGCGACGCTAGGTTGGATAGTCTTAGTGCCGTGAAGACCGAAGAAGAAGGTATTTTGCGACTGAGACCTACGAAATCAGGCCTATTCATCAAGATGGGGCTTCGGTCGGGTTTGACGGCGATGTGCCAAGTCGAGTGAGCCGCTAACGGAAACTAATGCAAGGGTAAGATGATGCTGACGAGATCACCTAGCTTCTCGCAACAAAGTTTCCATTCAGGGAAATGATCATCACCGTTTGTCTTGGTTTTCCAGAGAGAGCGTGATCTTGATACTGTGTACGATCGATGATGTTTCTAATCTGCGTAAACAGTTGCTTGAATTCAGTGCCATACATCTTCGAAAAGCGTAAGGTTCTCTGTCAATCACCGGTAGCACGCTCATTGCTGCGTCCAGCGCCTAGGATCATTCGTCATCTATCTGGCTTGGCTTTTGGATCAGCACATGGCAACGGGAAGTGAATGTGACCTTATAATCTACATATATATGTAGATGTGTATTGTCTGCTTTTTCGAAGAACAAGTTTCTAGAGATCTGAACTCGTGAGAGACTTTTCTATAATTTATTACTCATAACCCCACCTCAATCGAAATGAAGATTAATAGATTCGCCACTGCGATACTCGTTCTTCCGTTCTTCACTGCTACCGCCGTGGTACTTAACATCCGAACGTCTCCCACGCGCCTTACCGGCAACTCATTTGGAATACCTGCGCAGAACTCGACTTTTGACTATGTCATCGTTGGCGGTGGAACTGCCGGCTCTGTTGTGGCTGCACGTCTTGTGGAAGATTCTAACGTATCGGTCGCGGTCATAGAGGCGGGAGGTTATGCGGATCTAGTGAACGGAAACCTGTCACGGGTGCCAGGATATTCTGATAGATTTGAGGACACAGATGGCGGTGATTGGGAGAGTGGTAACAGGCAGCCCGGCATCGACTGGGGTTTCGTGAGCGCACCGGAGGTGGTAGGTATCTGCGGCGCTTCAAGAGTATAATTGGGCGTTCGACGTACGTGACTAACTTTTAGTATAGGCTCTTGGTGGGAGGAAGATACATGAAGCGCAAGGGCGAAATCTAGGTGGAAGGTTGATCAAAGCACCCAAACTTGAAGATGCATGTAAAGCTGACTCGGGTACCACAGTTCTGTCCGCAATGCACTGATTTACCACCGGTGAGTCGCTCGAGTGTTCGCTTTCCAATTCTCCATGGTCTACAGAGTTCAACAAGCTAACAGCACGCGGACAGGGGTACATATGGCTCCTATGCACAATGGGCTGCCCAAGTGGGCGACGACAGCTTCGAGTATGATAACATGCAGCAGTACTTCGAAAGAAGTATCAATTTCAATACCTCGAACCTGCATCTGCGCGAGGCAAACGCGTCGGTGTCTTGGAACCCGAATAGCTATAACAGGCAAAATGGACCACTGCAGCTCTCATTTCCCAGCTTTGGGTGGCCATTTAGTACCCGTGAGTGAGAAAAATCCCTAGTTTTACCACTTTCAGCTAGCTACACAACGGTCATTGGTGTGCTAATAGCTGACGTACGCAGACGCTTCAAATGCCTTCAGTTCTATCGGCATGAATGCCATGCTAGACCACAACAGCGGTCAGCTTGACGGACACGCATGGGTAACCTTCACGCAGTCTCCAGATGGCGTGCGTAGCTCGGCTGAGACATCCTTTCTCAGCCAGGCATTTCAGACAGCTGGTCTCACGGCATTCATCCAGTCGCGGGCGACAAAAATTTTGTTCGATGAGCAACAGAGAGCGACAGGCGTGCGAGCGGATTTCATAGATTTAGAGTTTGATGTATTTGCGCGCAAAGAGGTGATCGTCGCTGCTGGTGCAGTGAGTTACGCACACGTACCCTGTCCATGGATGGTTAAGGACCTGACATCGTACCAGATTAATTCTCCTAAACTTCTCATGCTTTCTGGTATTGGGGCTTCATCTACGCTTCAGCAACACAACATCCCTGTGCGAGTCGACCTTCCCGGAGTAGGACAAAACATGTGGAATAGTGCTCAGGTCGGCGGAATCTTGCACGAAGTGCCCCTGGCAACCACAGCTCTCCTCGATAACAGCACGTTCGCGGCTGAGCAGGAATCTCTATATAACGAGGTTGGCGCAGGCATGCTCACTAATTCTGGCCCCGACTACATAGGCTGGGAAAAGGTTCCAGCCGCCCAACGAGATGCCTTGGGGTCCATTGCGCTGGGGCAGCTCTCAGCATTCGCTGACGACTGGCCTGAACTTGAGTACCTCGCGATCAACGGTGCAGCATTACCAAACGCTAAGCCGGGCCGCGCCTACGCAGGTTTTGGTGTTACTTTAGTCGCGGCACTTTCCCGCGGAAACGTGACACTCGCATCTGCAAACCCGTTTGATGACCCTATCATACATCTTAATTTCCTGCAAGAAGAGACCGATCGTCGAGTTGCGATCGCAGGATACAAACGGATGCGACAGGCTTGGGCGGCCGTACCTGAGTACGCAAAGGGAGTAGAGATGTTTCCTGGGGAGGCAGTCCAGACCGACGAGCAGCTGTGGGAGGCAATTCAGTTTGCGGCGGCACCGTCGCATCATATTTCCGCAACGTGTAATTATTGTTCTTCTGCGACTTGATCGCTAGCGACAACTGTTGCTGACGTGGTGAACAGGCAAAATGGGGATGAGAGATGATCCAATGGCAGTGGTAGACTCCCAGGGAAGGGTCTATGGCGTACGAGGCGTGCGAGTGGTGGATGCATCTGCGTGGCCGTTTGGCCCACCAGGCCATACTCAGGGATACACATGTAAGTACGCTCGCCGTGAAAGTCTGTGAGTGTGTTACTGACAGAATGTTCAAGATGCGCATGCGGAGAAATTTGCGGACGATATCAAAAATGACGTGTGAGCGATATTGAGAGCAAATCTTTGACATTCAACGTGGAGAGGTATGTTAAGGGGGATAGCCTCATCGAATCCATCTCACCTGGCAATTTTTTCCCTTCGATGTTCGCTATGCAACCATGATGCTATCTCCTAAAACATCTCGTATTCCAGTATCCCTCTCAAAGTTCGCTCTACTAATACTTTATTTTGACAAGATCAAGCAAACACAGGCATAACAGTATAGTATACAAGGGACAAAATACTATACTATAATAATATTGATAGCTTCTGTGAAGTATCTTGTAGCTTAGTAGTGGCTAAAAGGAGTCATTAATTGCCAGTTCGCAGATCTGATTGATAGGAGGTGCGGAGGTAGAGATCTCTGGTACCCTGTTCTTAGTCAAGTCGATGCTAGCTAGAGGAGCACGACTGGTAGGGCGATAAGTGTTTTGAGAACATTCGGATGTTTAGCTGTTCTTGAACCAAGATAGTTGTTCGAATAGCACACAACGTTACACTCTTCAAACGCAACTTAATCGCCGAGCTTTGGTGCTGAATCAAGCTGATAAGGCGCACATGTGAACGATATCTGAGCACCTATGTCGAGGGAAATCTTTGCTAGCTCATCGCTCTCTATACCGAAGCCTGTGTCAACTCCCAAGTCTCGCCAGCGTTGTCGGTCGATAGTAACAGCATTCACAGTAGTGGGCACCGTGAAGTTGCCACCCAACTCGCGAAGCCGTTTGCCGAAGAAGACGGATGCTGGCCCAAAGTGAGCGCCGTCTACATGTGCTTGACATACAGATACCAATGAAGGGGCCTTCATGATGGTTGCTGTTCGAATCATGACCCTCATAGCCAGCTCATGAGCCTTAGTATACCCGCTCTCTTCGTCGCAGTTACCTTTGAGCATGACTTTGTCAAGTTCCGAAAGCTCAGACGTGTGAGGTTGAACGTGTTCAGGGCTCAAGGCTTTGTAGATGTCTTCTGTGCTTGTCTTTAATTGTTGTGTCAAGATGCAGTGATCTTGGATGAAGATGTTCCTTTTGTTCCAGCCCAGTATGGTCTTGAAGTCTTCGGGATCTACAATCAGCATAGGTATTTTCCTACCGAAGACTTCTTCTGCGACAAAGACACCAACGGCAAGAATCTCATTGGCACGCTCGGAGATCAATGCACTCAGCCCGTTGCCATCCATGATCAGTTCTAGTATCGTTGCTGACCCTGAACATGATCCACGTCCATCTGGGATAGCAAGTATCTTGCCTTTCAGACATTGCCGCACTAAGGGGTGGGAACGATCAATCACCTCTCCGGTGGCATGGTCAACACCGCCCCAGAAGCTGAGTTCAAGACTTGAAGCTACTAATTCGCCTGACACGTTGCCTTCAACGTGGGGTGTACCGTCTACGACTTCCAAATGCGTATTTGACGAAGGCTCATCGTGCATGTTGACGAATAGATGATGTAAGATCTGATCATGCAGGTCTCTCGGAAGATTGTAAGACGATTGAAGCATTCATTCGCAAGCGAATTGGTCAGAGGATGGAAGCGTTGTCTGTTAACGATCAGTCTTCAAAACGTCAATGATTCGAGAAAGAGGGGCAATCATGACCTCATTCGTGCACGTTAAATCGCATCTCGACCTGGGGCGCTTGTAGGACAGTAGTTCAATGAGATGATGACAGAGGCATGTAATCAACGGCAAATATGGCTCAGTCGTTGTTGAGGTCTGAAGTTGTGCAGGCTCGAGTGTAATTGATGATCGCAAGGAAGAGTTGGCTCGGAGTTCGGACTGGTCCAATAACCGAGGACGGAGCTCAGGATCACCTAAAGCGTCCATAAGAGCAGCTTCCACCCTACAACTATCACGTTATTACTTCGTCAATTCCGCACCCTCGACAGTGCGATGAAACTGCTGCAGATCAACTTCCGAAGCATCATATAAAACGGCCAGAGCTGATATCAACAAAATGCAGGACTTCCATCACTCATTGCAAGCCAAGCTCTGGAATCTAGTTGTGGGCGCTCACAAAGCATACTAAAACCCTGCCAGTCATTCTGTCGATTATACTGCAGCTCTCTGGTAGCGTGCTTCGATATGGACTCGATCATTCACACTCCACGCCTCAAGCTCACGCTCCTCACCGCCGCACCCCGCTCTTCTCAAGAATTCGACTGGATTCATGAACTCCGAAGCGACATACAGAGTTCGTGGTGGAGGTAAATTCCCTCTCCTATCCCATAGTTCCCGACTGACAATGCATCCAAGTCTCTACGGTCCCTCAAAGACTCCCGAGGATACCGAAAAAGCATTGCAGAATATCTTGCCGGTATCGCGTCCAGAAGGCAAGGAGAAAGTGCACCGCTTCCCTTACGCTGTCCACAAGATTGCCGGAAATGATGAGAGCGACCAGGAGCAATTCATCGGCCTGATTACCCTCCGCACCCTGTCCACCTCTGAAACGAAGTTTCCTCCACGCGACAAGCACGGTTCAACTTCTACATCGCTTTCACTCGAACTGGCTTACATGTTTCTCCCGAGAGGTTGGGGGCGTGGGTATGCTACCGAATCTATCACCGCTGTCCTCCAAGAATGCGTGCGTGTACCGACAGCTCACTGGACCCCATATGAGAAAGTGGTTGTGAGAGCGATTGTGAACGATGAGAATGAGGCGAGTCAGAGAGTGATGGAGAAGTGCGGTATGGAGGAGCCTGAGGTTATAGAGTTCGACGGTGGGAGGTTCTTTATCGCGGGAAAGTGGAGGACAAGACATCGGTTGTTTGTGTATGGTAGAGAGATTGTGGTTGGATAAGGGTGAGCCTTTGCTACTAGTCCCTGCGCATGTCTTGGACTATCGTATTACAGGGTAGCTCAGATAAGATGATTTTCCTCAAATCCTACCTACACATCCTCATATCCGATCCTCTAACAGTCGTCATCAAGTGAGCGGATATCACCGTCTAGGAGGGAAGAGCCCCGTTAGATACGACATTGGATTCTACTAGGATCGGAGTAGTTCTCTCAGTAGGTAGACAGGCAAGTTTCGCTAAGTATTCGATAGCTCGCTGCTGAGCAGGCGAGCTGTAAATGATACTCGCAAGAGCAAGCAAGCTAACAGGCCTGAGATCCCCATATTTGCTGCATCCATGTCTTGACCTTAATAGGTTTGACACTGGGATATTCCTCGTTTCTCAGTCCATCGGCCTTTACGTCCATCATACCTTTGACCACCATGAGACCAAATTCAGCTGTTACCTCGCGAAGTCCCTCACCAAAATCGTAGGACCCTTCCGGCTGATCGAGTACCACAACATCCTTCTTTTCAAGGTTCACCACCGGTTCAAACGAGACTTCGAACTTCTTTCCTGAGATGGTGTGTCAGCGTAGTCAAGTACGTAGTGAACTAAAATGATTTTACCTGTGATGTTCTCCGCCATTTCTACCATGTCGTTAAATGAAAGCCTGTCACCTGCGAAAGCGCTCATTTCAGGCCATGGTCTGCCATCATCGAGTAGTTCAGCAATGTACTTGGCTATATCATGCGAATGTAACACGGTGAAAGGGTCCATTCCGTCTCCAGGTATCCTTGCTTGTCGATGCTCAAAATCAACTACCCACGTCATTGGGGGCAGATTAGTCTTAGCGCGCGAAGGGTTCCAGGTATCTAGTATCCAGCCAAATACGAAACGGGTGAATTGGAGCTGTGAGTTGCGCAACATATTGGCTGCATCAATTCGCATTTGAGCCGCGTCGTGAAAGTCGCGGAGTCCGGGACGTAGGTAGTTGAAAGCGAACTCGCTCGGAGCAAAGCGTTTGACCGACTTTGACTCTATCGCCGCTTGAATTAGTTTCAACTGAGCCTCTCCTACTTCTTCTGTGAATAGCGATAGTGTGGAGATGATCGTCTCGATTCTAAGGTCTCGAAGGGTAGCCGCGGTAGACGTAACGTCATTATAGTCGACTGCGAAGACAGGAACGGATTCCAAGCCTTTCAATGAATTGGACTTTCTTTTGTTTAGCGCGATGAAAACAATGTAATAGCGAATTTGATCTACCTTTCGACTCAAAACGACCACATCCTGTTTACCTTGTCGGACTAGCTCTTCGACTATGGTCCGACCGACACCACCGGTTCCACCCGCAATAGCGACTCTGGACATTATTGCAAAAATCCCTTTTGTATGTCTTGAATGGCTTCGAAGCGCAATGCAGACATGAAGGCTTACGATTTTATAACCTCCAGTTTGCCTGAGCCTTGAATACTCTGTCGATACACGTGGGTCCAATGACGTAGTACGTGATCGATGGAACGGAAGGATTCTCGACCGACCTTAGCAGACACGTATTGGTCTCATAGGTCGATACAGCCAGTTTGTTATGACAGTCGTTTTCCGATTCAGAACAGGGATCAACGCCAATCTTGAAGCTTGGCAAAGTCCGAAGCGCACGGCTCTACGCTTAGTGTTGCCATCTGCGGTTAGACGTACTGAATGCGCCCCAAAAAATGGCCGCCCACGACAATCGTGCTGTTAACGTCATGCCACACGTAGGAAGTCCGATGATATCTAACGTTTTCAAGCCGAGAAAGCGGGAGAAGTGATCCCTATGCAGGGCCACAGTGCACGTCTTACACACTCTTGCCGTCGAGATCGGGAGAGACTTCCAACGCATCACGTCTTGATGACGTGAGTGAGATTTGTACAAATGTGTTCTTGCGAGTATAAAACAATGCCAACAATGCTTGATGACCAGTCATATGTGAGAGCTTTGTTGGATTGTTCCACCACATTCCCCAAACGATGGCTTTTGAACAAAAATTCCGCACGGCTCCATATCGCCAGCTTTTGAGAAGCATTACGTTGAAGTCAGGGGAACAGCTTACACTAGCCTACCTTGACAGCGGAAGCCCAGATTCTGGGAACATCAAAGGAACGATTTTGTTGATACATGGTTTCCCCGAGACTTCGTATCGATTTCGAAAAGTCATCTCGCCTCTTCACGAAGCCGGATACCGAGTCATTGCGCCGGACTACCGCGGTGCAGGATCCTCATCGAGACCTCTGACGGGATACACCAAATATCAAATGGCCGAAGACCTTCACACTCTTCTCCAGGACATCGGCATCCAGGACAAAGTCAACGTTGTCGGCCACGATATTGGGGGTATGATTGCTTACGCCTATGCTTCACGATACGGCGATGATGTATCAGCTGTCATCTGGGGTGAATGCCCGCTCCCAGGTACTTCAAGCTATGAGGAGGTCAAAGGGAAGCCATTCATGTTCCACTTGTTGTTCCACCAGATCCGGGATTTACCTGAAGCGCTCATCGCAGGCAAAGAGCGGGAATACATCACCTTTTTCTACAACATGGAGATTTACAACACTGCTGGTATCACAAAGGAAGACGTCGACTTCTACACTCTTGCATTTCGACAGCCCGGAGCGATAAGAGCGGGAATCGAAGTCTATCGTTGCTTTGAGGCCGATGCTAAGGACAACAGAGGACAGCTGGCGAGTGAGAAGATTAAAGTACCATCGATGGTGATGATGGGTGCACAGAGTGAAATGGTACACCTAGCCGACCCTAGGGCAGCCGAGACGTGCGAAAGCCCCACGGTATCATTGGTGAGGGAGAGTGGGCATTGGATTGCTGAAGAAAATCCCGACGGATTTGTGGAGAGCGTCATTCGGTTCCTTGAGAGATCTTAGATGAGCTACAGGCCGGCTTGCAATGCCCTATGAAGCACTCAGTACATCCATGTTTCGAAACTATCTGCTTCGCATTTCCTATGGTTGCTGAGATCGACAAGACATTTCGAGTGGCTTGAAGGATTGAACTCTGAAGCACAACGTGATGAGAATAGTAGTGATAGCACCATGACAGTCCAATGCCTGAGTAAATCCAAAGTTTCCGTGGACAAAGAGGATATTTGTAGCTAATTTGTCATGGTTTGACTCAAATGACGATTGACTGAATATGAGACACTTCTCAGGGCTTGGGAAAGGGGATATAAATGCTTGTGATGCCTTTCGATGCGATCGAGCTCGACCAGAATCTTGTCAAGTATCTGTGCGTCTTCGATAGAACGTGGATCATCGGAAGTCGCAAGGATGCGACGAGTCAATTCGCCGATTGAGAAATAGCAGCGATATAGGCCGAAGAGTACGGAAACACTTGGCAGAATGGGAAATGCGGTGAGGAAGTCGCTAACCAGGGCTAGAAGGCGCCGTGACACGTCTACCATCAACTGCGAGCGGATTATGCTTTCCTCGGAGTGACATATCGGTTGCGGGAAATCCGATGACCAGCCTGTGGGTTGCGATGGGAAGCTGATGCTTCTCAACTTGTAAAGCATCATTATGATACTGCTGTAACCGTCAAGGCACACTTCGCACAGCCTCCACCAGGTACCTGGCTGACGAAAAGTATCATCCAACAATTGTCGCTGCAAAGTAAGGAATCAATGATTAGCTTGTCGCCTGAACCTCGCTATGCTGAAAGTTCGCTTACAATCGGCCACCCGTCATATGTCTGGAGGAGATCAAGGCAGAGTCTTTCCGTAGTGTCAATGATCATCTCAGGGTTGTCCGTCCTCATAATCTGGAAGTGCTCCATCAGTGTCAAAGTCAGTCGCGATCGGATAAGGAAGACAATGGCCAAGGGGTTCGGCACACCATGCGTGGACCCTATGGTGTTCGTATCATCAAGGCGGGGGAGATTTACGTGCCAATCAGATGGATCCCCGCCAATGCCGGGTAATTTGTTGAATAGTAGCCGGTAAACCAGGTTCTTACTAACAAGATCCCAGATATCCCTGCGCTCATTGTCTGTAACACCTGGGCGATCGCATGAGTGGTCTAAGTCTGTTGCGTGCAATTGAATCTTTTTCGCATAATTTGAGGATAGTTCAATCATCTGCCACGCCAGGGCGAAGTCGAAATGCTCGCTGGCTGTGAGAGCCTGTCAAAAGAAGGTATTTACCAGAGATTAGGCAGCTGGCCGTGGTGGTCAAACCATGTATGTTAGCACTTACCAAAAGCATCCCAGCTGCAGAGTCCGTTCTAGTGCCAGTGGCTTCACGCTGCCAGGCAGGTATTGCGCGCAATGCGCCGACATAGACAAGAGTGGGCCAGTCAAGCTCGCGACTTTCGTCTTGGAAGGCGTAGTGGTTAGGCATACAGGCTCCAAAGTGAAGGATAGAGAAGTACAGAATGTGATTGACATGTTGGATAGTGACATCTGGCATGTCAATCAAATCAGGGCAAAGCTTGATGAGATCTGTGTTTGTGAAGCCGAAAAACATATCTACTGGCCGATCCTGGAAGAAAGCTACTTGTGATCGGCATTTTATCTTGATCGCAGATGCAAGGCAGACACAGACATACTCTTCATCCACGCCTTTGTAAGGTTACGAGGCAAGCAGAGTGGTTCTTCATGTGATAGTCGCGTGATGGCCTGAATTCGAAGCGCCTGAACATGGTCTACGGCCTGTCCAAGAACTCTTGCAGCATCCGCTCGCAAGCTTGTGGACAGATTGGCATGGCATGCATGGTGCACCCCATGAATTGGCCAGTCGGAAAAGCCAGGTGAGGTATTGGGCAATCGGCGCGCTTCCTTCCGCGGTCTTGCAGGGTACACCACACCGCAATCAGTTTGTGCGAATCGTTTACCTGCAACATATTGACACTGAGTCGAACATTGATCAAATTGCGAACTGAATATTTCCATAGGTCTTCGCAAGCCATAGAAAAAGGTAGCTTGTTGTGTTTCTGTAGCATGTCCGGATCTCTGCAGAGGGCTGCTATGAGGCTGCTGCACAACCGATCGAAGCGTCGAACGCTTCGCACGTTGTGGATACAGGCATGTGATGCTGCGTTCGATGCATCTGCTGCAACAAGGTTCTTTTCGATTGCAGCGAAGCTGGACTGCTGTCAACGATGTTGCAAAGCTGGCGCGCCGTTTCATGACGCAACGCACCTTTCGCTTCCGACATTCAACGCACTGCGCAATGCACATCCATTGGTCAGCGATAGAATCGTTCTACATCGAATTTGTCCTTCTAGTCGCAGAGGGATTCATGCTTACCGACAATGGGTTCAGATCAGAGCCGTGGTTGCCGTTCATGTCCATGTCCACCGGGGGATAAGGATACCGCCGACCACCGTGCGTGACGTCCGACTGGCTCGGTACTGTTGAGACGTACAAACGACATGTAGATCTACGAGAGTAACGCCCCGGCAGTCACCTATCGCGGAGCTGAGAACCGTGGAAGCTGGATCAATGCGATCAAGAAGTAACCTTGTGTGACGATGACGACAAGGGGGACGATGAAAACTCCGCGGACTTTGCCAAGAAGCTTAGGAGATATTAGCTAGTCCCAATCAGCATTCGGTACTGCTGCTATACGATGTGTTGTATGCAGCATTCGGCCAGATACGACCAGACTTTAACCATCTGGGCTTCTGTAACCTTGTTCCATGTTTCGTTTCATTCGCTGTTCTCAGCAAACTTTTCGCATTCGACACGGTGTCCAGCATCCCATCATAGAGGCGGTATATCCCTCCTTGTAGCCGCCTGATCAAGAAACTTTTTGAACGGTTCGATGTTCAAAGGGTTCCCGGTATAGATGCTGTTGGGCGTAGGCTTGTTCTCAAGCTTCATATCATCTTCGGAGCGCATGCGAAATGCATCGATGAGTAGCCGATAGACATCTTTTTCTGGACGGTCGTGCAGATACTTGCCATGATCCAGTCGCGTGAACGGATCTGGCACGTGCTGCTCAAGGGACTTCATGCGAGGTGCTGAGTAGTTGGTGCTATGGGTTGTGTTTGGCGGGAATTCGGCGTTAGCATTGGCTTGTTGTGCGCAAATCTTCTTGTGTGTCTACCAATCGGCCTTCTGGCAATCACGGCCACAACAATCTGTTGCCTTGCATTTGGAGCATTGCTGGAGGCTTGCCAGGCCACAATCAGCGGCTATCTTCTTGCAGTTGGCACATGATATGGGCGCCATGTTGCTTATGATGATGTATCTTCCTATATCTGGAGACAAACAACATGATAAATGCGGAACAGATTTCAGGCAAAATCAGAAGTGAGCAAACCATAGAACCTACGAGCAAGCCGCGCTCTTAAGCCGTGTCGGAAAGCGAGAAATCGCGATCAGCATCTTGTATTGACCCTGGTCGCGATACACGCTAAAGAGAAGTGGGGGCGAAGGTCATCGCCGCCTCACGTCTGCGCCGCGAGTTCACGTGCCTTGCAACAGTCAACTCACCATCCGTGAGACTAGCGGTATGCATATCGAAATACCATATCCATCTTCTCCATATAAATTAGAGCAGTCGAATCACGACAAAGTGATCGCAGCTTCGAATTGAGCAACACGGCCACAACACGCGCCTTCTCAACTCTGCCTGCCAGTCCCCATCAATGATGATGATGTCATCTCACATACATTGAGCATTCCAACCAAGTATCGGAACTGCATTCTGCACCGAATGAATACCATGCATATCGCGGCATGTGTGGGGTTAGACGATAGAATCCAGGATGCGGGGAAGCTACACGCGTCTACAGCCCTTGTCCCCGCTTTGGGGCGCGGATTACGGTTGACAACGATTCTCATTGCAGGCCTAATGTTCTGACAGGGTACATATAAGAGATGCTCTACGTTTGTCCTGTTGACATACGCATACGTCTTTCTCTGCGCATGCTGAACCAGACAGTTATTTCTCAAGCTATTCACCTAACATCATCAATACTGCTAATAACGACATCATGCAAAATCCATCCGTAGTGTTGTACGGACCAAAGACCGCGAAGATTCAAGACACCGCGATACCGGAGTTGGTTGACGCTCACGATGTGATAGTCCGCATCAACTACGTTGGGGTTTGCGGAAGCGATGTAAGACTATCACCACCACTCTCATCCACGATAACACTTCCCATCATGTAGCCATCCCATTTAACTGACCAAACACTCAGGTTCACTTCTGGCACCACGGCGGCATCGGCAAAATGATCAACCCTTCTACCGGCATCGTGATGGGACACGAAGCCTCAGGCACCATTCACTCCGTCGGCTCATCCGTCAAAAGCGTCAAACCCGGTGATCGCGTAGCCATCGAACCAGGCATGCCTTGTCGCATATGCAAAGCGTGCAAATCTGGAGTCTACAACATGTGTCGCAGCATGCGCTTCGCTGCCGCACCTGGTCCGCCTGACACGCAAGGCACACTGTCCAAGTACTTTCGGAGCGCGGAGGACTTTGTGTACAAGATTCCTGATCGAATGGGTTTGGATGAAGCGGTCCTTGTCGAACCGCTCGCTGTCGCTGTGCATGCAGTCAAGCTGGCCGATGTGCGACCTGGCGAAACGGTCGTGGTGATGGGAAGTGGAACGATTGGACTGTTTTGCGCGGCGGTTGCGCGTCAATTCGGCGCGCATCGCATCATTATCGTCGATATCCTGGAGAAGAAGCTAGAGTTTGCAGCCGATTACCTCAAGTGCGAGACTTTCTGCTCATCGACCGAAGCAAGCCCAGAAGATAATGCCGAACAGCTACTTAGAACGTTCGATCTCGTGGAGTCTGGCATTGATACCACTGGCGGCCTCGTAGATACTGTTATCGAAGCCTCCGGTGCAACTTCCAGCATCGATATGGGTATAAATGTTGTGCAGCCAGGTGGCAAGTACGTTCAGACTGGTCTTGGAAAGCCGAAGATTGAATTTCCAATTGTGGCTATGAGTCAGAAGGAGCTCATGGTGAGAGGGTGCTTCCGATATGGTGCTGGAGACTACGAGCTTGCTGTGCGGTTTTTGGAGAAGGGCGTGATTGATGTAAAGCCTCTGATCAGTTCGATCACGCCATTTGAGAAGGCGACTGAGGCGTGGGAGAAGACGTCCAAGGGTGAGGGTATCAAGAATTTGATCCAAGGTGTTCAGGATTGATCGAATGCGAACATCTTTGAGTTCGATCTGCCACGTTTCTGTATGAACCATGACTCTGTTCATGTTTCTCGATCTACAACTGCTCTTTTCTCCAAACAGACTCTGCCCATGGCCGCAACGATCTCCATGCGCGGCACATGCACGGATATGAACCATGCATGACGCAGTCCAACTGGTCCTTCAAGCTATGACGAGCTTCAATGTCGTCCAAAACACTCTTGAAATGCCTTTTGCTAACTTCGGGCTCCGTGGAATATGCCTGTCTGGACCGAAATTCCATCGATGGTGAGGCCAGATCCACAAGGTTTGCATGACCGTCAATCCACACTTCTGGTAGTTCTGGGCCACTTTCTTCCCCTCGTGAATGACGATTGAGCATGCCCGTGAAAGACAGAAATATTTGCATCTTCAATTGCCCAATCGTAGTGCTATTAGTCTCATAGGACAGCTCCCGTCCGTTGGTGTATTCGAGCTGAATCACGAGGGGAACCTCATCTCTGCAGTTCTTGTGTCCAACCCCCTCGAGCCAACTGAGCAGAACACTTATATTGATACAGATGTCTGTTGGTTTGGTAGGGCGGACGAGTGGGACACGAATTAGGAGTGAAGTCCTGCCATTGTTCTGCTCTTTGCAATAGCGGTCGCTGACGCATTGGTGAATAATTTGGCTGATGAGGCATTCCTGAGGGCGTAAAAGATCTGGTAGGTGTGTCACTCTTTTATGATACAGATCCCGTGTCAATGGACCTCTTGCAATGAGTGAAAATCTCCTGAAAGGATCTGGATCGTTGTAGTCCATATCTGCCGATGCTGCCTCAAACTCAACAGTGACTGGTATGCATGCGGCAACTGCTTTCACAAAATCCTTCCGAAATCTGTTGGAAACATTGAAAACGGCTCGGTGACGACCTAGAGGATTCAAGCTATTCATGACAATTCGAAGCCTTGGTTCATTCGCGAACACATAGCGACAAATAATCTCCTTCGCTCGTATCGGAAGTTCCATGAACGACTTGGTCGTCTCGAGGGTATTCCAGACTATATTTCCGGATGCTTCGTCGATCCAGAAGCCGCGTGATATGGTCCGCGATCCTGTGTAAAACCATACGCAGCCAGAATTGCCGCCTTGAGATATCGTAAGGGATGATATGATTGACCTTGAGATTGGATAACATCGAAGATGCAATGTGTTGTCCTGGAGCAGAGCTTCAAGTGCTCTGTTCAACCGGGTTATGTATTTCGTGAGACCATGAGAATCGCGTACTGGATCGAATTCCGTTCTCCTACCAGTGTGAGCGAAACTGATGACGCATCGCATCGGAAGCACGTCCCAGATAACTCTTAGTAGCGGTAACCAATCTGGCATTGCTTCCGAGTCAGCATACGGGTATTCTGACATGTCTATGACTACCTTCTTCAATCGCCTGACTTGGGAGCCAAGTGACGCAAGCCATTTTGGAGTGTAAGATAATTGGTGGTAGTCGCGACGATTTCCGCTTTCACACGTCTTCCTTCCCCCCCCGGGGGCACGATCGCGCACCCGTGAGACGATGAATGTATTCTTAGAGTAGAAGACACTAGACGTCTCGTGGTACATCTGGCGACATGATTTCAATAGGCCAATCCCAAGCGATGCCTCATGTTGAAAGAGAAGTATATCCTCCTTTTCGGCATCTGATCTTGTCTCCCAACCCTTCAAGCTTTTGCTACAGGGCTTCTTCTTAGACTGGTGCATTTGCTCTTCCTCGTCGCTGTCGAATGCCTGCTCGGGAAATAAAAGATGGCCATCATTGTCGCACCCATACCGCCCTCGGTTGTAATAGAAGTCGGTATCGTGTATCAGAATTGGTTCAGGTCGAATGAAAATGTACTCGTTGATGCTGTTGCGAATGTCCGCTGGCAATGTCAGGAGCGAAGGCGCTGTCGGATCCAGCGGGGCCGAACAGACTTTCGGTATATCCATGGCGATGCAAGGATATACGTGATGTCAATGGAAGAGACAGGTGAATCATGAAGGAGTTGACTGTTGCCTAGAGTGGGGCACTGCAATCAAAAAATGCTGCTAATGATTGCGTCTGTGCGCGCTACACGAGCTATGTAGGCCTAACCGCTGTCTAGGTCGCTCCGACATTAAACCAACGCAATGAGTACGACAGAAACATATCGTATCCGAGCTTACTTGAGTATCCCATTCTAAATCGGAAATCTAGTGATAATGTACAAAGGCTGTAACGAAGCAGAAAACTTTGGGCTGTAAGTCTAGTACAACTTCCAAATTTGGCCCAGTTTGTGGGCCTGTAGCTGGACTAGAACAACAGTGGAGAGGAGTGTGAGTGCACCATAGGTCAGAATTGGAAACATTCTCTTTGGTGATACAGATGTCGTGGGCTTTTCGTCATCATACAATTCAGTATGTGGTCGATCTGGGACATTGACCATCTCAAGCCGCGCGGCCGGTCGAGCGGTCATACTGAACATGTCCAAAACCGACTCCGGGCTGGAACGAGGTATGACGAATTTAGCGAGTATCCTAGTGAAGAAGCTGTCTAATGATTGCAAGGTCTGCAGATCATGCGATGTTTTTAACAGAGAGGCGACTCGATTGTAACGGAGGGAAAATGTATGTTCGAGGGCTTCGCTGATATCGTGATCACTCCAAGGTCGGTCTTCTCCATCAGTTGGAGCTAGCTTGGAGAGCTGATTTGTTAGTACTGCAGCGTCTTCGATTGCGCTGTTTCCACCTTGGCCTCCAATAGGATTGAACTGTGATTTCGTTAGCAATCAACCAGTAACATGTAGATGCTGTTTGACATGCCTTGTGTGCAGCATCTCCGATCGTTATGATGCGACCGTAATGCCACTTGGAGAAAACGACTTCCGGTAGAGCCTGAAGTGTTGCCGTTGTCCGATTCGCATAGAGCTCACCGAATCGTAAGTCTTCGTTCAACATATCATTTGCATGTTCTGCGGCTAATGCATCCCTCTCGGCCTCTGTATAGCGCGGAATCTTGTCGATGCCGTATAACGCGCCCGGTAGTTTCTTGAAAAGAAACCAATAGATGCGATGATTTGGTCCGCTGGCAATGAGGTATGAGTAACCACGACCCATCACATTACATGAAGAGAATTTGGGAACCTTGCTGTTAGCTCTCGAGATACCGAATATGCAACAGTATTCGGTCGCTGTGTTCGTTCGATCAGACAGAGGGAAGTGATCTGGACGGGCTTGATCCGCCTCCCTCCACATCTCCTTTCTGACGGTGCTGTGGATGCCATCGGCGCCGACTAGGAGTTCACCGGTAAAGACGCTTCCATCTGTCGTTCGTACTCGAATGCCACCAGGAAATTGTTCGACATGTTGAACGCCCTGTCCGGTACGGACTGGTGATTTATCCTTGAGGTTGTCGTATAAGATCTGGATGAGCATCTGCCGATCGATAAAGACGGGCGCGTAAGCTATGCTATCCAAAGTCAGTATCTAAGGCGCTGCTGGCTTGCAATGTTTTATCGCACGACATCCGCCTTACCGATGCTGAATTTTCTGCGATGCTTTCTCGAGGCGTTGTATCGTTTTGCCAAGTTCATTCCTCATCTCCAACAACTCAAACCCATCCGCCCCTTCTACCAATTTACTAATCGCGTCAAAGCATCCCAGTTGGTCCAGGATGCGAAAACCATTTGGGAAGATACCGATGCTGGCTCCTAAATTAGGAGCAATATTGTTGTACTTCTCGAGAACCAGGTATTCGACACCAATCTTCTCAAGCATGTTTGCCAGGGCTAAGCCTGCAACGCTCCCACCTGCAATAAGAACTTTCGCGTGTTTTCCTGGCGATGACATGGTGAGGAAAGAATCGACAGTTATGGGTCAAATTATGGATAGTAGGATAGGAGAGCGGGTAACACAATGTAAGGACCATGAGCAGCGCAGCAAAGATCGAGCCTCTGTTATATACGCCGCAAAATACCACAGAACATATGCTTGAAGCTCGTCCGCGTACATAATGTTGTCGGGTTGGCGGCATCATCACGTATCTCAATTCTGCCAAGAAAAGAATGTCGTACAACAACATTCGCTGTGAACCCGGGTCTCCAACAACTACAAGCATAGCCCGTATTGACACGCGGCACGCGTTAAGGGGCGCAGGTGTAATCGGAGGCTCAAAACGCAGGGTAAGTCGCTTCGGTATGTCGGGGCACATCAGGTGCCGACCTGCCAAGCCAAAATGGCAAATGTCGTACGAATACAACCAAGGGGCTGATATGCTATTTTGTCGGACGAAATACCCTTACCATAACTACTTGAATGTTGTACGACGTGAAGTACGGACGTTTCAGTTGATGTCGTACAAGGAACATGCCAGCAATGGCCCTCGAAGGAGATCTTCACGCGGGGTCCGCGGAGCGCGGCCACAGCATTTGCAGACGAGCGACCAACAGGCGGAAAGGACAGCGCGGCAACCAGGACAACGCTGGCAACATACCAAAGCTCAGTAACAATCTCGTTTGCTTGGATAATTCATGTCGGCCGTGATAATTCCGACTTGTTGCAAGGAGACTAACGTTGTACATTCAGCGATCGATGTGACCTGAATCCTATCGGTCCCTCAGATGCATTGAGAAAGCATCAGGAGAAGCCTTGCAACTGGCTATCTACATGGGTGTTGCGCAGGAAGCAAGAAGCCACAGCAACTATTGCAACCATTGCAGAGCACTATGCAATGCGTTTCATAAACAAAACCGTACCTTACCAGCACACAACAGACAACTTGGTTGTTCAGACACATGAGAAACATACTGATCAGTCAACAGGACTCCACGGTCTCCATCTTCTGCTAACATTTAGCTCGAAGATTAGAGTTTTGTACGAACTCCTGGGCATTTGTGCATCTGCCCAAAGTGTTGAGAACTCGTCGTATACAGGAGCATTCGCGTCACACTTGCCAGCAATGAAGCCTATCAGCGGCTTGATTGGCTAACATGCGACGAGTAGGGACTTGCGCGCTTCCATGAAGCGCGTAATCTCACCGGTGCGCTCAAGTAGGCATCAAGTCAGCCGATCAGCTCAATCGTTAGCAAGACCAATGAGCATATCCTCTCATAAGATATAATGCCTCACAGGGAAAAGAACCCATACCTGCATCACTGCTGCACGAGCATTTGTTCTGAAACTTCAAGATGTCTATGACTACGAAACCCACTCTATCGAGAATCCTCATTTTCGGTGCTAGCGGCCACATTGGCAAACCACTCGCGACCTTCCTTACCCAGAGAGACCCGAATGTGAAGCTCCGACTCGTAACAAGCGCTCTCGAGAAGGTACAAGGCCTGCAAAAAGACTTCCCTCTCGCCGAGGTAGCCGTAGCCAACTTCTTCGATCTCCCCTCTCTGGAGCGCGCGACCTCCGACGTACAAGGAGTCTTTCTCATCACTCCCTCCGCAACGGACGAACAGCTTGCCATGGCCAACATCGTCACCGCCTTCAAGAAGTCCAACTCTGTGATCCACATCATCCGCCTCCTTGGCATGTTCCCCGAATTCAACAGGCATCGCATCCCAACCGCTCTTCAGGGCGGAAGGAGCCTACCAGTCCAACATCCTATCGCCAAAGCAATCCTGGACGAGAGTGGCCTACCGGTGACATATATCAACAGCGGTGCTTCCTTCATGGATAACTTTTTCCTGCAGATCAAGTCAGTACAGGCTGAGGGAAAGCTCATCTGGCCTGAGCATCGCGTTCCGTTCATTGATCCGAGGGATATCGCAGAGGTGGCAGGACAGTTATTGCTTTCGCATGATGCGAAGCATATTGGGCAATTTCATACCATGAATAATGGAGCGGACTGGTTGGAATTTCAGGAGATTGCTGTTATTCTCGGTGACGTATTGGGTGGCCATATTCCTTATGATGATAGTGAGGAGTCGTTTGTGCGCTTCTATGAGCCAATCTTAGGCCCGTTTGCTGTGAAGAGCATGTGGCATTTTTTTAAGTTCGAGCAAGCGAACGAAGTATGTTGGGCGCTTAACAACTTTGTTGAGAGGACGATTGGGAGGAAACCGAAGACTGTGAGGGAGTGGCTTGTTGAGCATCGCGAGGCTTTATCTGAAGGTCTGCGACTAGGACATGCTACTGCGTAGGAATCGGGTAAGGGTGGGAGGCGTTTCCCCCAACATATGGAAACCAATTCACACACAGACATCTATAACTTGAGGCCTGAAGGTTAAATTAGACTAGGTATGGTTGCTTGGGCAAACGTCGAACAATCGCTCGCTGGAAGCTATATATCCACTATTGATACGACCATAAATATCTGTATTACATCAAAGGCTTCAATAATCGTTAGATTCAAACTACAGGCATCCAACACATTGATTGAAGAAGCCCCTATCATGATCATTGACCACACTACTCCTCAGGCGGATACACAACAATGCGATCAATGTCTGCCCCCTTGACATCCTTTCCATTGTCCAAACCCCCAATAGTAATGGTATTGTGGCTTCCTTCCTCCAAGTTCAACATTAGCGGTGTGCTCAAAATGATCCCCTTGTGTGTATCCCTCTGGTACAGCGACTCAACCTCCTCCGTTTTGTTGTTAACGATAACGCTCGAGATGCGGCGAAGCTGCCAAGTTCCGTTGATACGATCAGGCGTGCCACCGGGCTGGTCGCCAAAGCCCATATCGTCAGTGTTCTGGTAGTAGAAAGAGACCCACTGGGGTTTGCCTGCGCCTGCGATGTTAGAGAAGGTGACCTTGCTGTCGTTGCCGTAGATGCCGGTTACAATGACGCCGTCGCTGCCGAAATTGGCTTCTTGGTGGTACGCGTCACCGGTGGTGGTGGCGTTTTTACCATAGTAGGTGGTGCCGTTGATAGCGGTGACTTCTCCGGTCTCGACATCGAGATCCCAAACGTCGTACCACTTGAGTTCGACGGACTTTTTCTCTTCGTCGATCTCAAGTGGCAGCCAGATGTATCTGCTTTCCCAAAGACTGTTTGAATCCCATTGGTCACCCATGTAGATGTAAGTCGTCTTCTTGGTACCGTTGATCCGGAGGTTCAGGCCCGATTGCGAATTGAAGGTGCGGGTATTCAATGGTGCGATGATGAAGGGTTGAGACCAGGGGCCCGCAAGAGAGTCGGCACGGAAGGCAACGACGTCTGAGATCAGTTAGCATGTATTATAGCCATGTTTGCAGCATATATACGTACTGTTTGGGCGATAACCCGTCTTGTGCGACATCAGCGCAAAATAGCTCTTGTCAGTTTGCACGATTGTGGGTGCTTCCAAATCGTATTTGTCAAAGCGATGGACGACTTCATCAAGAGCCGTGATGTTCCCATTGAAAGAAGTTAGGTATACGTCACGTCCTTCTCTGCGGTCGCCATTAGAGTACAGCGAGTATGCTCGACCATCTTTCTGGTCTACAAAGAGACCAAAGTCTTGCGACCAGTTGCCGAGTGGTGCTGTGGCGTCGACGAACTCGTATGGGCCGGTGATGTTGTCTGAGACAGCGAGACCTTGGAGAAGCTCTCCGTAGGTGGAATTATCAGCGTGCCACCACATCTGCTCATGTTTAGCAAAATGAGTGCAACCGATCGCAGAAGTTTCTCACATGGTACTGGCCAGTGCCTTCGCTGTACACAACCTTTGGCCTTTGGATAATGTCCTCTGTGGAGATGTAGGGGTGGCCCTCAATGGGCTCCAAGGCCAACCCGTGAGGCTCCCATGTCGCAAGATCATCGGAGCTGTACACGCTGACACCACCACCCTCTTCCTGCCCCTCAATCTTGTACTCGCCGAACCAGAAGAACTTGCCCGTCTCTTGATCAACAGTAATGCCGCCAGCGTGCGCATTCACAAGAGTGCCGTCTGTAGCTCTCCAACGCGCTCCTGGTACAATCCATTTGGCAGAAGCTGTTGCCGCAGCTAGCAAAAGCTGGCACGAAAGCGTATTGAAACCCATTGCGACGTGATGCGAAGGCGGACTGGGGTGACAAACTTTTTTTCTGGTCGATCCCTACAGACCTCATATAGCCGGTTGCAGAAGCATGGATGTTTACAAGCCAAGCAGCTCCGGGAGTATTTCGCCCGAACTCCCAGGAACCTAAGCCCTGGATATCATCTTGCGGGGCTCCGCACCTTCTCGCTTCCGCGATCGTCGCATTTCTCCAGGTTTTGGGATAACGCCGCTACCGCATTTTGGTTTGGTCGACTCGGTTGTCGGAAAAACCAAGACTTTGAGCTGTCTGCCAATAGTGAGGGGATGCCGCAGCAGGCCTACTCACGGTAACGCTACTGGATTGAGCATTCAATCCGACTGTAGATAGGTTGTCGTGTCTTCGGAGACATGGGCCAAGAGCTGGTGTTGAGGTTCCCAGACGGTGAGCAGAGGAGCCTCGGGGTAGCTTGAGGATAGAGCTCGCTTGCGGAAGCTATTGACGTCAGCCCCGAAGCTTTGCTACCGTGCCGCATCCAAGTCAATATCTCACCAATGGAAGGACCTATTTTCAATCAAGATATAGGAGCTTCGAAAAAGCCTGAATCGAATCTCCTCGTTCTTTAATATCTCATCTGCACTAGTCCACAGGTACCGGAGTAGTTTGGAGATATTCTGCGGAGCCTGACCCTAGTCTGCCCCAAAATCATGACAATTATTAAGCCCACCACCGTACAAGTTGGATAAGAGGCATGAAAAAGATCGAGGCAGTAGTCAGAACTTCATGTGTTTACGCATCTTTGTTGTCACCTTTAGTTCATGCCTGACTCAGGAGACTAAGAAGGATACGTAACGACTCCATTTTAGAGAAAGCGTAACATATCTATCCAAACAAGAGTCCACTTTCTCGGGAATTGCACCCAGATTGCAACGGCTTTAGATAGTTGTCTGACAACAGGAAATCTCTCTGCCTCGGTTCCGGCACCCGCAGCACCGTAACGACGTCAGATTGTGTTGCGCCTGCCTCATCATCGATATTCTTTGCGAGCAGACGATATATACGCGACACGACGAAAAACGATGCAACCACTCTTCATTTCAACATCAAGGCACTTCAAAGACACCAATAGCATTGATCACAGACCGACAGCCTGGTACAGTATGGAAAAGATATATACATAAAAACAAAGATAAAATAATATCCACAGAAGAAGAATCATCCAGTCGCAGACCCAACCATGTTTTCACGCGTTTTTTTTTACCACGCCGAAACCAATAGAAGCATATGCGCATGTTGGATACACACTGCATCTACTGGCACTGCGAGTACCACTCGTTGCTCTTGACACACTTGCCGGAGGCACAAGTAGTGGGGCCAGAGTATCCCTGTCCACCACATTGTCCGTACAGCTGAACGCTACCGCTGCTGCTACCTTCGTCGGTTTCGACATCTCTAGAAAAAAAGGACCAGATTAATCGTTTGCGGCTTCGTGGGGGGGACGTAGCGGGAGTCCGAGAGCCGGTTCTGGGGATAGGGGAGGGTTCAGGATGAATGAGCTTACTTGGTCGCAGTGGCCTTCGCAGAGGAAGTCTTGGTCTTGGTAACAAGAGTCGAAGTAACCTTCTTGGTAGAGGTAGGCTTAGCAGTGGTAGTGGGGGCACCAGAGTCAACGGCCGCACCGCAGGTGGGCAGCTTCTCGAGCTTGCCCTGCGCACCCATGCAGCTAGCGTTGGTATCGAGCTTCTGGCTGCTACCGTTGCCCTTGTCAACGCCCTTGTACTCGCGGCAGACGGCCTTTGTGGTTCCACAGGAGCCGGAGATGGTGGCTGTGTCGCCAAAGTTTGAGTTGATGCCGATGAGGTCCGAGGTTAGGCCAAAGGCGCGGACGTTCTCGACGATGACTTTGCGGGGCGACTTCTTGGAGTTGTCGGTGCAGTCGCCGCAGGATCGGTAGAGCTTGCCTGCGTTGACAATGGTGTAGTCTTTGATAGTGACGGTACCCCGGCCGCTAGGTACAAGTCAGACGGGATTATCTGTAGAGTTGGCTGATACTTACTTGTGCTGGATGACCTTGTCTTTGGCTTCTTGAGCACCACCTCCAACAATCAAGGCATCACCAGTACCAAGGACGGAGACGGCGTCCTCGCAAACGTCACGGAACCAGACGTTGGTCAGGGTGCAAGAACCCAGGCAGTGAACACCCTCGAGCGAATCGGCACCGATGATGACGTTGGAGATGGACGCGCCGTCCTCGAGGATAAAGACAGCGTTGCTGCTGCCAGTGTCCTCGTCAGAGTCACATGGCTGGCCACGGTCAAACTCCTTGTTCGCAAAGTCGACCTTGCCAGTGATGGTACTGGGCTCGGGGAGCGACACAATGTTACCGGAGCGGGTGGGGATGTTCAGGGTCTGCGCAGCTGCCATGCTGGCGACGAGAGAGAGGAGTGCAACTTGAGAAATCATGGTGAAGGCTGAAAAGTGAATAACTCAGCAAGGATGGGTGTGGATGAATTGAAAGAGTTGATAGATCTCCTGGATCTTTGTAGTGTCGAAGGAAGGAATGAGTGAGCTGGTTGTCCTGTAACACTTGGGACACTCCATTGCCTTTATACAAATGTTCCATACCCCCCTATCGAAAATGGCTGCATCGCGAACGGGACTTGGATACGAAGGTAGCCCTCCGAGGATGCAATGGAAATTGCTACAGGATGGAAGAAACCCCTGGTGTGTGGACTCTAGTCTGACAGGCCAAGGCGCCGTGTGGTAATTGTGGAGAATTGTTTTCCGCCCGCTGTATGCTGTGCTGGGCGATAAACTGTGGCTGTTGTAGACTTAGTGGTGGCTAGAATGGTCATGCTCACCACAACCTCCTCTTCGATTCGATCTGCGCTGCATGACGGCACATAGTCCGGATATTATCATGATTCGCGGGATTTATATGAAGACGTTCCTCCGCACGCCATGTAGCGGGAAAAGTAGTGTTTGGGAGCGCTGTACAGTTTCTGCTAGACAGATGATGAGGTTTTGGCGTTGCTGCATATTGGGGCAGACCTGGGGTACATTAGTACACAGCCACATTTCGGTACTCAATTCTCCGCGGTGTTTGGAAGGATTCCTGGGCATCGTTTTGTAGATAGCTTGGCGTTTCAGTCAAGATATGGGGGATAGTTCTCGTAATGCAGCGCGTGCCAGGCACGATTTGGCTCCCGTTTTGGAAGGGTTGTCGCCATATTAGGTTTGGACAGCTCTGACAGAAGTTTACCTATCCGAAGACCCGCTATTACCTTGAATATGCTTTTGCCTCGAGAACGCTGGAATGTTGCTCTTCCATCACGGTCGTGTATCCTGGTGCGGCACGACTCAGGGTGCTGTCGAGAACTTCTTGGCTGAGTCCAACATATGGATGTACCTGGTTCACTTGTTGACGTTGGAGCGACTTGTGTCTCTGCATCTCATTTCCGCGCCTCCCGTATAGTACCATGACCGCACAGGTCGCTGACGATTGGCTTTTTCGATCGGGGAACGATGCATGTCAGCGGAAACACCCTTCCAAGAGGCTAGAGCACTTCAGAAATGGCGGCTAGAAGCTTGTACCCGATCCGACGGCCTTTGAAGATGTGTAGTGCGACTTGAGCGACGCGCCAACGATATGCAAAGCATGGCAACAAGTTTATTGCAGCAGGGCGAATGCGCTGGTACTTCCACCAACCGGCTTCGTATTAGATGTACAGCTAAAGCCGCTCGAGACCTAAACAGGCAATGTAGATGCGGTACAATGCTTGTGACCTCTTTCATAAACAAAAGCGGCAACTGCTTGGATATCACAGCGCCAGATGCAAAGCTAGCGGCGCAGTGGTCCCGCTGCTCGGGAATGGCATTCGAAACAGACACGATGAATAATCATAGATAGCGACATGGACAGGGTGAAACAGAAAGTGTTTGCCAAGACAAACAGCTCGAGTTAGCGGGAAAGTGGGTCGGAATCTTGGCAATAGCGGCCCACCGAAAAGTTTCCAGGAACACTACGCATCTACACAGCAAACTCCAAACACGCCAAACCGCCCAACATGTCGTCGATGCGGAATGCCGTCCAACGGCGCAACCACAAAGAGCGCGCGCAGCCCGTCGAACGCGAAAAATGGGGTCTCCTCGAGAAACGCAAAGACTACAAGCTGCGGGCTGCGGACCACAAGCAGAAGAAGGCCAAGCTCAAGATCCTGAGCGAAAAGGCTCGAGACCGGAATCCGGATGAGTTTTCCTTCAAGATGATGTCGTCGCAGGTGGATAAGTCGGGGAAACGGGTGGCGGATCGGGGCAACAAGGCGCTGAGCATGGAGGTGGTGAAGCTGCTGAAGACGCAGGATGCGGGATATATTCGCACCATGCTGCAGCAGACGCGCAAAGAGAGGAAGGAGGTGGAACAGAGGCTGATTATGGAGGAACAGGGCGAGGTGCGCGCTGTGAGGGACGGAGAGAGGGCAAGGCATGGCAAGCACAGGGTGTTTGTGGAGAATGAGGAAGAACAAGACGAGTTTGAACCAGACACTTGGTTTGGACGCGGCGAGGAGATTCCCACTCGCAATGAGTCGCCTACTTTCGGAGACCTTCAAGACGAGCTATCGGACGACGACAACGACGACGAGCAGCCCATCCAACGGCCGAACACGTTATCAAAGAAGCAGATGGAAGCGCAAGAACAGGCACGGAGAGAAGCGAGGAAGTTTAGGAAGGACAGGGAGCGGGCACAAGAGCGGCACATGTCAAGGCTGCGAGCACTCAAGAAGCGTGAGAGCGAACTCGTAGCCGCCGAAGAAGAGCTAGAGCTCCAGCGCGCAAAGATGAACAACACAGTCGGCGGCGTCAACAAAAATGGCGTCAAATTTAAGGTCCGGGAGCGCAAGCGCTGAGATATCCTTTACCTCCTATATACCCTCGTGCCCGCGTAGAATACGAATACAAACTACAGCCTCGCCGGCATCCTCATCGCGCCATCCAACCTCAAAACCGTCCCGTTCAACATCTCGTTCCCCACACACTCCACCACCAACCTCGCAAACTCCTCGGGCTGTCCCGCCCTCTTTGGAAACTCCATGCTTTTCTCCAGACTCGCCTTCACCTTGTCGCTCATCATCTTCGTCATGGCGCTATCGAACATACTAGGCGCAATTGTCACAGCGCGGATACCATATTTCGACAGATCGCGCGCGAGTGGTAGGGTGAGACTGGCTACCGCGCCTTTACTCGCTGCATAAGCTACCTGGCCCATCTGTCCGTCGAAAGCAGCGGAGGAGGCGATCATGATGATGACGCCACGGGAGCCATCGGGACTGCAAGGCGTCGTAGTCGTCATGTGCGGTAACGTTTGACGTATCAAATCCAAGGTTCCCCTCAAATTGATGTTGAGCACGAAATCAATACTTTCGATACTGAGCGGCTCGTTCTTCTTGTCGATGATCAAACCGGGCATTCCCACTCCTGCTCCTGCTACCACGCCTCCGATGTGCTTTCCTGTTTCTGCGACCCAGGCTACTGTGCCTGAGATTGCTGCTGCGATGGCGGATGTGTCTGTGACGTCGGTTTCGAAGAATCGCGCGCGTGAGCCCAGCTCGGAAGCGATCTTGGCACCGTTTTTGCTGTTGAGATCGAGGAGCGAGACATATGCGCCTTGGGCATGCAGGGCGCGTGCTGTTGCGAGACCGAGGCCTGAGACGCCGCCGCTTATGAGGAAGGTGCGGTCTGCGATCTTCATCGTGAGTATTGTATGGAGATGTGTATGAGGTCAGAAATGAAGGAGTGGCTAGACAATACAAACGTCGTTACTCTGTGTGTACGTGGTGTTTAGTAGAAGCTGAATCAATGTGCACCTATGCATGTGAAGTTCATTCCGCTAAAGCTACTCATGGATCTCGTGCCTCGGCCCATGAACGTCGGTGATTCATGACCAAAAGCCCCGATGTGCCTGCTCCGTATCCCACCTACACCAGCAGTGACAATGAGCAAGTATACCTGCTCCCGATAATCTCAATCTTGCGCATCTCGAATCTCGAACCATCACCGCCGGGAGTCCGCATCCCAACGCACCACGCCCATTGTACGCCGCCACTCGCTACCCAGATACCCGGAAGCCTTCGCACACGCACCGTCGCATACACCCACGCTACCTCGAGAAAACAGCAATTCTCCTGAAAAAAAAAACCCCCCCGTGCTGCTTGCTTGCGGCCAGCAATCTAGCCAAAAGATGACAGACCGCATGATAATCGGGACCAACAGGTCCCCAACGAATCCCACACCACTGTCCGCGCCACAGGAACAACAAGTAAAAGACCTATACTACAAGAACGTACGAGCAAAATGCGCAAAGGAGATTGAAACCTTTGCACAATGCGCATTGGGCCGGACGTTTACCATGATCTACGCGTGCCGACAACCCCGTCTCGCAATGAACTCGTGTATGTTGCAATACCAGAATCAAGATGAACTGGACAAGGCGAGGCTAGAGTGGTTTGCCCTGGCTGAGGAGAGGAAACAGGTATGTATTACGAGGACAACATGTTGGGAAAGTTGGAAGATGGGGGAAATAGCTAACGTTCATGTGTGACACAGGCGAGGATAGAGCACCAGAGGAAATTAGAAGATGCGAGGGAGAAACACAAAGAGTGGTGGAATCTGGATGAGTCGGGGCGTACCGTGGGAAAGGCGGCCGAGACGGTTAATGAAGCGGGGTTACGGCGACGCGAGGAGAATAGGGTTGATGCTAGTGGGGTTACAAGAGGAGGTGTTTATGGATCGAGATGACCGGTCGGTGGTGCCAGTCATGGGAGAAAAGAAAGAAAAAAAAAGTACGTGAGACGAATGGATCATTTGGCATGGTGAAATGCATATTGGTATGGGTTTCAACGCAGCCTGAGGTCATCCGACCCTCAAATTGCTTGCAAAACGTTCATCATGAGCGGAAAGCATATTTGTATTATAAACTGTAAATACTCGCTCCCAATTTTTCAAGCAAGAACAGAAAGCTTTGCCAGCTTTGGTATAACCCTTTTTGAAGCTCCGACTCCCACCCCCCAAAACGCCTTTACAAATGCTCTAGGCTTAAGGAAGCCCCTCTCCGACCACTGAACCAACTAAGCCCAAACGCCTTTTCTCCATCATCTTAGCTGGCTGCTGCCTCGTGCAGTACGCCACTCCTCACTACTACCCTGAGAACCCCCCATGCTACGGATTATTCTCCCGATTAATCCCCATAGCCTCTTCAAACTCTTCATCATCGGCTTCTTCCTCTTCCTCCATACCCCCCATATCAGTATCCTTAGCCTCGCCCTCCTCCTTTCTCCCTCCATTCGTAATAGCACCAACAGGCCCTCCACCAAACCCTCCTCCTCCATTCCCAGCACCACCACCACCATCCAAATCCATCTCATCCTCATCGCCAACACCCTCATCCACCACCTCATCGTCCTCCCACGCGCCTTTAACTCCCCACCCCACACCCGTAAAACAATACCTCTCAGGCGGCAACCTAATCCCAAACTCCCTTTCCACTCTGGGCAACGCAATACGATTCCGCTCCTGCGCCACCTCGCTCATAAACTCTTTACCCAGCGTCGCTTGAAACGTACCCGCCGCTCGCGCCCCCACGGCCGTCCTGAGCGCCGCTAGACTAACGCCCTCGCCCGAGTCTCCTTCACCTGCTGCTGCACCGCCGCCAGCGGCGCGCTTCTTGGACCCAGATGTCGTGGGAAGTGGGGGCTCGTAGCTGATGGCGTCGGAGAGGATGGAAGACGTGTACCGGTAGGCGAAATCGAGGAGCTGGAGGGGCACGCGCTCCGTGTAGGCGTGCACGCCCATGTTGGCGAGAATGAGGTGGATGAGCCGGGCGTCGCGCGGGCGCTTCGAGGTCCCGGGGTCGGAGAGAGATGTACCTGGGAAAGCGGGATTCATGGCTGCTGCGGTAGTAGCCGTGGTATTAGGGTTTGTACCACCGTTTGTTTGAGATTGTTGTTGCGATGGTTGTTGTTGTTGTTGTTGGGCCTGCGTGGGTGGAGGTTGTTGGGTCGGTGGACTGAGTGTAGGCGCATTTGCTGTTGCGGGCGGCGTTGAGATGCCATTTTGCATGTTTTCGGCGGCGGGTGACGCCATGGTGAAGGGTGGGTGGGTGGGTGGAGGGGGGTTGCGATGTGGATGTAGTTGGGCGGTTTGAGGTCGCGCGTCGGTGAAGTTGCGACGGACGCGAAGGCTTGGCGTGCGCATGCGGCTCAAGTTAGCTGAAATCTGGGGAGAGCTAAATGTTACGACTAGCGCATTCACGCATCGAGGTCGTCAAGATGAGGGAAACATACTGCACAGTACTTGCACGTCGCTGAAGAACAAAGCAAGCAAGATATCTCGAGATACTTTTGGAAAAAATCAGTCTTGATATTTGGCTGCAGACCCGAGACTTTATATGTGAAGTGTAAAGACAGGAGAAGATCTCCTCCACTTCGACCATCCCCCACGTCCCCTCCCCTTCGTCTCCTCCACCCACTCATCACATTAGTGCTTCTTTCGTGTAAACATCAAGTCTAAACAGACTCACGTGAGCAAGATGAGAATGAAACATAGTGGAATGGATAAGATTAAATTCGTGACCCTCAAAAATTCTTCACACATCCCATCATCACCCAACGCCGACCCATGCCATGCTATGCAATCAACACACACAAAAAAAAACGTAAACCCACCCTTGTTTCCCCCCATCTATCACGTCAACTACCTAGCCCGTGGAGTAGGTGATCTTTCTTTGACTTTCAACTCCCTCATGCGTTCCACCGTCGTATCCAAGCCCATCTCAATCGATGGCGTAATACCCTCAATCTGCGTCCTCTCATCCTCATCCTCATCGTACTCATCTTCCACCTCCTCATCTTCATACTGCCTATCAACGTAGTCGCCGCCTTCAATACTTTCAACAATCGAGTCTTCCATTCCGCCATAATCATCCCCTTCCCCCATTTCGTCAAGCGACTCCCTACTCATATAACTCGCCTCGAGATCCTCTCCGATTTCCGAGCCCATTTCGTCCTCGCTGCGTATACTAGCCGCCTCCGTCTCGTCATCGTCCTCTCCGCCTTCACTTTCGCTATCGGTAAAGTCGGCGATATCCAAAGGTTTCTCGCGCCAGTAGTTGAAATCCGTATACGCCTCGCCGCCCGCGGGCACCAAGAGCCCGACGGGCGGGAAAAAGTGGTCTACAATCTCGCGCATACTGGCGTACCCCGTCTTGTAGCTGTTGAGCGAGAGCACGTCGAGACTGACTTCTGCATTCGAATTAATGGTAAAGATGCGCGTAGAAGGGATGTTGACGGATCGATAGCTCAACGCATCCGTAAAGCGATTTCCAAAGCCCGCGTAAAAAGGCGTTTGGTGCGCAGGCTTGTCAAACAATTGCATAATGTCTCGGAGACAAGCCATTTTGAAAACTTCGGGCTTGCGCAGATAGATCTCGCGTCGTAGAGCTGCGATGGTGCGATCGGGACTCATAATGACGGGGCCCTTGGGAAGTCGGTAGTTGTCTTGTACCACGCCGTTCAGATACGCGCGCGTGGTGTCTGCTTGGCCGACAGACCGGGACGTGAGGTAGAAGATGTTGTACCCGTTGTTTACGATATCGGTGTAGAGTTTTGCGACACCTTGGTGTGTCCAATCCCTCCCTATCATGTTCAAGACGTGGCCTAGGGCATCTGATTTTGTTATTGTACCGTCAATGTCTGAGATTACGATTGGTACGTCGTGTTTCCAGTAGAACATGTATGCCTCACACTTGCTCCTATTTACTGTAAAGCTCATGGTATTGGCACCGGGCTTGAGGTCCAGGGCACGTAATTGCTCGGATGTGAGACGCAGAGTCTTGGCGTAGGTTTTGAACTCGGGTCTGGCTTTTGATTTCTGGGTAGAAGAGTTGGGCGAGTGTGGGGCAGAGGATCCCAAGGCGCTGTCCGAGTCTCGTCGTGTGGGGAATTGCGCCGTGTCGTCGCTGCGGCCGCTGTCGGATTGGTAGCCTGGGTCTGATAAAGCATCGGCGGATTGGAGAGCGGCTTCGTTGAGGACGTTCATGCTCGTCTTGGCCATGGCTGCTGCTTTGGCTTCCTCACTGCTGTAGATCCAGAGATTGCCATTCTCGTCAGCACCGATAAGAGCGCCGATGTCGTAGTCGCCTGCGAGTTCATCGGACAGGATGCGCCGGGCTATTACTTCGGCGCGCAAGGCATCCTCCTCGCTGCTCTTGTACCCCGTCATGTCGAGTTCGAGGTCGCCCGTCTCAGTGACCTTGTTGGGGATGTTGGAGGTGAAGAGCTTCTTGGAGAGCTTGATGGCGCGGGCGAGTGCTTCACTGGCGGACACGGGCGGTGGACTCGCTGAGCGGGTTGACCTGTTCCAAGCCGTGGCATCTTCCTTGCTGATCTGTAGCGGCCCTCTCTCGGGCCCTGTGCCATGTGCTTCTGTCCCCTCGAACGTCTTGGCGAAGCCGTCCTTGACCGAAGGGACCGTCTCATCCGTGCTGGCCCTTTGCATGTGGAAGCCGGACCAGTCTCCCGACTTTGGCCGCCCAAATTCTGCCTCGGCGTGTATGCTGTCGGACGTGGGGACCGACATGGACATGCGCCCTCTCCTCCTGCTCACGTCGGCATTGTCTAGGTCCAAGGGCTCGGGCTCGTCGAAGGCGCGCTCCGAAGGCATCTCCACGGGCTTCTGCTCGGGACTCGCGGCGGGCGAGGCAATAGGCGACGTCTGCATCTCAGCGGGGATGGAGCGCGTCGTCTCGAAGACGAAAAAGGCCTCGCCCCCTTCGCCCAGCTTCATGGAATAGTCCTGCAGCTCGCCATTGACTCTGAACTCGACCTTCTTGTCCGACGGTCGCAGGATCTGGTACTTGCCGAAGCGGACGTGGAAGGGCGAACAGGCTAGGCTGCCATCTTCGTGCTCTACGACGATGGTGTCGATGGCGCCGCTGAGGGTTGCGGGGTTGATCGAGTTCCAGCCCTTGGACACGCTGCCTGTGATGGATCGCACGTAATTCATAGTGGCTGTCTACGGGCTCAGCGGCCCTCTTGCGCGGTGCGGGAGGTGTTTTACAGATCAAGTGTGGTAGTGTCAGGAGTTTGTTGTCTTTCTTCACATGTCAGTGGGCCCTGGCTGCTTTCACCGAGGGAAGGAACCGGCGTTGTGTGCGAGACCAAGGGGAATCAGGAGTGAAAGTACTTTTGCGGTGATGTGCCTAGGCAAAGGGCAAGCTTGGGTATGCTGTCACCGCGCGCATCACGGGCCCAAGGACGTCAGGCCGAGATCATGGGATGCGAGTTGCCGGAGTAAGCGGCAAGCATTTCCAGAATCGACATCAGATGCGACGTTATCTTTCACATGCTGCAAAGGAGCAAGCAGATTGGAGACAATTTGAGGCCTGCTTACATGTTGGGACAGCTACTGGCTCAACCACTTTGTGCTGCGGGGAGGGTAAAGACATGTGAAGCACCTATCAATCGCGATGCATTTTTTTCCAGAAATGCATATTTTCTAGACCACACGCGTAAGCTTCCATGTTTGACAGCCACTGCCCCGCTAAGGAAGCAAGCTGCAGGTGAATGCGGAGGTGCAGGGTGGAGCAGCCAAGAAGTCGAAATGGCTTGTAGCTTCGGCCATTTGCGGCCGTGGCTGCACATGACGCCCGCTTGGATATCGCAAACTTCACCCACACACACCGATGGAGGCCATGTCTTCGTCGCTGTACTGGCCGCCGGATGTCGCTCGCTATGACATGGAAGCCCTCCTCTTCTCGTCGTCGGGGTGGCTGAGGACTGCATGCATCGTGTCGGCGCTCTTCTGGGTCGCCTTTCGCGCCTACCAGGTCCTCACGCAGCCTGTCGAGAAGCTGGTGCAGGTGCTCGGTCTCGAAGTCCCCGTCGCGCCCCTCGTCTCGCTCGCTGGAATCAAGGCAGACGGAGTGTTGCTCCACTGGAAACCGCCAGACCAGCGCACCTCTGTCCTGAAATATGTCATTCGAATCAACGGCATTGACATTGGCGACATATCACCCCAGGAATCCTCCATTACCATCGAGAACCTCCAGCCCGACCGCCACTACACCATCCGCATAGTCACGCTCAACTCGTCGAGCTTCCAAGCCCCCAGCGTCCCCATCCGCCTGCGAACCCTCCCCGCCGACTCGGATGACTTCTACGGCCCCCACCCGCCCAAAGACGCGCCTTCCCCCAGCGACGACAATGACTACACGCCCACGCCCGTCATCCGCCCGAACAAGGCCCTCGCCGAGGTCGTCACCTCCGTCGCCGCCCCGCCCATGACTCGCGAACACAGCAACAGCACCTCCCGCATGAGACGTCCGGATATTGGAAGGAGGGTCTCGCCAGCATCGCAAGAGGGAAGGCAAGCGCAAGAGGCAGAAGGCCCAGACTCTATTCGCCAGTTGACCGAGAAGTTGGATGCACTCAGACGCGAGTTGGACGACATGGAGCGTCAGATCCAGGACGAGGACCAAGAGTTTGTCACTCAGAAGGCCATCCTAGCCGACAAGCGCGACGAGAAGAAGGCTGCGTTGAAGGAAAAGGAAGACGCCAGTCGCGACTTGCGAAAAGAGGTGGCTAGTCTTGAGCGCCAAAACGCCGCTGCGCAGACCAGACGCACCCAGCAAGAGAGGGTTCTGCGTCAAAAGGAAGCCGAGCGGAAGAAGCTCAAAGACGATGTTGCCAAGTGGACGAGGGAGGCGGGCGAACTCCGCGACACTGCCGAGAAGATCAAGAAGGAACAGTCCGAGTACCAGTCGGCCTCCGAGAAGCGCGTCCAGGATCTAAAAGACAAGTATGCCGACGAGACACAGGCCAACAAAATGCTCGAAGATGCAATTCGCGAAAAAGGTATTCACATCAAGGCTCTGGAGGAAGAGAGGCATAGGTTGGAACAAGGCCAAGAAGGCGCCGAAGCTACAGCCGGTCCTGACAACGCCGAGAGGGAAGAGGACAATCGCTGGAGGATGACGCTAGGTCTGTTGCAACAGCAATATGCTCAAGCTTGGTCGCTGTATGCCGAAGCCGAAAGAGCTCACCAAGACGCTACAAGCAGGTTGACTTACATGCAACAACGTCGTCTAAGCCAGCCCCAGCTCTTCTCGGGCCCGCCTGTCCCAGAGATGGGTCCCGTCAGAAGGAACAGCCAACGTGCTCGTCCTCTCAGCATGCGCGAAGGACTTCTCTCCCAAGCCACTGGCGGATTCGTGCACACTTCGTCAGCTCCCTTCAACAGCATCCCAACAACCGCATCCCCGTCTTTTGCAACGGCAACGCCTTATTTCAACCCGGTAAATGGCATGGCATTGCCTCCTCGTACATACAGTACTTCTTTTTCACAAGCCGACTTCGAGTCCCTAACTGGCGGCGCACCTATGAGTCCCACTGCTGGCGCGTTACTCCCCGCCGGCCTCTTCGGTGACGATTTAGGACTTACAGAAGATGAATACGATGACCCAGGGCCACCCCAAGACCCCTCTCGGGATCCTTCGCCCAACATGCGTAATGTTCTCCCGGGCCTCGGGGCTCCGGGGACAATGAATCCTACGACACAGAATGGCAGCTCTCCGGCTTCACCCCAAAGCGGGTCGCCTAGTGCTCTAGCCAGTCCTCGGGATAGCGCGGGCGAACTACAGTTCTACCCCAATATAAGCAAGAATGACGATAACGTCGACAATGACCGCCGTTCTATACACTCGACCTCCTCCTCCTTCCAGATCAACAACAATCCCCAAGCCTCTCGTTTCGGCGGTCTCTTTGGCCTGAATCGCGCGCGCGGCAAGACGTTTTCCGACGACGGTCCTGCACTGGGGAGCCTGAAACCGAGTCAGAGTCAGAGTTTACCGCGGCAGGAACACGGTGTCGATGGTCTGGGTAACACTCACCGTCGCCGGGGCTCCCACTCCGAAGGTGGTGCGTGGTACGACACTTTTATACGCACCAAGACGCAACCAATCGAATCCCTCAGCTCCCCCAAACACGTTGCAACACGCAAGCGCCCATTCAACATGTTTAGCAGCGCAAAAGCAGGTAATGAAGATCCCTGGCTGAGAAACATACTGGGTATGCAGCAGCCGCGTCCCTCGTCACCTGGGCGACAGGGAAGCACCAATTCTGGGGAAGGCATGGCGTTGCCGAGACCCAGTACAGAGAGCCAGACGCGGTTCGGCTGGAATGTGGATGCGTTTGGAGCAAGGAGTAGTCCATTGGGTGTGGATTGGAGCGTGAATAACACAAACACAACCTCGTGGTCTCGCCTCGGCTCTCGGCGTCCTAGTATGCAGCACACGAGCAGTGCGAATCTGATCAATGACGACGGTTTGCACGACGATGTCCTCGACTTTCCTTCCAACACTAGGAGTCCAACGCAAGCGCCGATTGGGACAAGACCACAGAGTAGCGCGAGTCACATGCCCGCCCAGCCGAGTACAAGTTCGCTGCCGCCGATTCCGCCGACGCCGCCCAAGCAGTTGAATCCTGCGGCGGCGAGCTTCACAATGTTCCAGCTAGGCAAGAAGACGGAGGAGGAGAAGGAGAAGAAGGCCAAGGAGAAGGAAGCACGCAAGGCGGAAAAGGTGGAGAAGAAGGAAAAGGAAAAGGCGGACAAGGCGGCGGAGAAGGCTGCTGCAAATGCGTCTCCGGGAATTGGTTATGACTCGAGGATGTCGCGTGATACACCGAGTATCATCTCCACGGCTGATGCAAGTGAAGCAGATGCTTCGGAAGCAGCAGCGAGTCCAAGACAGAGCCTGGAACGGCGTGTGAGCCACACTGCGTCCGACGCCGCTGGGTCCGTTGGCAAAGAGAGCTTCATGCAGAAGTTGACGCGAAAGGGCAGTACGAATCAGTTCTTATCTTTTGGTGTTAAAAAGTTTTCTTCGAAGAGAAGTAATGCTGGGGACTCTGTCATTGTTCCTGCAACTCCGGACGAGGTGGAAGGAGGAGAAACTTCTAGTAGCGGATTCTTTGGGCTGGGCAAATCTACAGAGAGCGTTGTTGCTGGTAATAGTCCTTCTATTGGCACGCCAAAAGATAGAATGAGTGGGAGTATGTGGGGGAGTATTAAGAAGATTGGGAGGAACAAGGATAAGACGCCTAGTTTACATGAGAGTATTGCTAGTGAGGCGACGGGTGGAGAAGGGGTGGAGGAAGATGAGGGTGGTGATGCTGTTGCTGCTGGTATTAATGAGGGGTCGAGGGCGTAAAGTAGTAGTAGTTAGTTGTTATCTGCTGTAAAGCAGTAATGCTAAAGCTTTTTAGTTTTTTAATTCGTCATCATTACCACCCCCCCCCCCCCNCCCCTTTTTTTTTTTACCCTTCTCTGAAACGAGTGAGAAGGGAGAGGATGTGGCCTGAGGGTCCATTGGGGAGGGCCGGCGTCTTTTCTCTCAGTATCATGTTTCTGCGGAATTGTATAATTCCCACTTGGCGCCTTGAGGCTCCCGAAGTCGTGTTGAAAACATATAGTTAAGATTAGGCTGCTAATAAGACACCAACATTAGTGCTATGCTTTGAAAGAGATGCAAGATAGGTGATTATTAGAGCATTGTCTAGTCTCCGTGCTCAGATTTGATGCGTTAGTTACTTTGCTAATTACAGTGAACGCGGGGTGCCTAGTGAGGGGTGTTCAGGTAGTATTCCAGAATAATGCATCTTATAGTGTTGATAACCTTGTTGTATATAAAAGTGTTCATGTCCAAAGTCTTCACTGCTGGATCCGGTCGGTTATTGTTGTTTTACTTTTTTTTTTGCATCACTTCTGCTCGTTGCATTTCATCATGTACCCATCTGTAAAGCTAAAAGCTACACACTAAAGAGCCACCAATTTTTCACCTCCCAAGTAAGTTAACCGCCTCCCTAAGGCCACCCACAAGTCTTCTTGCATGGCTTGCCGTCAGCATGAACGCTGAGGCAGATGCGCTGACAAGAGGAGCCGTGGCATGTCTAGCATGTATCGATAAGAATTAGCGATTCCTTCTACTCTGAGCTTGGTATTCATGGAGCTACACACCTTGGTGCAGTCGATGAAAGCTTTGGTACACTTTTGGCATGAGCTACTGACGATTTGAGTCTGAACGTCCTGGTTTTGGTTAGCCCTGAGATAAAAGCAGTGATAGTGGGCGCGCGAGCGATGCGGGTGGAGGACTTGCGTTCGCGAGAGAAGACTCGATGGTGGATGTAGAAGCGGGAGCAACGTCACGGGGAATGGCACCGCTCATTGCAATGGTGGAGAGGGCCATGAGGAGGAGGATGGAGGTCAAAGACTTCATCTTGTTGCAATGTGGTAGTTAAGTGACAAGGTTGAGTATGTAGTTGTTAGGGCTTCTGGAGGCTTTGTCGAGAAGAAGTTTTGTCTCATCAGAGTGGTTGCTATGTTTAAATACGATGGTGAGAGAGGGAATGTTACAAGGTCTGAGCGCTTCCATCGTCACCTTTGCTTGAAAAGCTCATGCCAAGGCCCGCAGGCTACCACAGTGCGAGATTGCTACGCAAGTTGAACTCGCCTGCATACCAGTATAGGCTAAAAGGCTGGGTGAAGGCGTTTCGATCCGCAACCACGCTTAGCTCGTACGTTTTCCTACTCGCTCTCTTACTAATATGTATATACGCCGTCACTGCAATAATACGATTAATTCTTCTACGTCAACCTGAACAACCAGATTCAGCCAGACATTTATTTCTTCTCGTCAAAAATGAAGTCCTTCATCACTCTGCTTACCCTTACGACCCTCTTCGCCATCGCTCTCAGCGCCTCGCTTCCCTCGGCCTCCGCCCGCCATCGCGGCCCCCTCAAGCCCAAGCCATCCAACCATCTCAGGTTCATGGTCGAACGACTCGTCGCCGACGGAACATTCCCCGATGATGAAAACACTCGGCTCTTCTCAGAGCAACCCTGTGCCGACGACGACGATTTCGACGAAGGCGACAATTGGAAGGTTTGCTAGACTGTCTTCCATTGAAGAGGTGGAAGGTCGGAACAACACCAGTTAAGGATCACTGGATGTTCGTGGTTCGACGATGTAGCTGTCTGGAACTTCGCATGATCGGGTACCTGGGATGACTTCTGGATAGACAGGTAGTACGTACGGGCTCCTCGCGATGTGCTGTATTGCCGATCTGGCTACGAGATCTCTGTAGTGCTGAAATGGCCGTCCCTTTACAATAATGGAACCATCACTCATTTCTCCAACATCTGCCCAACATGTGTTTTTACATAATCTTTGTTCATTTCTCATCTTGCATGGATACAAATGTCATTCATCGCCCACTCCTCTCATCCAGCTCAAAGTCCCCCTCCTCCTCAATAGTCGGCAGCACCTGATACCTTCTCTTCTTCCCACCCATCCTCTTCAAGCACCGATCCGTATGCAACAAATGACCCCTCTTCTGCCTCGCGAATCCCGCAAAACACGCCGCACTCGATGCAATCGCGCCCGCGCTGATATAGATCGGAATAGTAAAGTCTTGCGGCCGCCACCACACCATGGTCGTCGCAAAAGAGAGGAGCTCAAAGACGTTTTGCAGTGACATCTCGATAGCGGAGAATGAGCCGCGAGACGCGGGCGGCGCATCTTCCTGCACGAGATACTGGACGCTGAGATCGAACCCCCAAAGGCCGAGGCGGGAGAAACAGACGCCCAGGACGAGCGCGGCGCCAGCCAACATGGGTGCCGTACTCGTAGGGAAGACGTGGAACAAGCCTATGGCTAGGGCAATGGCGAGGAGTTGTTCGTTGATGAACCAGAGACCTGCTCGTACAGCGCCGATCTTATTCATCAGCCACGGCGCCGCGACGGTGGCGCTAAGTTCGAGGATGACGGACACGAGTCGCATGATGGAGACGTGCGTGCTCGTGAAGCCGAGAGTGAGTAAGTAAGTCGTCATTTGCGATGCAAAGCTCAGGACCGTGAGATAGAGGAGGGAAAGCGAGAAGGAGGCGAGGAAGGCGGGGTTTTCGATGTATGCGCGGTAGGGTTGCAGGTATGAGGTTATATTGGCGAGAAGAGTGGAACGTCGGCTAGGCGTGTTTGACACGGTATCCCCGTGGGAAGAGTCTTGCGGTTGTGAATCCGTGGCAATATTCGTTTCAGCCTGCGCGACGCCTTTGCCAACACCAAGTTCCGGCACCGCGGCGTACACATTCGCAATGGCAAAGTACTCCACCAGTACACTGATTGCATTCTGCGCGAAAACAACCCAGATGGCGGTTTTGGTCGAGTAGCCATCCACGAGTCCGATGCCTACGGGCGCAATGAGCTTGCACACCAGATCAATCCTCCGCATGACGCTGTTCAGCTCTTGACGATCTGCACCTAGGCTCTCAGAAACCACGACTATCCAGTCTCTCTCCACAGAAACCGTGTTGGCGACAAAAGCCAATTTCTCGACACATGCCAGAACCGCGCTGACGGCAAACAAGCCATACGATATTCCACTGACATGCTTCTTCTTCTCTTGCCCACCATCCAAACCCAACATGGCCACCAGAACTGCACAACTCGCCGCGACAGAAAGCCTTTGCCATAGAATACTCTGCCTCACGACATACAATCTATCCCTCGCATCGACCTGCCCGCCTATCCACGACCCCAGGAGCGCAGCGGCAAGCGAGCGAAAAAGCGCATAGCAACTTGCGAAGAAGAGCGTTCCAGGAAAGATTTTCGCAAGGAAGATGACTGCGCCGAATTCAAAAGTGCGCGCATTCCACGTAGACAGTATGTGTGAGGTGTAGAGTTTGTAGAGGAGGGGGCGGGGTGATTGTCGTCTTGGTGAGGGCGTTGCAGACGGGGCGGGGTAGGAGCGCGAGGAGGAGGTGGTGCTGCTGCTGCTTGTCGAGCTCGTCGATGAGCGTGGTGACGAAGCCGCCATTGTTGTCGCAAAAAAAAAACTTGTGTAGTTTGTTTACGCAGAAAGCAAAGCAAACGCCTCAAAGGCGAGGACTAGATGAAGAGGCTACATATTTGCAAGGTTCAGATGGTAAATACCGTGATGGTCATGAGACGGCTTGGAGAGCGGACATCTGGGCCTTCCGAATTGCCTCATGGGTTGCAGCGCACGTGTGGACCCTGTCGATCGTTTATCTGAATTAGGCCGGGCGGGGTTAGCGTCGCGAATGTCGTGAGAAACAGGATTGGAGTAAGTCCGGGAGCATAGTAACGACAAACGCGAAAGAGGACTTAGGCAGCAGCTTTTGGGGTTGGATGTTCCACTGTAGGCCCCTGCTTTCGAGTTCGTCCAGCTCGGCCGCACGTTTGGAAAAGACTTCCAGACAAGTCAGCTGAAGCTCGACAGCGCAAGACTCCGCCTGTCGCGGTGGGGCAAGTCACTGAGTCTAGACGATGATGTCCGGGACACGGTATCGCTTCAGGGACGTTTTAGGTCGGAGGCAAACGTCAAGCACGCAGAAGCCTTACTAGGCCAGATCGTAGAACTGTTTGCGGAGGCTGAAGGCGTGTCGAACAGATACAGGGGCCGGACAGAGCCTCAGGACAGCAGCCTCGCAGTATACGATCCGCAAACCAACCTAGATCCGGCGATAGCGAAGCTCCACGAGAAGATGCGCCAGCTCGCCATCGAGCGCCAGAATCGATCCGGCGTACGGCAAAAGGCCAGGTAGGCATTGTACCAAGAGAAGCAGTTTCGGCGACTGATCGAGGACATCACCGAGCTGGTCAACGACTTAGACAACCTCTTCCCCGCCACTCAGCAGTCCCAGCGTAAGCTCTGCGACATCGAAGTCTGTGCCATCGGAGAAGGTTAGGACATCTCTGTAGTGAGAGAAATTGCCGCTGCCCAGGACAAGTTATTAGAGCAGGCTATCACGAAGGCTGCGGAGAGTGCTGGCAAGTCGCACCACATCGTCTTTTCGGGCAGTAGAAACACGGGCCTTCAGGTGGGCCACAACTCTGGGAGAATGGGTACAACGATTCCAAGATAAGCCTCGAATGGCTGAAGCGTGTTTTTGATGTCGAGACTAGAGCCCGAGCTAATGGTAAACCACGAGTACTGATCTGTGACGGCTTCGGGACCCACGAGACGCTAGAGATCCTGGAGTTCTGCTTTAAGAACAACATCATCCTGTGCCGCCTGCCTTCCTATACCTCTCACAAACTGCAGCCCTGTGATGTCTCCGTCTTTGCGCCCCTGAAGACAGCCTACCGCGACCAGGTTGAGCGACTGAACCGCGGCGGCATACACACAATAGCCAAGGAGCATTTCACTTACCTGTATGCGCCAGCAAGGGGAAAGGCGCTAACCAAGAGGAACATCGTTGCTGGATGGGCTGCTGCGGGCTTGTTTCCCTTTAGCCCGGAAAGAGTGCTTCGTAACACACCAAAGCTGCCTGCAGATCTCGTCGTCTCTGTCGCTAACGAGGTGGGATCTTCCTCCCAGAGTAATGTACCGCTAACACCCGCAACTCCTCTGACACCGGTGACGGCAGAGGGCTTGACAGTGTTGCATGACCTGATCAAACGAGATGCTGGTGCGCCCGACGAGGCGAGCAAGCAACGCCTAGAGAGGCGTGTACAGAAGCTTGTGAGCGCCGCCAAGATATCTGTTGCTAAACAGAGCCTCCTCCAGGACCACAACCGCCTGCTGTGCCACATCAACAACGAAGCCACGGTCCGCCGAACGACGCGCTCCTTAGTGCTGAGCGGCGGAAAGGGAGAGGGCAAGGTAATGCGCTGGGAGGACCTCCAACGGGTGCGAGCGGAACGCGCTGCTAAAGAGTTGGCCGCCAAGGAGAAGGGCAAAGGAAAGCGCGGTCGGAAGCGCAAGACACCTGCGCAAGAGGTAGAGGAAGAGACGATACCTCTGGAGATAGAAGCGGGCTCATCAAGGCCGAGGGAAAAAGTGTCGAAAAAACGTAGGGTCCAGGAGCCTGGGCCATGGAGGGCACCAGTGGCGACGATGTATTGATGTAAATTTATTGATACAACACTATTAGACCACAGATAGCATGAAACCGATCGTGTTGCTGAAAGACAGTTTCACTCTGAGTGTACATGAATCTGTGCCCATATTTTTATGTCATGCGCTGACGATCGCGCCAGTTCACCATGAGAGTTCAGCTGATGCGCCGACCTCAGCCTCGACGGCTCAGCCTTGTGCGTAGGGATAGCTGTGCCGCTTCGCAAAGCCTACAACAACGCGCAACCCCAGCCACTGTCTCATAAATCGTAATGGCTCTCCACAGCGTGACTACCACGTTTACAGGCTCAGGAAACTAAGGGTTGCAGGTTGGTTACAACTCCGGCTCTATCCAGACCCACATCCACGCTCCTACTATAGCTCTTACTACCCTCCTCTCGATCTAGCTGCGACTGCAGAGTTTCCTAGGAAACCTACATCTCTCCTAGAGCGTTCTTACCGTCGAAGAACGACGTCTTGCAAGCAACGCGACCGTAGCTGAGTCTGCCCTCGCGTCCCGAACAAGACTTTCCGGAGGCAGCTTCGTGCCATGCAAAGCATTCGCCGCGCTTGCCGCCACCGCAGTCTTCCAAGTCACCAAGCTTCTCGCCGTTCTTTATCTGGTGCACATTTCCTTCCTTGGCACAGTTCTTGATGATGGCACAACCGTTCGTGAACTTGATCCTGTGGTTGCACCAGAGGGTCTTGATGTCGTTGAACGCCATGGTTCCCCTTCCTTCACATAGGGCTTTGCCGTATTCAATGTATGGCTGCGTGACCTTGAGCCTAGAGTTGGAATTAGCAAGTCAGCGCAAACGTCCGAGCTCAAGACTAGACACGTGGTCTAGGTAGATGGAACGTACTGTCATCTGTCAGCGAAGTTTTCGAAATCTGGGTCATGGTACAGACCTCCTGAATAGAGACACTCGTGTCATACGGACCAACGAACACTGCAGTGGACTCCCACATATCGAAATCGGCCAGCGCTGCCATAGGGAGCGTAGCGGCGACGACCGCAAGGAGGGTAGGGAACTTCATCTTGAGGAGTGATGAGGGGAGAGCTAAAGTAGTGCTGCGATAGGAGTTCGGTAGGCGAAGTATCTGTCTAAGCTGGGAAGATCTGTGTCGAGCGTTGCCTGAGAGCAAGAGGAACGTACTTTACGGCTACCTTTATACGTCCTGAGGGTGCCAACTTTAGGCTTCCAAGGGCCACTCCAGCTGCAGCCGTTTCGAGGCCGCGCAGATTTCACCCGAGCAGCAGCCCTCAAGTCAGGCTCAATTGACTTTGTGTTGGTGGCTTCCTGATGCAATAACCCCTTGTCAACTAGACTAATGCATTAGTGTATCACAAGGTCACTATCCACGCTTGATGAGGCAGGTGAAGGCCACATACCTGTTGTTTTGCTTCTCCACGACACGGGCTGGAATTCGATCCTTCTATGCGCGAATGTATGAGGCCATTAACGAATACGTCCAACGCCCTCCGCGGACGTGCTTCGTTAGTGAACGGTAATGTGTCGTAGTTACAATCCAGCATAGTTCTTCATAATCTGCCTTGAAGGCAGGTACGCTGCTTAGCTAGACGTATTCTCGTATACAGCTGGTGTGAGTTCCCGAAAGTGCTAGCAATACTCCGTAGCATCACTGCAAGACGATTTCTACAATTAGTTGTTTTTTTAAAATTAGCGCGATCTTATAGTGCCTCGGTTGTAAATGTGTATAGTTGATGCAGCTTTAGCTGCATATTAGGGCTAATAAAACAGGACGTTGCTAGACCTAATTAAGCCTAAAAACTTTCTGTTTTGTCAACCCAACCCCGACCCAACCCCAACCTATTTGCCAGCGTACACGCCAAGTAGACCAGAGCCCGTTGATGTGCGACATGTGCGGCATCTCCTCACCACGTTCGAGTGTGCGGGCGAATCGTATTCAGCCAGCAACATTGACTTCATGTTTGCTACGACTTAACGCACCTCTTCCAACCTAGCACTTATCAGCAAGCCTGGAAAATGCTACGAGCTGATGGGATGTTCTTTAAAGCAGATACAAGACCAACCGCGCGCTATTGTCTCTCCTGCAAACATCTAGACACTTGTTATAAGCCGGTTTTCTGCGCGTAGTGCGCATGGTCGTCGATGCGCCACCAACGAGATAACGACGATGGTTACGATGCCGCTGCCCAGGAGTACCAATTTAGCGCTGCGGAATTGGCCGCCACAGAGAGCAATGTGAACGTGAACGGGCTGCGTCGTACTCCGCCATAGCGAGACTTGGTGTAGATGTATGGTACGCCCTGTCGAGGGACCTGTGATGATACCTAAGAGTTGATGTGAACGTGAGGTCGACTCTCACTCTGGTGGGCTCCACAAGGTAAATTTGGGCCCCTACTACATCCTATCGAGCCTTCAAGTTGAAGCTACTTGTAAGCTCTCTAAGCTCAAAGAAGTTAAAGGAGCCAAGAACAGGGAAAGGAGCGAATCTGCTTTCAGAGAGAACAACGTTGGACACGGCTGGTGAGGCCACTAGCAGGGTTCAGACCAGGATTGCGTCTGTAGTCCTTCATCTCTTGGCTCCCTTGGCGGCATCGTCATCAGTCCTCTATGCTCCTAATCGGTTCCCGGCCCTCACCTTGGCTACGGAGTAGAAGGCCGCTTGTTTGTCTACGTTCATGATTTTGTCCCGCCTTGCGCCCCTTTGTTCTGCATACGATTTTGCCTTCCAAGTGCTACACCCATGTCTCATGGCCGGGCTGAACGTACTGTGGAGATTGTGTCCAGCCCGTCTAGAACTTGAGCTTCCACATTGTGGGTGAGCAAAATTCTGCTGGACCAACCTCGTGTCAAGCGACACTACTGAGTGAAGATCCTGAAGCTTCGGTATGCATGTTTTTGTTCATGGTGTTGTCTCTGCGTTCCGTTGACGCTCTCCTGCAGTATGTATGTCCTTGCATCCCGTCCACTAGGGCAGATGTTGGACGGTCGCCTTCGGCTCACACACGTCCAGATCACGTCGAGGTAGCTTCTGCGCTAGCCTTCCATCTCTTTGCATATCTTCTGCGACAAGTCGACTTATTTAATGCGGCGCCTGTTTGTGCTGGCAAAGTGTGCCAGACTGGCTTGGGGCTCCACGTGACTCGAGGCTGGCCCGATAGCACAGTTAGTATGCTAGCATACAGGTTTTTCCCCTACACATAGAGGGATAGTAGTTATTGTGTGCTTTAGCATGTGTGTTGGATGCTTGTAGTTCAAACTAGGTATCGAATCACAGTATGTATAGGCTCTGCCTGAACTGTCACATACCACTACAGATCTGCGAGTATCAAATTTAATCTCTGATTGTCAGGTACGAACATGGCACTTTGATATATCCCGAATGGCACTGTTGTTTCCTATGCCGTAAGTGTCTAGGATTGGTGGTTGTCTTCGCCACTTCTACCAGTCCTGACCAACCTCATCGTCCTCGGTGATCATTACAATCGTCGCACTCGCACTTGAAGTCTTTCGGACGGGCAGTGCTAATGTCGAGAAAGTCAGTTTAAGACTTAGAAGTGCGATTGCGGAAACTTACAAGTCAAACACCTTGTGGTCGTTAATGTTGTGCATAAGATAGCGCATGATCTCCTCTGGATCTTGCTGAAACGGAAAGAATTGTTTGCCGTTGATGGTGCAGCCAGGATGGACATCGCCACGTCGGTACTGCCTGTCGAGAGGGTGCAGTTCGAGAACGTCGAAGCAGTTCTCGGTTTCCCAACAGCCATGATCTATCTCACAATCGTTTTCGACAAGATGGGAGGTCAACTCCCATGCTTCGCCGGCAATATCCTGAGCGTCCTCGACTTGCACGACTTGCACGACTTGCCCAAAGCTATTGATCCAGCAATCAGGTACGATTTGCCTCTCTTTTTCCAAGTAGAAGGACTTCATCAAGGCGGTGAGGATGTTGATACGAAGCTCTTGAAGTCCCAACGTATGCGAAGCAGCCATGGTAGAGGCTCCGCTGCAGTCGGTACTCCGAACCTGAATCGTGAGTTCATCTCCCTTCCATGGACCTGATATCGCCGTTTCCATGACAAAGGGCAGTATGTTGATGCGGACATCGTCCAATAAGATGGGGCCTTGCACCTCAAGTTTGAGGGTGTATTTCATCGTATTCAGTTCGAACGGGCTAACCATAAGGGTCTTCGGGTGCGATGAATCACTAGGATAACGGTAAGAGTCGAAAGTCTTCCTCAGAAATCTCCGTGAGTTCTTGAATCCGTCGAAACCAGTGTGTACACAGTTTGTTGTCAAGATTAATTCGAAACTGCTATGTTTGGTATGTATGGACGTGCCATGGCCGAAGAGAAAGGGTTTACGTCACGCGTGATAGATGTCCTTGTTAACATGGATGATACCACAGTTGAATTCCGTATCCTTATCCAAGTCGATCACAAAGCCTTCGGTAGGACGCACAACCCGAATGATTATATCCCTGAATATTGGCTGTGGCAGGTCGAGTAGAGCCAGGGCCTTTTCCCGCTTGTGCACTCGTAATCGTGCTCCGCCATCTTCCGTGGTAAACCAAGAGATGTGATGCAGATCTGGAACAATGTCTGGAAGTAACTCTCGAATCATCATATCCGGGGGATCGCAGCAAAGATTGGTAGTCCCCCAACTGATCTCGCCTCCGGAACTGTCTCCGTATATAGTAACTGCGTACAGCAGCCGGCCATACTTTCGTAGCTCCAACTGACCTCCTAGTATAGACTTGAAGATAGCACTCGTAGACGGGGCATTGAGGTTCAAATCCGTGAGTCCATGAATAGGAGGGAAATACCTAGTGTTGACGAGAGAGACGCCGACACTTAGATCCAAGTTCCAGATCGCGTGCAGAAGAGGCGTGATCTCGAATCGCTCGAGTGCACCATCTTTAACTCGGTCAGGGTGTGCAAGGCTTCGATAAAGTTTTGGTGTTGTCAGAAGGCACAGGTCGAGTACAATCTTCCGAAACCAGTGCGCTTGTGTGCCTATACGAGTGAAGAAAGCACCCGGTAGTCTGATGATGGGTGATTGTCGGTGGCAGCTGTAAGAACAGTAGCGACTGTCGATCATAAAGGTGTGGTTAGACTAGAAGGCAGAACCTGCATCGCGATACAATGTCCGACACGATGCAAAGAGGTGTACGGGAAGCTGTAACTTCAGACACAAACGGAAACCATGTATATCGATGCGACATTGCTAGGAATCATTACCGTTGCAGCTTATGCGTGTTGGCGTGGGGTACTCAACCAGATAGCTTATGATCTGATTGCGAAGTTCTGCTGGCAGGTCTCGAACAATGAAGGGCTTATTCGCGTCGATGGGCTTCGAGTCGCCGCGAGCGAGGGGCGGAATGGTCTTGTGAGTGACCATAACAGCGGTGCAGGTCGTTTCGGTTGTCATATCCAGCGGTCGTATGGAAATCGATTGAGGCGGTGGTGCTAGTTATACTGGAAGGAAGAAGGATTATATAGCTCTGTAGTCAGCCAGGCAACAAGATCATGGGCGGAATCAGCCTGAATCTGCGGAGTGAAATCCTCGCCATATGTTAGATACTCGTTCGATCTAAATAAAATCTTAGTGTAAGATAGTAAAAGAGGTGAATCCTTGAGCTTCTGAAGCTGTTCGCTTGAGCGTTGTATCTAGTCATAGTTACAACAGGAACCAACACGGCCGATGAGTGTTGAACGTGTTGATTTGAGATAATGTCGTAGCTATGCAACAGGTAATCCTTGTAACTTTCCTACTCTCCTTTATTCTTTGTCATAAGGGTTGACTGTATAGTTGCTTGTCATAATCAACAACGAGCGGGTTTAGATACACATTGACGATGGGTCACAATTTTTGAGACACTCTGGTTCCGTACGGAGTGCCTGGCTTGCGATCTAGCGCGACGACTTTGTCAGTGATTCTTCTTGCGTAGTCATGAATGTGGGGTGATGCCGAGGGAGGCATATTGTGAGCGTGTCTAGCGCGAACCCTGGATCTCGGGATGACGCGCTACGAGAGACGTGGCATTCTCCACCACGCTCCCTTGACTGGTCTTCATAGGATGTAAATGATGCCACCCAGTTTGGTCGTGCATGAACGACTTTACATCCTGTTCTTGTGTCCGATGAAGATGCCCGGCTATACGGCACGCGGTCAATGGCTTGGCCGAGACGTGTTCGTGCTTCGGCCTACGTGACGCGTAACCTTGTTGAACATACGTTCATCCGTTCATTCCTCGTACAAAACGAATGAGACGCTCTCTACAACGCGCTAGGCGAGGCATGTTATTCCGTTCAACTTCAGAGGTCTCGCACGACTAACAATCGCAGCATGGCTCGTCCTACCCCTTGGCAGACACCCCGCTCGCTTTCAACGCACGCCCCTCCTCTTACATAGCCCGAATCACGACGCCCAGTCAGCCAAGTCGCAAAGAAGCAACACAGATGACGGAGACAAGCAGGAGAGAAGCAAATTTGCGCGGAGTGTGCTTGAAGGAAGCACGGTAGCTCTAATATCACTCTTCGGGCTAGGCCTCGGCGGCTATGCCTACAGCCTATTCTATAAGAGAACGGTTGCGAAGAAGATTGAGAATGCCTTCGCGACAGGGTATAGCTCGCAAGAGCGTGTTGTATTGGGTCGCATCTCGTACGGCACCGAGCCCGACAAGATTCAAGAGATTGTAGAGAGGGAATACTGGGTTCCAAGGGCGGAACAAGAAGACATCGATAATGTCGTCAGCGGAAAAGCTAGGGGAAGATACCACCTGGTCATCGGCGAGCGAGGTACCGGCAAGCGAGCGCTGCTGCTCGAGGCCATGCGGAAGGTCAACGGCGACGGCATCGCTATGCTGGAAGCCCACAACGATCTCGAGGTCTTTCGAACCCGGCTCGGCAAGGCCATCGACTACGAGTTTCACGAAGACTACATCGGTGGCCTGTTCAGTATCCGCGGACCAAGAGACAGCTCGCCTCTACTAGACATTGAGAGGGCACTCAATCAGATGGAAAAGGTAGCCTTGTCGCTGAGGAAACGACGCGGCAAACCTCTCCTCATGATTATCAACAACATCCACCTGTTCAAGGACGACGAAGCCGGAAAACATCTCCTGGAGATTCTTCAACAGCGCGCCGAAATATGGGCGGGCAACGAACTTGTTACGACCGTATTCACCTCTGACGAATTCTGGACCCTAGAGCGCCTGACACCACACGCCACCAACATGAACGTCATCAGCGTCAGAGACGTGCGGAAGAACGTCGTTACAACAGCACTCAAACAGTACCGAGCCCGCTACCACAACGAAGATGTCCCGCAAAGTGTCCTAGACCAAGTCTTCGCCAAGGTCGGTGGCCGCCTCATCTTCCTAAACCAAGTCGCCAAGTCAAAAGATATGCTTGAAACCTGCCAGCAGATCAACCGGAGAGAGAAGATGTGGTTTCTAAATAATTGTTGGATCTTAGGTGACTCCATGGATGACGACGTCGAGGAGCAACAAAAGTATTGCGCCGCCGCCATCGTGCTAGCCCGCGCCCTCGTCCTCCGCGAACAAGACACATCGACATCTGATCCCCATCAATTCTGCCTTCCTCAGATCCCCTTGCACGAGGCCCGTCAAATCATCACGCGCGCAGATTTTGTGCACCCCTTTGACCATATCAATGTTATTCATATCGATGCGCATGGTATGGTGAGAGCGGATTCCGTACCCATGCAAAATGCCTTTAGGGAGGTCGTTCAACAGTCGGGCTTTGAGGAACATTTGAAAGCGACGCTGAATAGGTTGGATGAGTTGGAGAGCCTGGCGAGGACAAGGGAGGTTGCAATGAGGGATCCGCCGGATAGGAGTGGGGGCATTGTGCCAGTGCAGACGTATTGTGCTAAGCTCTAAGAGTTCGGGACATGTGTTTGTTACAAGTCAGAGCGCATTCGCAAATATACATGTGCTACGACAAGCAGTAGTCGTGACTCTGTAGAAACTGGGACAAACATGGCTTGGTATATACATTCGACTTTGCGCTCGTCTCTCTTAGAGCAATTTATTCTTGGCACGGCTTCCATTATCGGTTATGAGTTCGATCAGCCTCCCTCTCGATACTCTCGGTAGAAGTTGTAGATTCACCGGGTAGCCTTTCACATGTGTCTTCTCGGGTACGGTTGGTTGCATCATGCAGTCTTGCTAATTTGTGCAGCTTTGTCTAAACTCAATGATTTCGTTCCAATCTCACGCTTCGCACTATCACATTGTTGCGGCCACTGGCATTAAGTGGTAATCTCAAATACTGCGAATCGATGTGACCTCATCCTGTACTTGCCCTGCGTGCGGCAGTTGCCGGGCGAGGATTCTTCGATGAACTTGCGGTTGCTACTTGAAGCTTAAACTGCCTTGAAGATTCTAGACTTGGGGTTTTCGTGCGCTCTGTGCTGCGAAGATGTTTCATTCGGTCTTTACGACCCACAGGCCAGGTCGCGACACTCGTACTGCGGATCGGTGTTGATTCATCTTGTACCTGCGGTGTGTGTGGTATGATTGCTGGGTTGGGAGTCTCCGGGGGGGTTGCGGTCAATCCCTGAAGCTCGTTCTGCCTTGGTGATTCCGGATCCGGGACTTTGGCGCGTTTTGGCCCTTTCGACCAGAGGATGAGAGTTATAGGCCAGATCATGGCACCAACATGCCTCGCAATCAAACCCTTGACCCAACCAATCGCCTTTCTTTCCCAGCGACGTATTTCGTCGGGATTTATGTACCTAAATGCTAGCCATACTGCGATGACGGTCAAGAGTAGCGTCAAGATCTCAGTACTCACTGTCGACAGTCAGTAAGTGTTCTTCCTGTTGTTTATAAAGGCTTTATTCAGGCATCTCTATGTCAAACTCATGCAGGTTTGCAAGGTCTACTTACCGAAGATGCCGCCGATCTTGCCCCTATGAAAAACGCCATCGCTACCAGAAATTTGAAGATTCTCGAATCCGTCAATCTTGAGAGCGAAGAGCGCCGTGAGAAATGCGAGTGGTGTGAAGATGATTGTGATGACGGTAAAACCAATAACAGCAGTGCTCAAGATGAGACTGCTGTGTGCATCTCTGATACTTGCGTGTGTGCGCTTCAGGTTGAGCATGTCCTGTATGCTCTTCTCAATTCTGTCTGCATCGCCATCGATTTTCTCTACTCTTTTCATGTACTGTTTGATGGTTTCTTGGGAGGCCTTGATTTGTACCCAATTTGGTGGAAGTCGTTCTTCGTTTGCAGGTAAGCAATTTTCAAGAAACTGCTTCAGAACGCGCTCCTGTTGCTCGAGAACGTGCTTTATCATAGCAAGCTCACTTCGCACGTCGGATATGACGTGTATGAAGTATCGCTCGCGGCGATATTCGAGTTTGTTGATGTTTGACTCATCTCCAGGAACCTTCTTAACGTAGTTTGTCACTTCCGACAAGATTCCAACGACTCTGGTCTCAAACAGGTCTAGTGGAGGTGGATACTTGACGCCGTTTGAAGTGTAGTGCTCGCCAAATCTGTCAATGAACCCAGTCATGATCAAGCCGAGGTGAGCTTCTGCATCTACTGGCTGATCATCTTTTAGGAACAATGCTCCACCCCTTTTCTCGAACGTTCTCTCATTATCGTAATCATCAAGTGCGTATCCAGTGCCATGTGGCATAGTGTAAGAGGATACAACAGCTTCACCTAACTTGTACAGCCAGAGCTGCGGCACCATGAGAATGAACGAAGTCCCATTGATCTTCTTGCCTTGTCTCTCCCGATCGTCGTAGGATTCGAAAGTATCTTTACTCTGTGAAACTACTTGGTCTTGATTCCGTAGATCCAGGGCTTCACGAGCAAGTCCCGGATAGTAGGCTTCGTCCAAGGTGCGTCCTAGAAGGTCGAGATCTAAAGCGTCACGCATGTGCTGTGCCTGGCTTAGCTCGTCTTCAAGAACCTTTCGCTCTTTTCTATCTTTCACTTGTTGATCGATGGTTGTAAGCACTAGATAAGGAAACTACGAATGTTAGCATCAGAACGCGCAAAAAGAGCACGAACACTAACCACAATAGCCGACCATTTTGCCATGTATGTGTTATGCAAGCCTGCCTACTATATTTGTAAGTTGCGCAGATGATAGAGATGGGATGGAACTAGCTTCTCTCGTACCCCTGTGGGATCCTGGAGATCCCTTGATTCATAAGATGGCTCCATATACGTAATGGTAAGATGATTCGTCCAACGAATTTTGGCTAGAACAGCTTCCGCTATGGCGTCTGTCTCTCCTAACACAAGTATTCGTATGATGTTCTTAATAGCCCGTTAGTTTATTCAGAGAGCAGAAGGCTTATCCTACAAATACGAACGCAACCTGTCGAGCTTAGCTGGGTTATCCTCGACGAATAAGCGACGCACACTAACGTTGTTTCTTGGGACATGGATCCAGGTCATTTCAGATGCTCGGATATTTTGGGGACCAAGGCGGGTTACTCCATGGCTCTGTAGAAGCTTGAAAAGCGTGGTTGTTTTTGTCCATACTTCGCCTTCCCCATCGCGAACCGGGCGAGGGGAGACTTCGATGTAAAGACTCTCGGGAAGCGACCGCAAGAAAACATGCAGACCGATCAGGAGGTCCATGTCATTTGTACGGGTTCGGGTCAAGTTCATCTCGTTCCAGGCTTCTGCGTTGAATCTCAGTAAATCTGCTCCATGAACTAGCAAGAGATCAACGGTTTCAGGAATACCCGACGCGGCAGCTCTAAAGAGCAGACTGTCGTCTTTGAGCAACCCTTCCTTGTTGATCTCTGATCTCAACCACTCAGCCATCTCAGTCGCACTTCCAAGGACTCGAAGAATAACTGCTAGTATCGCCGATTTTGCGGCTTGGACCTCGTCGGTGAAGCGACTTTGGTCACTGGTCTCATCATCCAATCGATCCCAATAAGGCGTGAGTCCACCCGCATCATCGATCTCTATTTTCAGAGTATCCGGAGACTTTAGCTTGATATTCTTGAGCCTGTCTTCAAGTTTTGACACGCTGTCGAGTTTGTCTTGTAACGCACTGCCGAGTATGTCTTTTACTATGTGTGTACTATCCCGGGCACTCCTAGCATAGAGAACTGCTCTGGTAATCTCTGAAAGCTTCATCAGTATACAAAGTAGCCACCATGTGATTGGATAGATCATACCTTCTTCGAAATCAAAGCTCTCTATTAACGTATTAATATCTGTTGCCATGCTGAGACCGATGTAGCGTTTAGTGGTAATAGGATGTTGGCCGAGAAGAGTTCCACGTTGAGGAGCTGCCGTACTACTTATTCCCCCTCTACCGACACCCCCTCCGTCAGCGCATATTACTGGCACGCGATTCGACCAGCTTTATGTAGGCTGAGCGTATCATCATCAAACGCTCGACGCCATCATGCAGCCTCGCCCCAAAGTGTTTTCCAGCCTCGCGCGTGGGTGAAATGTCTGTAACTGGCCAAACGAATGCCAGCGATAAGGTAGGGGCAGAATCGCAGCGAAGCTCGGGCAAGGCATTGGGGATGTTCCAAGACTTGTCTGATCTCAGCCACCCCTGACATCAGTTGTGGTAAAGCATATATACCGCTTACGTCTAAGAGGAGACATGCATCTCGGCTTTCAGCGTGTGTAGATAATCGCTTCCGGTGTACTCCAATTCGAGTGTGTGTTCACAAGGATTTCTAGGATAATGGGTTGCGACTCGCGATGGGCGTTTCGGAACCCCGCTTTTCAGCTTTCAGCCTCACCATGCACAATCTGAGAGCTGCCGAATCACAACCACCAGCTCGCTTTCCTGTCTCGTTGGCGGCATATCATGGCTTGTTCAAAAACCGGGTTGTTCTCACCGGTTCTCATGATACCGCCTAGTGTTGAGACTGCATTTATAGTGCCTCAGACGGCTCGATACCCAAATGTAACGTTCCTCTCCTCGTCCTTGCAGATGTTACAGCGGCCGGAAACCACCCTAAAATTAGATCATGGATAGAACAACAGCCCTGAACCCCGACGAAAACGACGTTTATGCACCGTTCTCAGAAGTTTGTGGATCAAGAGAAATTCTCCGCGAAAAGCTCCGGCTCATCAGCTATTGTCAGGACCGCAGCTTTAAGCCTGAAAAGGTCATTCGGAGACTTCGCTTTCTAAGCCTTGCAGCAGCTGCACAGCATCCTCTACTGGCGACGACGCCCTATGAAGCAGCAGAGACATGCACTCAGTGTGCACAATATCCATTGTTCGATGCCGCTCGCGATGCGAGAAACAACCACACGTCTGAAGAGCTTTGCAGACTGCGACTCACAGATTTGGGAGACCTGGAAAGCTGCAAACACTATGTTGCTGTTTCATACTGTTGGCGGCAGCCACAAAGCCCTTCCGAAGAGGAGACGCTTGCACCGAGGTACAAAGTTCTGGATGGCGAAAAAGAGAGAGAATGCCGGGCTCCACTCAACGTTATAAGGCGCGCTATAGACTTTGCGATATTCAAAGGTTATCGTCTCATCTGGATAGACCAAGAATGTATCGACCAGGACGACGTTGAGGACAAATTACTGCACATCCAAGCTATGCATTTGATCTACCGACAGGCTTCCGATGTGGTCGCGGTTCTCAACAGCCTCTTAGATAACCAGGCGCAGGTAGATATACTGGAATGCGACAGTCTTCATGAATTGGAGGAACAGTATGCTTTCAACCATCTGGAAAGCTCGGAGCCCCGGAAACAGATAAGGCGTAACCTCATTACACAAACTATACGGCTTGCTGAGTCTCTTGCGAGTGACCCTTGGTATACACGAGCCTGGACGTACCAGGAAGCACTCCTTGCGACTCGACCCGTCTACCTACTGATCCTGTGTCAGTCCAATTTGCGCGCGCCGTCATTCCAAATAGCCGTTGGGTCTCAGCTCGTCATCTATGACACTAAAACTGCATCTATCCTGGAGTCAATGCTGAACCATCTCGATCCGTATTACTCTACGCTTCCTGCCTCTTTCCAACCTCCAGACTATGGCCTGTGGTTGGAAGACCTTGAAGATTGTAAAATGCAAAAAGATAAGCTTTCATCTGCGATGGACATTCTGAGGGACTCAGTACCAGGTTGGAAGGAACCACCGCTTCGCGTGGCTCTCGAGGTCCATAGGTTGTCCGCTCGCGATGCGATACAAAACCTTCTCCGGCGCGGTATTACGGACTGTCTCGATTTGATTGCTATATGTGGAAACATTTGCAACTATAGTGTTCGTCTTGACACAGATATGATTCGCAAAGCGCACATTGGACTGAGCGTGGCTTTGTTCGCGCTCGCGCTCCTCAACGGCGACGTAAGCCTCGTTCTCGCGCTCAATCGCAATACAACCTGCTCTATTACGGACAGCTCGAAGGCTTTGCCCACTGCCAGTATGAAAGAGGTTGCGATATTCCCCCGAAAGTACGAATTTATTGATTGGGTTGCGCAATCGATCTACGGCTGCCGTATACGTTCTCCAACATTATTGTCAAATGGCCTCCTGATGAGGGGTATCCTTTGGCGTATTCAGAACATCGATATGAGTACAATTCGACAAAAGTATATTCAATATGAAGACTCAATCATACAAGAAGACTGTCCGGCTAGAATCGTCCAGGAGATTGTTAATGTCACCTGCCGATTTCTCAAAGAGAGGAATGAAATTGCCCTCGCTCGAGCTATTGAGACGACTTATAAGCATCGGCAGCCACGCCTGGTCTCTAGAATTATGCGCTATTGTTGCATCTCCATCGCAATACCCGAAGACCCTGCAATTTCTGGTTGCAAGCTACTCCCCGAAACAGCTTACAAGTATGGCACTTTTGAGGATGAGATTGACCACGATCCACTAATCTTTGGTCCCAACAGACCTGCATACGTCTTCACCCCGTACCGCGTTCTCATTGAGCAAGAAATTCGTGATGGAATTCCTTGGTTCCTACTTATGTGGTGGATTTCCAGGATTGAAACTACTCCTAAAACCATACAGAATAAAGATCTTGCTCAGAAGGAAACTCGAACAATACCTACCATGACTAATATCTTCAGTCAAGGGTGGCCGAGCAAGATGAAAGTGGATGAGAAATTGTTCATTGGTGATGTCAAAAAGCTCATCACGAGCTATTCGCTATCCGAAGAGATCTATCGTCTGCATTGTTTCTAGCAAAGACGCGAACGATATCCAGGAGCATATTGCTCCTGTACCGTAACGAGACAAATTCGCCAGCAAAGATGAGGATCACATACCTGTCAATTGAAGATCTTATGGCAAATGTTGTCGCTGCACCCCTACCAAAGTGAAGTCCGACGCTATCATGTCGCCGATGCAACCCTGTTACCAACAATACTCATCAGATGATTTACCATCTTGCCCACGTGTGGGAAGCCGCACGAATCACATCTATGTTTCTCCTCGCATTCATCAGCTAGGTGTTAAGGCGCTGTGATGCCTCCAGACTCGTCGTTGTACGCTACGAAAAGTGACGAGCGGCAGCGCGAACATCTCCGAGCACACCGCGTGCTCCGCTAAAGCTGTACCTGCTGTTGCAACCCTCAAGAAGGCACGTTCAGTGGTAACACAATTTTCTTGAATGGCATGAATATCATTAAACGTTTCCCTTCTAATTTTATGCATAGGAATGTTGGTGAAGTATAGACCTCTGAGACGCCGAGTCTTCCAACCCTGGCGACGGAGATTCGCGAACGATAGTAGGAAGTTGTTCCTCCACGCGCACAGCCAACGCACTCTTCCCTTGCTGTTCACCCCGTTCCTCGTCATCCAATGCATCCGCATGAGTTGGGGAGTCCATCGCACGTAGCTCCACGACTCTACCATCTTCTTCAACATCCATAATTGCAGACAGGCGATATGGATCCTTTGTTTCGCGGGATGAGGCCTTGCTTCGCTGTTGTGCCGTAATAAACCCATTTTTCTTGTCCTCCAATGACTTGTAGCTTCGTTTGCTCGTGGAGTTGTAAGTGCTGGGGTTTGGAGCGTAGCTTGAAGAATCCTTCGTGGGCATCTTAAACCCGTTCTGGACGAACCGTATCAAGTTCCTGATGGTGGGGACGGCAGCGCATATATGTGCGACTCCGCTGGATATGAATCCGGTGATGGACGTGCCTGCCACTGTGTAGGTTGGATCGGTAGTGTCGACAACACCTGGTAGGAACGGTAGGCGTATGATGGACATGATGATAACACTTTAGAAGAGTTAGATTACACGAATCGAACGTTTTGAAGACAAGACTTACCAGATACCAAGGCTAAAGAAGACGAGTAGCTGAATCTTCTTTGTAGTCTGCATCTGCAGCTTCCATACGATCGGAATAGGAAGACTGAAGAGAATAGTCTCGGCGATGATTTCGTACACAACCGTCAGTCTCAAGACGGCGATGTAGTTGATGCATTTCGCAGTTCCCTGCTCTTCGAGATTCCAGATAGCGCGGACTGGAATGCATTGGAAGGCAGCCAGAAAGATTAGAGGGACGGTGAACAGAGCCGTGAAAACCATGAAGGCGTAGACCGCCCGCTTCAACCAGAGATTGGGAAAAATGCGAATGTATAGACAGAGAATGCTGTACTTGATAAGGAGCAATTCGACACCCCAGAACATGGTGGCAATATAGGCTGTCTGTAGTCAGTAAACTGCTATGAGAGCTGATAGACCAATACATACTCCATCTTCCGATTGCCACGACGCGTGGATATGTCAGATCCCATATATGATGGCCGAGTCCCGCTTTGAGGTTCAACAAGAGCGCTACAGTCATAGGGATGACCAGAATCTGCACGACTGTAAGTAAGACAAAACTAGCCTCTTTATCGAACACTTACGACCGCTATTAGATGGAGCCAATCGTCCCACCAAAGCTTGTTACCGCCGACATATCGGGAACCAAAGCGCATTACAATCACGATGATTGGTATGATGCCAGTCACGTATGCCACGATTTTAATGGGGGTCGCCATATCATTGTGCGGCCTGTTGCAAATGGAGGCTTGGGCGCGGAGCGTAGCTGCAAAGAAATTAGTATTGTTGCCTCCAATCACTGCGATAAACATACCGAAGGTCTCATCGTAAGTGCATCGCTTTTCCAAACACGGCTGCAGGATCTTGGTCGAGTTCTTAGAATTGCATTGGCATTCCAAGTCAACAAGCCCACAGCCAATGGCAGGCACGTTTTCCGTAATACATTGCAGCTGTGCGATGGTCAGTTACAAGAAAATTGCTCTCGTGCGGTGTATATCTTACGGCGCATAGCGGAATCTGGCTCAGTCCATCCAGTGCCCCAGCGTCCGATGAGGCAGCGTTTGTCGTGAAGCAGAGGACGCTGACCAGCAGCACAAAGGCATACACTCGGCGGAGGGACAGAAGGAGCATCTTGGCAAGGTGGTTTACAACGATGTGCACGGACAACGATGATTGCTTTTCATGTTCGAGAAGCTGTTATTATATTCCGGGGAACACAGGAGTTCTACCCAAAAGCTAATTGCGACGATCATGGGCAGCCATGTTGGTACAGAGACTTAGAGTGCAGGGTTCACTCTGGAAACCGTAGTGGATAAGCGCACGGGCAAGGCCATACTAGCTCGCCGAACCTACTCATGTCTTGAAACTTACTCAGTTGTCCTATGAAATGTGCCGATGGTGTCGACTTCTACATTTTGCCGGTGGTAGGTGGATTAGGGCATAATCACGAAACCTTTTCGACGCAATCAGTGGAGCTGTATTTACGACCAAAGAAGGGATAGACCTGTCATGGAAGCTGCCACTTTATACTTTGTAACGGTGCCCAATTTGGCCACTGGTGAAGTGGTACTGAGCAGTCTGCCAATGTCTGCTTCAACTGCTCTGGCAGAACGATAACTTTGCGATAAGCGATAGGAACAATCGAGCCGCCCTGCAACGCCATGGCGCGATAAATCAAGCCACCCGTGGTGGGTATCGCGTAGATTACCAGTTTGTGGATACCCAGGAACAGAGTCAGCTCTAAAGAGCGATGCATCTACCAGTAAATTGGATGGAAGGATTCAACCCCCTGGAGCGATCATTGCTCCACCTCCACAACACCGATCGAATCGTCGGCAATCGATCATTCTGTGACGATCACGTACTCGCCGAGCTATCGGTCATGTCGGCAGGATTGTCTGTTGCGAGCGTCCGTGAGCTGGTAGTCGGTACGCTAATATCTTCATTGGCTGGCTACGGTAAAATGGAAATCTCCGTGTCATCGGAAGTCCGCTAAAGGTCTGCTCGGTGGCTCGCCACACTTTCTCCGATGTGCTCGTGCGCAGTGCTTCACCCTGCTATAACCTTGCCTACGACCCTACGGATGGACGAGGTGCATTTTGGTCTGGAGGCCTGATTTGTTCGCGACGGCCATTGGTTTATGCCTTGGTGGCTTACGACCCTGCATTGCGGAGAATACACAACCCGGAAGCTACACAAGTAGTCTGAACGTAAATTTGCGGAACGCACCACGAACAACGTCTCGTAACGAAGGCACCGACTTCGTCCCTGGGATCGACAACTTGGGCCAGGAGTTTACAGCCTATTGCAACCAAACCAAAGCAGGCGTAGCACAACGCATACCCAGCACTGCAGAGAGCTTTCTTTATGAAGGCGGATCCGAAGCGGCAGACAGCCGTCCATGGCCTTCGCAGAATGAAGCCGCACATGCGCCGAACCAAGCACGCGACCTGTTTTACCTTCATATGCCAAAGTGAAATCGAAAGTGAAAGTGACTGGTTTCAGAGAATGGACTCGCTCATGCACTCGGAAGAGCACTTTGCTATGTGTGGAAGGCGGAGCGAAAGTCAACCCAAACACAGTAATGATTCAAGACGAGACCACTACACCATCTTTTGAGATGGGTATTCATTGTGAACCACCCATATCCGTCTTTCAGGCGACCCGTTCCACTCTTTCAAGATTTAGTCGAATTGTATAGGTCCACAGCAGGGTCTGCAGTTGACCGACTCCACTCACTTACGCCACTTCTGTACGTGTTTCTAGAAGACCAAGTCTATGATCATCGCTCGCATGTGAATTACTCAGGTAGTATCGACTCCCGACAGCCCCGCGTCACTTGATGCTTGTATCCCCGACGCTTGTTCGCAACGCCACACCCGGACACAGCACTGACAAAGATCACCAGGGCAGCTACCGCACCCTGAATATACCCGTGACTGCGCCACTGGATAGCGTTTCGAAAGCAAGGTCGAATCCGATTGGCGAAGCCAGGACTAGGTTGACCGAGAAAACCGCTAGAAAAGTGCGGTTTGTTTCGAGTGTTAACGTCTATGCATGTACATTTGAAATTTTCATGCATACAGTTGTCCTGATGTCGTTATGAAATCCAAGGTATCACTCGAGCTTTGCGGCGCGCAAGGTCGCGTATCCGATGAAGTTTCACCTGGTCCCATCTTCGCCACTGAAGGTGTACGAATCGCAGTGCTCGGCATCTTGTTCACCATAACGTCGCTCTCGTCCGTCTCAAAAGCCCTCAAACTCATGGAAGCTATTCCTGGCAGCCCCATCTTACTCAATTCCACTAGTTGGTTGAGTGCCACAAACTCCAGCTCTAATTTTACAGCATAAGCAAAGCTGAAAACAATAAATTTGAGCTGCAGATAACCTGCAAAGTCCATAAAGACGATGGCGACATCGAAAGCAATGGCGACGAATTGAACAAGTAAAAGAAGACACATAACGCTCCGTGTCTTACTTGACTGTGTGAATCGGCCCTGGAGGTATTGGTATGCTGCGCGTAGATAGAGACAGGAAAGAATGACGTCCTGGACAGCAAAGGTCACGACTTGGACCTTCTCGACGCGGTCGTGAACATACTTCCACGCGCGTGTGTCTAAAGTATACAATCAGCATAGCTTACCATCTGCGTTCCAGAGGGATCACTTACCAGTTGGACGTCCTGCATATTGCGTCGTCCTCATGCCTGATAGCACTGTGATCATGACTGTGTGCCACACACAACCATTAAAGATGATCATACCAAGCACAACTAGTCGTGCTCTATGACTTTCCAAGATTATGGTGAGTCGACTGTAGAGTACCATCGAGAACCCACTAATCATGCCAACCCATCCAAGCTGTTGCATCGTGAAGCCGACCTGCCACGGACACCTCGGTGCATAGAACTGGATAAAGTTGCCGACTTGACGTATGGTCAGACCCCACGTAGCGATCAAGATAGAATAAAAGTAGATTCCAGGACGCTTCTTCATGGTGGTGAAAAGACGAATGGTAAGGGTCAAAGTAGACCAAATTGCCACAGCACCGAACGCGATGAAGAGGCTGCGAAGTCGTGAGCATATTGACAGTGTCATGCAAATGGTAACGTACTGTGTAATGTCCACGCCATTAACCCGGAAGAAAGAGGTCGGTGCACTCATACTGGAGATGGCAGTACTTTAAGTTATCCAGGGGGTCTTTTAGCCTATAATGTCTGGGCCTCAGAGAATGCGACGAAGATGTTTTCGCGGTTGTACTAATTGTTGGTCGTGGCCCACGCAGAACATATAGAAGCTCGTCGACATTCTGCCGCAGAAGAATTGCCTTGCTTTTCCTCTAGCATGCAAGCTGCGAGTATTGCTACTATTCCGGTCGCCTGCTGTCAAAAGCATCATTGTGATTGGAAGATGTGTGTTCCTGCGGAATAGAGGCTGCCATATCTGGATATGTTCGTGGAAAGGTCTAAATATAGCCATCTCTCATGGTGAAGCGTGATACACATCCACCGAAGCGGCATACCGATAGCAGTAGGCGTGAATATTGCGCAAAGGAAAGATCACCTCGATTGGCTCAAGGGATTGTATCTGCTCTTTGATGCGAACACGCCTAAGCTCAACGAAGGGTAGAGTGGAAGGTTTACGAAAGTGGGGCTGCTGACATGCTTCGGCGGTGGTTACTCATCAACCCAGCCCCGCCCGTCGTTCCCTCTATAGGACCATCGTGGCTTCCCGTACACCAAATATACACCGAAGGATCTCGTGCTATCTGATGAGCTCGATGCGATGGCGCTGGGTCGGGAAACGATGCACGGGAGGCGCGAATGACAAGGATTACAGTGACCGTGCGCCAGTTGCACATAATCGCCAGTTGCACACTGTAAGGGGCTACGCCGTATTAAGCAGACTGCTCTAGTTACATAACGTACAGCTTAGCGCTAACTAAAGTAGTAAAGTATAAGGCCTATAAAAGAGAAGTTATATACGTAAAAAGAACTTTTCTTTTTTTATCTTTTTTTTCTATATATAGAATAAATATAAACTTATTAGTAAGCTTCTTTTTACTTTTAATAACTTAGAAGTATAGTATAACTTTATATAATATTAATTACTTAAGTTTTATTAAATATAAGCTAAGTAGCTTATATCTCTAATATTATAAATTATTTCTAAAGTTAATAACTAAATTAGAGTTAATATCTAGAGTTAGAGTTAATATCTAAAGCTTATTTATAGATTAAGCTTTTTTTTTAGTTTTTATATCTAAATAAGCTATTTCTAATATTAATATCTAGAGTTTCTTATATAGGCGCAAAGTTAATATTTACTAATAATTATTTATTTTAATATAACTAGGCTCTATAGTCTTCTAGTAGAGATTTTAGGCGTAGCTTCTTATAAGTAGAGTATATAAGATTATATTTAATATATAAGAAGCCTAATAAGATACTATAGTATATTACCTATTACTTTATTAAAAAATCTTTTTAAACTTTATTTTACTTCTAAGTATCTAACTTAGTTATCTATGCCTTTTAAAGTATACCTAGACGGGGATTCTTTAACTATTAGGATAGTGTCGAATAGGTTCTTGCGCGCTAAGTATGTAAATTCAACGATAGTTATATATAAGGGCGATAGACGTTAAAGCAGAGGTGCTTAGAGAAGACAACGCGGGGACGCTAAGAAGCATGTAGATAGTAGGACTAGCTAGGGAGCATAAAAGTAAGTATGAAGAAGCAGAACGAATGTTTGAAAAGACGCTAGGAAATTATAATAAAGTAGAAATACAATATAGTAGAGTATGCCAACAATTGTTCTATTCTGTTATGACAAAGATGCTTTCTTGGAATAGAGGCATATCCGCAGTAAGCAGAGTCTTGACTGTGTTCTCATGGGCGTCTAGCTGAGGCTACAATGAGAGGCTTGGTGTAGACCCTATTCTTTCTATGCTCCTTAGCACTATGCTTAAGTAGCAGCTCTACGATCCGCTCGTGGCCACCAGCCGAAGCTGCCTGAATTGCATCCTTGCCATCGTGTGTACTTGGCGCGTTCACATCAGCGTCGTTTCTGAGCAGCAGATCTGCAATTTCCATATAGCCCATAGCTGAAGCTGCTGCAAGAGGACTACCATAGCGTCCATCTCTTGCATTTACTTCAGCACCCTCTTTAAGCAGCAACTCTATAACTGCCTTATGACCCTTAGCCGAAGCTACCTGAAGTGCACTGCTATGGTATCCGTTTGGGGCATTTATGTTAGCGCCATTTTTGAGCAATAGCTCTACGATTGTCTTGTCGCCGTTGTATGAAGCTGCCGCAAGTGCGCTGCAAAATTCGCCACTCCCTTCATTCACCTCAGCGTCTTTTTCAAGCAGCAACACTACAATCGCCAGATGGCCCTGAAATGAAGCTGCTTCAAGGGCGGTGCCAAGATCTTCGCTCTTCTCGTTTACATCTGCGCCCTCTTCAAGCAGGAGCTCCACGATTGCCTTGTGGCCCTGATCTGAAGCTGCTTGAAGTGCAGTGTTGTCTAATCCACTTACCGCGTTCACATCGGCGCCCTTTTTAAGTAGCAGCTTTACAATCGCCATATGGCCCGAACGTGCAGCTCGCTGAAGTGCGTCGCCCTATTCTCTACTCTCCTTGTTCACATTGGCGCCGTTTTCTAGGAGTAACTCTATAATTGCCTTGTGACCCTTATCTGAAGCTTCCTGAAGTGCGGTACAATAGTTGTTATCTAGTGCGTCCACACTAGCGCTATTGTTAAGTAGCAACTCTACAATTGCTTTATGGCCCCCTGATGAGGCTGCCTGAAGTGCTCCGCGGCAGCGTTTACCTATAGGATTCACCTCAGCACCTTCCTTGAGCAGTAGCTTTGTTGCTCGATAGTGTCCGTTGTATACTGCTGTATATAACAAAGTCTGCTGGTAGCTATCTTTCGAGCACAAAAGACCTCCTTTTTCTTGCCCGGCATTTACAAGCATGTTCTCGATTACACGTGACAACCCAAATCGTGCTGCAAGATGCAATCCTGTGCTGATTTTAGGAAAATATTGGCTGTGGTATCCATGTCTGAACTTCGAAGCCTCCAACGCCTGTGTGGCTGAGGAAACTAACTTGCTGTTGTCAAGAAACGAGCAGATGAGTGTACACATTTCTTCTTCTACTATTGCAGCGTGCTCTCCCCAATGCTTGGCCGCATAGTCTAGGAAATCGTTCTCCTGGATCCTCTTTTCGTACTCCTTGTCAGAAGTACAGCTCCCTATTTGAAAGGCGTCGAATGATAGGTATGTAAGGCATGTTGAGGTAATCTCTAGCAGAGCTCCGGGGCTCCACGTGCCTATAATATGCTGAAAATACTCTTGCGTAGTGTAATGCACAAGACGGACAACAGCGCTTTCGCGATCAACAACAACAAGCCCACCACATACAGACAGCATGTCTTCTAAGTCGGGTAGGTTGTCTGAATCGAGTGCTAGTCTCCCTGGCTCTACTGCTAGCGCACAGCATAACTCGGTTGTAGTGAGTGGCCTTTTTGCATACGTAATCCACAATAGGACTTTCTTAGCTAGCTCGTACTGCCCGTCTAACTGGCTCTTAATTCTTTCCAAAGCACCGTTATATGCGTTTTTCAACGCGGCTGAGCCTCTTGAGAGGTTGTCTAGCGTTGTTTTGACCTTTTTCGCCGTTGTTTTGTCTAGGAGAGAATTGATATGTAGGGTAGCAAGGAGAAACCTAAAGACTCATAAGTCTGTGCTACTTCATAGAATAAGAGAAAACACTTACATGCCATCTGCTCTCTCCGAAATCCTCTCTTCTATAAGTTTCTGCAATGCGGTGTCATGCTGAATGCATTTAGGTAGTCGGTACATCTGACCAGCTACGAATTGCCTTACATCTTCCTTACTAGCCCGAATTTCCAGCCTCTCCTCTTGTTTGAATTCAGCCTCAATCTCTTGAATGAACCGTGACGTGATCATAAGGCGGACATCTTCTCTTGCCTGCAAATCTCGAAGTTTGGCTAGAAATAGACTGCGATTACCGTCGCTATCTTGACACTCGTCTAGAGCATCGACCACAATATAAATAGTGGAGTACTTTGCTGTTACCTCTTGGAGAGTGGTAAGGATTTTTTCAAGTACTGGTTTTGTGCCGCACTTCTCATATTGCTCGTATAGCCGTGCTATAGGCTCGGCCATCGATGGTCGACGTTGCGCCAGCTGTTTGACAATGGCCGCTACCATACTAGATGCACTCTGCTCTTCCTTGGCTTTGTAATTGCAGTATAGATACGCAACTCCGACTGAGCTACTCTGCACGTAACTTAAGAGGTGGTCAATCGCGATTGCGGCCACCATAGTCTTGCCAGCACCAGGAATTCCTGGGCAGAAGAGTGTTCCCTTTGGTGTGTTGATCCACTTTGCGACTTCGGCTGCGTCAAGAAACCATTGGCCCGTCTCCTTCTGCCTGCGACCTATAATGTCTGATTGTTGAGCGGGATAGTTGGTGGACGAGATCCACTCCATCAAGTTTCTGTGCTTTACATCGGCTTGGTCTTGTAGGACGTTGTCTACTCTAGACTGTATTACAGGCATTTGTGTTCGAATGACATTTATGTCTTCTTTGATAACTCGAGAAAGTTGCCTTCTTAATGTGAGCTGCAAAAACTATAATGTTACTGTAGAAGCTTACAAATGATCCATCTGCAATGCAATACCAACCAACGATTTCAAACGCTCAACTCGATCCAATATACTGGTGATTTCTTCTTTTTTGAACTTCCATACTAGGGCTTTACCCACATGCTGTAACCTGCCTCTGCCTGTCAATTTCATTTGCAGTGCTTCAAGAGCTTGCTTGTACTGGTCGAGTGGTCCGTTCTCGACTCCAAGGGCTCGGATAGCGGTGTACCACGGTTCATCAGCACTTCCACTCTCAAGACAGAATCTTAAGTTCATTAGAAGACTGTGTGCGTTTACAGTCTCAACAGAACATCTTTTGTAATCTTCCGAAGCATCTTTGACATCGTTTAGGTACCCAAGAACCTTGGCCGAGAGCTGGAGAACTGCGATGATGCTAGCCGTGACACTAAGGGGATCCATTGTTGGATAGGATTGATAACAGATGCCAATTTGTTTGGAAAAGGAACGGAAAAGAGATGAGAATTGGTGAAGTAGCGATATTGTAAGTGTCTAGGCTGAGAATTGTCGCAACAAGGCTGAACAGCTATACCGTGCCACATCTTATCGATATCGTGCCCCACCACCTCACGGACGCAACCACCTCGTGGACGCGCGGCCTCACCAAAACTACCTCAAAAACGAGGCTGTAAAGCTACACTATAAGGATATTATCACGATATACTTTGGTGGTGAGTTTGATTAGCCTTGATATATATACATATATAGCTATAGAAATCGAGATGGAGTTCTAATCGCGCGGCCGTGACGCAAGGTTGGAAGTGGTGATCCTGCAGCACCTCCCTGAGGTACCATATCACCTTGAGGCCTCGTGATAGGCCTCTTTTTTCGGAGTAGCCTTGAGACTGCTCTTATTACGCTTTCTAAAAGTTTTAGTGGCTTTTTTCAAGTCATTTTGCAGCCTTGCGAGCCGCGATCCTCAAAGCCTTTTCAACGGCCTTCTCACTCTCCTTCTACCTTGTCAAGCTCACTATAAGCCTCCCTTAACGCCTCCACTCCTTCCTTCTTACCCTCACCTCCTTTGCCTTCTCGCATTGCCTTACCATATTAGGTTTTTAGAATTGTAGCTGCTCTTATTCCTCCTTCTAGAGTCGCAGTCGATCGCGCGCTTTCTTTACCTTCCTTAGAAACTAGAATACAGCTTCACCGTGATACTCCTTATTATCCTTAGAGATAGAGGCTTACCTCGTCTCCTTCGCGTTCTATTATTAGCTTAGCTTCCTTATTTTCTTCTTAAGGAGACTTATTAAGAGCAGGAAGAGGCCTACTAATAAGTTTGTATTTATCCTATATATAGAAGAAGAAAGATAAGAAAAGAAAAGTTCTCTTTACACGTACAACTTCTCTTTTATAGGCCTTATACTTTACTACTTTAGTTAGCGCTAAGCTATATATTATATAACTAGAGTAGTCTGCTTAATATAGCGTAGCTCTTTAAAAAAAAAGTATAAAAAGTAGAGCTACGCCCTTTAGCTTAATAAAAATAAAGTTTACTATAGAAGAGCTAAATTATAGTTACTTAGAAGTATATAATACATCTATAATTATTAAGTATTATAATAATAATAATATTATTATATAGTAAGAGGCTATACTTCTCTAAGCTTAGTTTATACTAAAGTAAGATAGACTAAAGTAGTAGTTTATAAAGTATTATATAGAAAATTAAATAAAAAAGAGTTATTATTATTAACTAAGAAGTAATAATACTAATTCTATAAATAATAGAATAACTAGTTAATAATCTATATAAAAGATAACTATTTAAGTTAACTATAATAAGTATAATAATAAAATCTATTTATTTTTTATACTTATTATAATCTAATTCTACTATCTTATCTATTTTTTATATAAGAGATATTTATAATAGCTTTACTATCTTAAGTAGTTCTATTATTCTAGATAGTTAGTCTTAGTAGAATATTAGTTATATAATTTAAGCTCTACTTTTAATTATTAAGCTCTTATTATAGCTTTCTAATAGTTTTTTTTTATAGAACTTATATAAAAAAGTAATTTTTTATTATTTTATAATAAATAAGCTAAGCTTAAAAAGCTTTAAAAAGCTAAAGAAACTAAAATTAAAAAAGTAGCTTATAATTATAATATAAAACTTAAAGCTATAAAGTATATAAAGTAAAAGAAATAAGTAAAAAAGAAAAAAATAGAAGAAGCTAAAAAGATAGCTAAAAATAATACTAATAGCTTATTAATAATACTAAAAAGCTTATAAAACTTTTTAAAAAGAGTAAGTAAAAAGCTTTAATAACTTATTATAAAGGTTATCCTTAGATTACCTAAGAGTTAGTTCTTAGGGATAGAGTAGGCTGTAATAGACAGGGTTAGTGTAATAGCACGATTAGTAGATTAATATAATATTATAAAGGTTATATAAGAATAAAGTATAATTCTTAGATTAAATACTAGAGTCTTATATAAAGTTAAGTTAAATATACTAAGCTATAAGAGTTTAGTGTCTAAGCTATATACTAATAAGTATTATACTTAGTATTAAGCGTATAAGTACTTATTAATAAGTAGTATAGTATTAGTCTTAGTTATTAGCTAACTAGTCCTGCTTACTACTAAGCACCTGCTTTAGGACTAGCGTGTACCTACTTACTACTAAGCAGTTACGTAACCTTAGCGTAGTTACTATACTGTAATTCTTTAACTATACTACTTAATCCTTTAAAGTAATTATGCTTACCCCTGTCTTCTTCTAAGTATAGATTGTAATACTATTCTCTCTTTATAGGGATTCGTCCTTAAATTATATAACTAATTTATAGTTTCTATTATTAACTAAGGCTTACCCTGCGTTATAAGTAAGGTAATTGTTATATTCTTCTCTACTTAATATTACTTACGCCTTAGCTCTAAGATTATTTAAGCTAACTATCTTTCTAAAACGCTTTATAACTATTACTTTCTTAAAGGTAAGATCTATTACGTTATACTTAATTCTTGTCTAAAATGTGCTAAGTGTACTTAGTTAGAGTATGCGTATATAAACATATCTTAGAAGTTTTTAGATTATACGCGCGATAAATATTAAAAGAAAGTAGATAATAATAAGAAATTGCTAGTAATAGTAATTTTGTAGTTATTGCAGAATAAGAAGATTCTAAAATAGGCAGAAGAGTAGGCGCAGAAAAAGGCGCTGTGTCTAGCTACAGATATAGAAGCGGCTAGTAAAATAGAGATAGCGTAGGAGATAGATTATTCTGCTTCTTCTATTAGTATAGAATTTTTGCTGGCTATATAGGCTATAATAGGATTAATTAATGCTTTTGTTGCTAGCTATAGTACTTCTAAAGGTGTAGTTAGCAGTTTATAAGGTTTGTATCTAGTTTCTATATATTTTTACTATTTAGATAGCCTAACTATTTAATTAAGTATTTAGTTCTATTACTATTATCTTAATATATAAGTATTCTTTTAACTTTAAAGACACTATCTTCTTCTATTTTAAAATAAAAGGTTTTCTAAAGTAGCGTTACTAGGTTTACTAGTTCTAATATATTAATATAGAATCTAGAGTAGATTTTTGCGTTAGCTAGAAAGTTAAGTATATAAGTAACTAGTCTCTTCTAGTTAAAAATTAAAAATAGTTTAACCTTAATGTTATTAAGTTCTTTATTTAGTTATTTAGTCTAAAGATTCTTTATAAGTAAGTAAACTTTATCTCCTTTCTTTAGCTAAGGTGCTATTTTTTATTTCTTATTAATATATAAAATACTTTAGCGTTAAGCTTTCTTAAGCACTTACTTAAGTAACTTATATACTTCTTTTAGCTTATTAGTAGTAGTAATAGCTACTTCTATCTTTAAACTAAAAAATATTCTTATAAAGAAATTTAGGTATCTTTTGTAATTTACGTAAAATAGTGTTTATTCTATAGATTCTAATAATTTGTTATTATATGCTATTTGTGCTATAGGTAATAGTAATACTTAGTTATTTTATTATTAATTAGTATAGATCTGTAGGTAGGTTTTTATTATTTAATTTATTTATTTAGTCTGTCTGTCTGTCTGCAGATAATAAGCTGTTAATAGCTTTTTCTTTATTCTAATCGCGGCTAGTAATATTATCTAAAAGTTCGAAGTAAAGAGCTTATCTCTATCGCTAATAATTAACTTTAGGATGCTGTAATATCTAATAATCTTATTATTTATAGTGTATACTAGCTGTACTACTGTAAAGTCTTTTCTAAAGGCGATATACTTAGCTTACTTTATAAATTAATTAACTACTATAAAAATTACGTTATATACTATTTATATAATAGGGTCTCTTAAGACTAGTAAGCCTATAATAAAGTCTATAGAGATGTCTAACTATAGTGCGTTAGGTAGCTCTATTACTTATATTTCTCTGTAGGGTGTGTAAGTACTATATTTATTTTTCTAACAGTCTGCGCACTTAGTAATAAAAGAAGTAACTTTATCTTTTATATTTAGAAACTCGTAGTTTTACTTAATAAGTTCTATAGTTCTTGCGATACTAAGGTAACTATATACTAAGTTATTATAGTATTATTAAATAATTACTTCTTATAATTCTTCTAGTACTTTGCTTACAATTTTTATAATTTAGTTTAACGTCTTTACTAGTCCTAGCAATCTATCTTTATTAAACTTAAGTAATATAGAATTAGTAATTAACTTTATTCCTGTAATATTATGTTAGCGGCTAAGCGCGTCTGCTTTACTATTCTCTTTTCTTAGTGTATATACAATTTTAAACTTATACTATCTAAGTTCTTTAGACTATTAAACTTGTTATTAGTTAAGTACCTTAGTAGTTATAAAGTTAACTAAGTTCTTGTAATCTATAAATATTATAAGTTCTAAGTAGCTTTTAGCGTATACTCTCTAATACTTTAGGCACGCGATAATAGCTAGTAGTTCTTTATTGTAAATATTATAGTTTTCTTCTAGTCCTAAGAACTTATAAAAGTAGTAAGTAATAGGGTGCTATTTACCTTTATATATTTAACTAGTATATCTACCTAGCGTAAGATCTAAGGCGTTAGTCTTAAAGCGTAGTAGTTATCCTACTTAGAATATATAGAAGTATAGTAGTTCTATACTTATATTCTTAAGCTTTTAGAAGGCGTCTTTAGCTTTTTTACTCTACTTAAATAGAGTATCTTTCCTTATAAGTTTAGTTAGTAGAATAGCAGTCTTAGAGAAATCTTTAATAAACTATTAGTTAAAGTTTAAGAATTCTAAGAAGAATTATATATCCTTAACTATCTTAGGTATTAGCTATTTCTTAACTACTTTAATCTTTTCTTTACTTATACGTACTCTGTTAACCCCTACAATATATCCTAAGAAGTTAACTTCCTTTTTATAGAATTTGCACTTCTTTAGTTTTACGCGTAAATT